AGCTGCAAACACTTTATAGGACCTTCGCCACCACCCCAGAATATGACAAGAGAAACCTGAAATTCGGGTCGGTGGACCAAGAGAAAAAGGAATGGGTCAAGTGGTCACTAAGCTGAATAATAATTACCACTCACACCACAGACATCCGTCCTGATTTTCTCCTTGCCTTACCCTTAATTATGGAGGAAAAAGTTGATATTGATTTGGGCGCGATCATCGGCATAAATATATGTGAAAGAAGAAAAGTAGAACGAATGTTAGGTCACGGGACCCTGATTACAGAACTATGCAGACGCGCGGGCGTCAATTTGCCCACTCCAGCCCCAGATCTACAAATAAAGCCACTGCTCCCAGCGGACTTCCACAAAGCATAGCTGGAGTCCAAGGGGTTCACCTTCATCCCCAAACAGAAAAGTGGAAAGCGGTTGTTCCTTCCCCTCCACCAAAAGGGAGAATGAAAGTTACGGGGAGGAAATAATTAGAGAAGAAGTGGCACCCGAAGCCGATCCGGAAGAGGCCGCTGCAGGACCAGACTTACAATGAACTGTCTCCAATGAAACTCCCGTTGACGAGAAAGAAGAGTCCCTCCGCTTCGCTCGGGAGATAGAGGAGGACCTATTTGGTGCAGAATAGGCCAGAAGCGATAAGGGAGGAAAGGCCCCGGAGGCAGCCGCTGGTGAAAAGAGGTCAAAGCGGAAAGAAGACCCCGCTCCAGAGCCTGTCGAGAAGAAGCAGAGGGTGAAGGTAGCACTCAGAAAAAATCCAACACCCCCTAAGCGAGTGACAAGGCAGGAGAAGGGGAAGGGTAAAGCGGTGGAAGAGAAAGCAACTGAGGATACGATCCCGCTGTCCAGACTCAGGAAGGGGATCACCATTAGGAAACCCACCACTTAACCTGAACGACCCTCACCAGCAAGGCCAACAACAGAGAGGGTGCCACCCAAGCCACTGAGTCCTATAGGCGATGAACCTGTCAACCAGCAGGGAGCAAATGAGCCAACTTGTGCTAGAACAAGCAATGAAATTGCACCCGTTAACCAGCTGAGAGCGGAGGAGCCTACTGCTGCTGGACCAAAGAATGAGCAGGAGACTGTCATCACTAAAGAAACCATCGGCGGAATCGATGTCACATGCGAGTCTTACAAAGAACAACTCGCCGAGGTTCCCGCTGCCACAACCGCTGAAATTGCCAGTGAAACCGAAAAGGTCGAGGCAGTCATAGCAAATCATCCTATTCTGCAGGTGTCTCCACAAGCGACAGAGACAACACTAGGGACGGCAGAAGGAGAGCCGATGCCATACTGTCCCAAGACACCAGTAGAAACGGTAACACCTGCAGAAACTCTGACTCCGACCTCAGAAAAATCTGATAAAACAATTTTCGATTAGGAGGAGGATGAAGAGGAAAAGAAATTTTGAGAAGAACAAGCTCAGCTGCTCGCCGCAATGCAACAGTTACAACAAAAGCGAGAGCGTGAGCGACAGAAGAAGAGAAAGATGAAGCTATTGGCCAAGTTGCTAAAATATTAGAAGCCGCTGACCCAAATCCAACTCCAATACATGAGATATTTGGAACGGAAGAGAGCAGAGTAGCTGGAGTATGAGGCAGCGAGGCAACTCGTGTTCCTAAGGGACGTCACTCCTGAGCTAGCACCCGATTCCACAAATGAGAATGAGCTAATGGACATCAGTTCGGCCGAGTCTGAGGGACAGTCACCAGCACCCGCGGAGGCAAGCACATCAGCCTCCCGCGCCGCATTTGACACCTTAGGAAAACGACTGGATGAACTCGATGAAGTCATGCTCAGCCAATACCTAATACTTCAATCACTGATAGATACACATGCAAGGAATTTGGCTGAGATACTGACCACTGGCAAGAAGGCGAGCTCCGCACTAGAAGCGCGCGTAAAAGCGCTGGAGACTCAAGCTGCAAGCCTGGGTGCATCTCAGACGGAGATTCTGAAGGCACTTTCAGCCATCACCCAACAGAACGCGATCCTTATGGAACAACAGCTTGATACAACGAAGAGTCTCCAAATGATGTAAGAGCTAGTGCTACAACCGACAAAGAATTTACCTCCGGGACGAAGACCCACAAGTGAGAAAAAGAAATGATGTAGGGTCCTTCCCCGTGTACATAATTTTTTGAATTGGCAAGGGCTGTACAAATGACTAATGATCAATGACGCAACAATTTTTTGGTAACAAGTGAAATTTATCTTTATTGTATGCCTACCATAATGTAAAAGCATGCGTTTTTATTTGAGATACTTTTAATACCTCGCTGCGTTAGCCCTGTAATATGTTTTAAAGTAAAGTTAGATAGCTTGCAAACACCAGACTGAGTAATCGTCCCTCGACCTTTATCAATAATGCGAATATTGATGTTAAACTAAGTAACATCGGATATGTCTTGTAAGGATTAGTGCCCCCTTCATTTCAAATTTTCCATACTCATTAGGGCCAACGAACTTCTGCCTATCGACTTTGCTCACAAGAGATGACTTGAAAAGAGAAATCCTTAAATATGGTTTAAGACACGATGTAAGCAAAGCAGGAAGGACCTATCATTACAAAGGAGCTGAAAAGGCCTAGATGCGCGAAAATCAAATAAGATCATGAGCAAACACAATATTTGTTTGAAACTCTTGATCCAAAAAAAAAAATTCTCTGCACCCTTCGGCCGAAGGCTTCTTTAATCAAAAAAATAATCCCGGCTAAGGGAACAAACTAAACGATACCGGGATAACTTCGCTCACGTTAGATCAAATGACAAGTTTGAATGCTTAAGGATCAATTCTCTCTATTCGAGATTCACCTTTTTCTCAATCATGGCACTGATCTTAAGCCATACTTGACTACAGTGAACAGAATAACTCTTTGATCTCATAATTTAGTTTGTTCGAGGACGAACAAAGGTTTAGTGTGAGGAGGTTTGATGACTCCAAAAATGAGCATATTCCTCGCTTGACAAAACTACGTATTACTTGAATTTCTGTATAAAAACTATCACAATAACTGATTTATGAGATACTTTATTTATCTATCTTGCTTAGCATGATCCAGAGTTGGTTTGTTGAGATTATAACAATTTTTGCCTTTTTAAGCGGTGTTTTGGATCCAGAAAAGCAAAGACAGATGAGACAAGCGATGGTCATTTCCGCTCACAAGCGATGACTCCATCACCCAGAAAAGTTAAGGCAAGAGAGGCAAGCGATAGCTTCTTCCGCTCGCAAGCGACAGCTTCTATCACTCAAACCAGCGACCAGACACCCACCGCAGCGAAGCGACGGTAACACAACGCAAATATCGCCTAAGTGTCCAACCCGCAGCGGTATAGCCATTCCACTACCGCCAGCACAAGCACGCCCGCTTAACTGCGCTGGTGCCCTTCAGCCATCTGGCAAGCGAGGAAGATCTGCGCCCTTACAAGCCAAAGCAAGCGAAGCGAGCACTCTGTGAGTTATGGCCAACAACTGCTTCAACAGAATAACTGCTACAAACTGCCTAGCGGTTGAAACCACTTTGTAACTGCTTGCAACCGCTATTTCCGCCTGCTATAAATAGGGCCAGATATCTGTGTGTAATATATACTTTGAGAGGAGTATACTAGCACTTTTTTTCTCGCGCATTCTAGCTGCCTTCCTATTTTCCGAGAGCTCCAACCTTAAAAGGAAGTTTTCAACAGGAATAGTCAGAGGAGTTGAGATTTTTCTCTCCCTTGGCCACCACTTTACTGCTTACTTAGTCTAATTTATTGCTTTAATTACAATTTTTTTGTAGATTTAGCAGTCCCTGCTTTTGTAGTAAGTAATTAAATATCATTTGTTCTTCGTAATCACCTCCTCCATACTCTTCACAATTATATAAACCCTAGTTGTAAAGGAATCCACTTTGCTGGCAAAGAGCACAGAAAAATTGATTATCCAAGCCTTGTCTTTTGTCACAAATAGATTCAAGGTAGTTCAATGTATTTAAGTATGAGGCAGAATTTAGAATAATTAATGGGGCATAGGCGGTGGTCTATTGGGTCGCAGAAACTCTTAGTGACAGTAGAGTTTCTTTCTTATAATGTACTGATTCTGAGTGTCATTAAAGTCTTGTTGTAAATCTCTTAAGGTCAAATACCAGCAATCAAAATTCTTTATAATCTGGTTTATATACTTACATTACTCCCTTCCTACCGCTTCTGCATTATACATATATGTCTCGATTAAACACCGGCATCACTCACTCATTTCATCCAAGAAAATCTAGCCATTGAGTAACGCACAGTTCAGACACATCACCTCTTCACCACTCTCTACCGCTCAATCTATATGAGTATATGTTGTATCATCCGCTCATGTCCCTATCGCTCACCCATCGTTGGCACCTTGTCCACTTACCACCGCTCCGCTCATCGCGGCTCACATTTTACCGTTTTCCTTTCCAGCTTTCTGTAGATTAGGATTCAAGCCCGCTGCAAAACGGGTCCTTTTACTGCATTTTCGCCGTTTTCATTAGATCAATACTTGATTTAAATTTGCGACTTAAAATCTCTGTGTTCGATCTGGAAACTCACCAATCAAAAGTATAAATAATTATGATAACGATTAAGGGTCTACAACCACAAATTTTTACCATATCTGATCGCTCACAATAATTCCTTACTTTTCAATCTTCGAACAAAATTCCCTATATTTGAATAAATACCTAAAACGGTTATCACCACTCAAATAACTTCTATAAAACCAAGAAACTAATGTAATATAGAATCTCATCAATTACTTCTATTATGTGAATTCGATTAAGTACAACAATTAAGAGAATCCATGAATTTATGTAATGCATTAGCACTACCAGTGAATTGTTCTGAAAGGATTTATAAGAAAGATGATATTCTCCAGATTACACTTAGAACTTCTACCTAGGAAAAACTGCTAAGAATATTGTAACCAGAAACAAGATTACATGCATGCTTCCTAATTTACAAACTTAGCCAAACTGTAACATACCAGTCCATATGCCTGTGGTGATGCAACTTCCAAGACCGAAAGATGAAATAGCGGATTGGATTCTGAAACCAAATAACTAAGAATTTTCCCATATGCCATGCCTGTAGCAGCACCAATGAATAATGACGGAGCATAGTAACCACCCACTAATCCAGAAGCTCTGCATATAGAGGTTGCCAGTACTTTGGCAACCAGTACCTGAAGCAGTAAATCAACAGAAAGACTGTTCGACAAAGGACGAGACTCCAACAAGGTGTCAACATTCTGAAATCCCCAGTAAAGAATCTCGGGGTAAACTAAGGCCATAAGTCCAACAGTCAAACCACCCACTATTGGAAATACTTCTTTTGATATCCCAATATTTCTTTCAACGCCATCAAAGACGAGCAGCATCAAAGATGTACATTTAGTTAATCCAACTGAAACCAAGCCACATAGTATGCCCAGCAAAAGATAGAGTGGCAGTTCTGAACTGACAAGAACACAGATTATTAGGTTAAGGCTTACAGTAAAAGGTGCAGAATAAAAGTTTACATATTGCCTCTTAACAGAAATTAACTCTACAGATGGTGAGATTACAGGCACTGACTAATATATGACATAACAATGTAGATCAACTGAAGGAATTCAGAGGGAACTTAAGATGAATGCATGAAGTTATTTCTAATGGCCTTCCGGACATTTAAGGTAAAAGTAAATTGAGCAGGAGTGATAAATCAATAAGGGCAAACCTCTACAGAATTGAGCATTTATTTCTTAAATATGGACAAGAATACTGACAATACTGTTTTCTGGAAAAATCTTCTCATCAGACAGCTAGATATATAAAATGTGTGTATACTATTATTATTATTATTATTATTATTATTATTATTATTATTATTATTATTATTATTATTATTATTATTATTATTATTATGTATTTCTAGGAATATCCCTCTTCACACTGAACCAGATTGATTTTTGACAAAATGGATTATCCTTCCTTTCAAAGAGTCGTCATAATGCAACTTTTGCCTCGCAGAAACATCTGCAACAATTTTGAATCAACAATGGGCTGGGATTTTCTACAATATTTAGTCACATTTTAGTTCAGCAAGAAAAGACAAATAAATCCATGGTAAAATTAGAAGACTACCTAAAGTAAATCAAGAGTTGCAAAGCATCCATCAAAAAGAAAAATTCATCTGCATTAGAACCCAAGTACAAAAGAATATATTGATATATCTTACTAGTTTTGATTGTAATATACCGAATGTGTTGGCAAACAAAAAAAAGGTTATAATATCCTAAATCACTTAGATGTTTAAAATTTTCTTTAAAGAACAAAGAGTAATGTAATAACATGCCATTCATCATTCAGACATGTACCTATAATCTTTAAGTGACAGAGTTCCCCGAGCATTAATGATCATCAAATGGTACTATTCGCACACTAACTGATGAAAACACAAGTGTTTGCCTTCAACTGGATTAAAGACTGCCTATGCAATCTAGAAGTCAGAAAGTTGTTTCTCTACTTCTCTTGGGGCATCACTTTACACTCTAACAAACCCCACCAAGCCTAAGTTATGAATGCACCTTCCTAATTATACTATTGTGCCAGCTTTAATGTCGCTCATCTCAGTATAATATGATTACATGTGCATATTCTCCCAAGCAAATGAAAGCCTGCTATGGTCAGCAAATTACAAGCATTAAAATTAGAAGCTAAAAGGGATGGAAATGACAAGCCAATGTCCAGGGCAATCTCGCAAAGTTACAGAATCTATTGTAGTTTTCCAACTGACCATAGGACGATCAAGGAAAATGTCGGGACAAAGTTTTTGCATCTTTAATTGAATAGCCATTATATTCATTCATATGCAGTGAGAAATTATTTAGGCTTAAATTCACACTCCAAGGTTATGTTCTTTTGTGGGTTTTATATCAAAACATTACATCAAACTCTATTTATAAGAAATCAAAACAACTATTCAAATTCAACTTTTTACTATTCAAAAATCCAAACCCAAAACCTAAAACCCACAAACAAACCCACCCCAAATTATTGAATTGGTCTAACTAGAGTGGTTTGTCCATTCTTTGAAAAAGACATGGAGATGCACATTCAATTAGTTCCTAGAAGGGAACATAAGTTAAAGAGCTGACTTTCGCAGCAGCCGCACCACTTTAACAGAGAATGTCAGTATAAGTTATATTAAACATGCCAATAGTGAAACCTGCATCACCCCCCCCCCCCCCCCCCCAGTCCTTTCAATAATTAGAAAAAGACCATGACGTTAGAAATGTTGCAAAACTCCTTTAAGGTTTCCAGTTAATAAACCACAATATTGACAGAAAAGGTCTGCAGAAACATTACTTTTCTCATTGAGTGACTTACCAACAATTTTATCATACTAGAACAGAAATCACATTTTCAATGGCATGCAACTTGAGTCACACAAATCAGCAGTTCACATCTGATCTGATTTGGTTTAATAAAAGATATCTATCTGCTAATCAATCATATGGACATTCTATACCAAATAATGAAATATATGCAGGAAGAATATTTAAAGTTACTTAAATACAACACAAAATTTTCTTTTTACTATCAATGTCATTATTCCAGGGATGAACTCTTTTGTTCAATTTATATAGCTTCTTAATTATCAATGCCTTAATTATCAGGGAATAAATAGCAGCCAGTGTGGAAAATGGGCAACATCTTATTCTTTATAAATATCACTATTTATGTTAAATGCCCTTTTTTATTTATTGGTTCCTTACATAAAAATCCTAGGTTCCTTCGAAGCTTAATTATAAACCCAAGGTGTACCCTTGTTGATAAAATTTGATCACTTTTATGTAGTGCAATTTTAAGAAGTGTGAACAGTTTACTGAAAGAACATTACTAGCATAACTCTCATTTTTTCATAATTTCAATGCTCAAGGGGCACAACAAATATGATAAAAGATTAAAGAAAATTGAACAATTACCACTTGGAGAACGAAAATCATAAATAGGAACAGCAAAAGCTGGCTGGGATCCTAAACCTATTTCTGATATAACAGATGCTATAACAGCACTCAGTATGACCATCGAAGTAGTGTTTGTCAAGGATAAGGATGATTCTACGGGTGACGGCCACAGTACTGACTCCAAAGCGAAAAAACAACCAGCGACAGCAGCATTGAATCCTATATTGAGAAAAATTGAAGTCATTCACCAACAAAGCCATTCCAAGTTTAGGATAGACAAAACATTTCATAATTAAATTCATGTAATGAATGTGTGCCAGTCAGTTAATCACAGTGTCAAGTTAGCTTTTTCTTTAGCAACAGAGTTTCATTTAAAATGTGATGTGAAACTTCTAGAAGAATACCATTTCAAATGCATCATTAAATGTTATGGAAATGCCAATTTATTAATTATTATTGGATGTACCAATTGAAAAAAATAGAATACATAATGATATGAATCGTGATAGTGTTGCATGCCTGCTGCAAATTACCTTCTGTTGATACAAAATGAAAATACATGATAATATGAACAGTTATAGTTATGAAGTCTGCTCCAAATTATCTTCTGCAGAATTAAATACCTGATACCCCAGTTCAGCGAAGAAGTTTCCTTTGGCCTAAATCCTTTACTTTTTTATTTTGCACTAATTAGTGATCTGCCAGAAAGCCACAGTAATGAACATGGTTTACCCTTGTTCTTTTAGCAAAATCCCGTTAAGCACTTCTCATGCAAAGTTTTTTCATGTTTGATTTTACAAAACTCTATAATTTTCTAGCCTTCCTATGAGAATTTAAAACAACTAACAGAAAAAAGGTATTGAGTTTACTGAAACTGAGCGGAAAATGATTGTATACCACAATAAGACATTCAGAAAAGAAATTGACAAACCAGAAGAGATTCCAGCAGCAGAGCCTGAAGCCTTGAGTGATAACTTTCTTTCAGACTTTCTATCAAAAAGAACACCCACTCCTTTGGCTACAAAGGCACCAATCTCAACACTGGGGCCTTCTGGTCCTAAAGAGTTCCCTGTCCCTAAGGTCACACAAGCAGCCACGGTTTTCAGTATTGGTCTTAGAGCAGATTTGACGGCAGATGTAACAGTTCTGGTAGTTGAATCCTCCTGTACAGCAGTTCGAATCATGTTCAACAAAGTAACCATCAGACCTCCAGAAGCAGGGACGAAGATAACAAGTCCCCATTTTGCTTCAATGGATTCCTCTCTTAACCATGAAGCACCTCGATCAGGTACTCCACCCCAGCACAAGTCCCGTATTTCATGTACCTATTATGTACGTTATCAGTTAGCAGGGTCCAAGGGCTATTAACTAACTTCATTATCCTATAAAATGCATTAGTAACACTGCAACCAGAGGAGGCCATCAATACAACTTTTCAGTTTCTATAATCTTTGAAATGCTCTGGGTTTGGACTAAACTTCACAACACAGCTTTGAAATAAGGAACACATTTGAAATTGGGAATAGAAGGTAAAGGGAAACCAATGATCAACAGATCAGCTTCAGGAGTGATAGCACTAAGCAAGAACAAATCTCATGAAGACTCTTAAAAAAGAGCCAGAGCAACACCATGGAGTCGAGCGGCCATCAGGAATTTACCATTCCATGGGAGTCAATCTCAAAGGGCGGAACCAAAGATCTGACTACGGATTAGACTGCATGATGCCAAATCATCATATGTCACGGCATAATATATATATTTGCAATCAAATCATCAATCCATGTATAACACTTATGATTACACAGAGGGAGCACAGCGGAAAATGTCAATGACACCTACAGTTCAATCACTATGCTTGTGTGCCAAAACATGTCATCAATAAAACACGGCCGCAAGTTCTTGAAGGGGTCCCAAGAAAATCAAGTTTGTAGCTATCAGTGGGGAACTGCAAGCAAGAAGACGAGCAGCATTGAAAAAGAGAAATGCATTACCGTGTAATTGAAGAGGACGACAGCAATCCCGGTGAAAAGGCCAACGAAGGAAGCGAAAAAAACGGGAGAATTAAGAAATTGTAACAATGAATTTTGTTCTTCTTGTATGAGAAGAAGAGCAGGGTCAGGCGGGGCTTGCAGAGATGAGCGTATTCTAGATTCATCATCATCATCATCCTCGTCATCAGCATCATCAATGGCCTCCTCTTTGCCCAGGCGGGTATGATGCCTACAAGTATCTTTATTGGGATGAGAAGATGGAAGAAGGCGAAGACATCTCCGGCGGCAGGAAGAATAAGGCTGGAGGTGCAGCAGAAAAGAATTTAGGCGGATTAATGATGCATTAATGGCCAAAGTTGTGCTGGTGGGAGAAGATGTTAGCCGAGGTTTCGGGGTAGCTGCCGAGAAGAGAAGGGTGTGATGATGCACATACATAGAATACATGGTGAACAGTGGAGTTAGTGGCAAATTAAACGTCGGCGGTGGTAGGAAATAAACAAAATCCCACCCGGTCTCACAACGGAGGCAAATATTGCTGCGACAGCCGCAACGGCAGGCGGCACCAATGGCAGCATCATAACCCAATCTGTCTCGTTATCCACAGAGAGACGGCGGCGCTTCCAGTTTCACAGAGTGTGTCTGTCTGTGGCCATCAGTGATCGGTCATTTATGCCCACTCCTATCTATAATAATAATAAGTGGGAATCCGATCAAAAATAATAATAATAATAATAATAATAACCGGGAAGTTGGAGGTGGGTTTTCCATTTTGGTTCGTTCGAACTATTTAATTATACTAGTTTAGACCTTATTATAAAAATGTCATTCTTTTTTTATTAGACAATATTTATGGGAGTATTTTCGTTTTTTTCAGTATAATTTGTTATAATACTAATATTAAAAAATGATAACTTTGCACCGGAACGAAAAGAGTATATATTTTTCTTAATATTGATAGAATTTATTTTTTTATAAATATTATATAAATAAGAAAAAAATTAATTTTGGTCCAAATATAATAAAAAAAATTTCAATTTTGGTCTCTATATGAAAACTCATCGATTTTAGTCATATTATAAACAATTTCAATCAATTTTGTCCAATTATAAACAATATAATTTCAAATAATTTTGGTCTCACCGTTCAAAACCTTACGTAAATTGTTGACGTGGACGTAACGGTACACGGCCATTGAAATATACATGACCATGTGACAACATGGTCGTGTAATTCTATACGGTTGTTTACATTTATGTTTTGGTTTAAATTTTTATTTTATTTTATATTTTTTAAAAAAAAATATTTTGAATTTAGAATAGTTAATATAGTTATATAATGAAAAAAAAATTAATTATAATTCTAATATAATTAAAATGTATCAATTTTAATTCAAATATAAAAACTTATAATATATATTTATTATGATCCTGATAGACGTTCGTCACACGCTGCAAAATTAAACATAATAAACCTACTTTTAAAATAAGAATAACTTAGTATAGTTGAAGTGTCTCCTCAGGGAATTACAAATATTTTATTTTATGTTGTTTAATATATAGATATAATAGAAATGGGGTTTTGGAAATTGAAAATAAAAATAAAATAACAAGCTAAAAATCTAAGGCAAAATGATAAACTCAATAAAAATAAGCTTCAAAGTCTACAATTGAAATTAATAACTTGGACAGTGACTTTGATCATTGATAAATATTTTATTTCATTGGTTTCTAAATAATTTCGTATAATTACTGACATGCGTCTAATATCCTCTTTCTTAGTTTCTAACAATCAAGGTAAGCCCCTTAATTGCTTTCATAATTAGACTACAATTTTAGTTATGCTATAAAGAATTTATCAGTCTCACCACTTTGCGAACTAAAATAATCTATTCAATTTAACAATTATCTATACAAAATTGTTTAAATTTGATTATGTGATTTTCAAACTATGCATGTTGCTATTTGATCCAAATAGAATTAAATACCTAATGTTCATTATCTATACATTCTTACATATGTTCAGTATCTATATGTTCAGTATCTATACAACATATATCTATACATTCTTACATATATATATATATACATATATTATACATTACAAGTATGGTTCGGTATGGATTGGCGTGGCCTGTGTCTATCAGTCTATGCATAGGTAAGTTTTGGGTTATTTATTTATTTTTTAAAAAATGAAAAAAAAAATTAATTTCACTATAAAAAATAAACAAGATTGCCGCCGCAACAATTTTAATGAATTGCTGCGGAAATGTTGCAAAATTCATTTCGCACCAAATCTTTCGTGGATATTTGGGTTTGTCGCGAAAGACCATAACAAATTGTCATGGCTTTCCGCAACAATATTATCGCGGAATTCCACGACAACACATGCAACAATATTGTCGCGGCCTTCCGCGACAACAACAATATTTATATTATTCTGATATTTTTTTATTTTTTAAAAATTTTTATTTTCAAATAATAAAAATAATTATTCATATAATGATATTTTAATTTCAAAATAAAATCTAATTATCTTTTGAATAAATAAAATACAATTATATTTCAATTAATATTAATGTCAAAAAATTACATAAGAGAAAAAATATACAAAATTATAATAATATTGTGTATGTAGAATAGTTTCATCATCGTCATTTTCTTTGTTGGCATAACAGTGTCCACGTCTACTCGCTTCACCCGTCCGACTCCGACTTCCACTTTCCTCTCGACGCATTTGATAAAGATCAAATAGATTAGCCATTTGTGAATAATATGGCTCTGGCTCATTAGGAATACAATTATTAAACTTCATGGAATCGGGATTTGTAGAAAAAAATTTCATCACCTATAAAAAAAAATCAAAAATATTTATATAATTTAAAATTTGAGAATGAAAATTATCAATAATATTTAAAAATTATAATAATAATAAGAATAAAAAAAACAAACTTGATCCGTCTTTCATTAATTGTTTGTAATTGTTCTTTAATTTTCAAATGTTCCTCCATTGAGACACTTGAATAAGAGGTAGATGTGACATGTTGTGAACAAGAAGGACGAATTGAACCTTTGCTATTTTACCTCTTGAACCAAGCCCAGGAACACGATCTCTTAGGTTGAAACCACCAAATGCATCGAGAAGTTTTTTTGGATCCCGATCGGAAATAGAATTACTTTCAGAATATTTTCGTAGCTCCCCCTTAAAATTAAACATTTACAAACTATTAAATTCAATTATTCAATATGAATATATATTCTAAACAAATTTACCTCAAGAGCTGCAACATCTTGTGTAGGTATTTTATTTTATTTTTACTGTAGAACCGGTGATAAAGTTCAATTTCTGTCGTTGTGCATCCTAATTCATCGGCCTACAAGATAAATATAGTTTTTTTTTTTCAAATATGTATACAATACTCAATATATAATATTAAACTACATAAAATTAAATATTACCATATACTTTTTCGAACACGGCCAACAAATTGAGCACCCCCGCGATATTGATTTGCAATTTTTTTTTTATTTTTTTTATTTTGAGCTACCATATCCTGATATTCTGTAGAACCCCATTGCTCCTTCATTTTATCTCAATTTTCAGATTTAATCCATTGGAGACATATATTTTTGTTTCATGCGTAGCTTAAATTTCGTCTTAATAACTCACTAACTTTATTAAAAAAATAAGTCACGAATCTCAGATTCATATTGAGATTCCCACCTATAAAAATGCTGTTGAAATTTAATAATTAGAATAAATCCAATAATAAAATGGTTAATTTAAAGAAGTCGATTTTAAATATACCTTAAATATTTCAAGTCATGTGTTCCTTTGGCTATGAGAAACTTGTTTCATAAATATCCATGCTCCAGGCAAACCAGACCGAAATATATTTCCTATATTTCCAACCAAATCTGGAACCGAACTATAAATTAAAATATATTTGCATCGGGTTAGAAATCAGATTTTAAAAATATAATTAATTATATTGAAGAAATAACGGTGGATGTACTAAAATTAAAAACTCACTCAAAATTATCGGAAGTAATCTATATTTTATTATCAACAACTCCACTGGCAATATTTTGATTTTCTTCACGAATATTACTAGTGTTTCCACCTCCACCGCCACCGCCTACGGGAGGATGGTGGAAATAACGATGTTGATTGTCCATATATAAAATCTACACCCTACAGTACAAAAATAACATTAGGTTGTGGAAACACCTGGTCACTTTAGGAAGAACTTTTACATCCAAAAATCGAAGAAGATACAACGAACAGATCAAACACTAAAAAAAACTAATAAAAATGCTACCCATCAACAAGTAAATTAAATATCTAAAAACTCAGATATTTATTTAAATAAGAGCAGTCACTTTAATCATACTTTTACCTCATAATCTGTAGATGGACAATGCTCTGATCGATGACAGAAGGATTCATGTTGACTTTAGTCAAAGTGTTGCAAAGCTCTGTCTCAGTATAGACGCAAAGGGCAGTCAGGTAATGATTTAAACCGACACTGTATGATGTCTAGTATAGGAATATTTTTTGCATATGCCAAATATTGTAAAAAATCGGTGTCAAATATGGTTCCAGAGTTCTTTAGGAAATTTGATGCAACCGAGTATTTGTTTATAACCAACTAGCAATCTACTACGACCGTGGCTCTTTATGAAAAATATATCACAAACAAATTTTGAGAAGATTGAAAGGAAACAAAACCAAAATGAAAATTCAAGAAGAAAAACCCATAAACACAAATGCCAGAAGGAAAACTAAAACAAATTCCAAATTCACAAACACAAACTCACAATCGATGGACGAAGTTGCTTGAATCGTCTGCGGACTGTGCGCGGGGACTTGATCGACAAATGTGAGGCTGTGAACGACGGGTGTGAATGCGAAGAATGAATTAGGGTTAAAATATTTTAGAAATGGTTGGAGGCTGGAGGAGTAAGTTTGGGGAGCGGGCATGAAAATGTATAAATTTAGATTTGTCCTTTCGGTTTCGAACCGCCGCTTTGCCCGTTTTTGAACCAACGGTTACGGTTCAATGCAAACCGGGCAGTTCGGCGTTTTGGCTTTCTGTGTTTTCTTTAATTTGGCAACTAGCTGATGGCGCAGGCACAACAAAGAAAAACAAGGGAAGAGGAAAAAGAACGGAAAACAATTGAAAAAGAAATGAAAGAATAAGGGTAGAAGAAGAAGAGGCGTGGCTAGTGTGGGCTGTGGCGGATGTGAAAGTTTGTTATAATAATAATAATAATAATAATAATATATTTATAATTATATTTTTTATATATTATTAAAATTTATAAAAATAAAAATAAAAATAAAAATAATAAAATAAATAAGTATTAATGATATATTCTAAAAATAGGAATTTTATAAATAAGTAAATATTATTTCAATTATTTTTTATATTGTAACAATCTAATTAATTATTTATTTATTTATATAAACTTTATATAATAAATAAATAATAAAAATATATAAGTGAAATTAAATTAAAATTAATTATTTTTAAAATTGTATAAATTAATCACAAGAGTGAAATTAAAATTAAATTTAATTATTTTTAAAATTATATTATGATGATGATAAATTTATATATTTTAATTTTATAAATTAATTTTTAAATGATAATACTTAAAAACTATTAAATAATTTATTGAAAAAACATATTTAATATTATAAAAGTTTGTCTCGAGCATCCCCATAAACAATAAAACATATATAAAATCCACTAAATTATTAATAATATTTGTTAAAGAAATTAGAAACTATATTTTTTCTTAAAATTTATTTTTTAAAAGAATGTCTTGTTCAAAAAAAAAATTATGATAATTAAAATAAAAAATAAAATAGTGTCACTGAATACCGCAACAAAATTAGATTAATTTAAAACCATTGTCACAGAAAGTTGAAACAAATTTTAAAAACATTAAAATTATTCCTTTTTTGTTGCGGATTTCCGCCGACAAATTGAAAAAAAAAATTATTGTTGTTACGTACGAAATTTAGAATTAGGTTAAAAGCCCAAGGTAAAAAGAAGAATGGGCCTGGCAATAGGGTTGATTGAACTGGCTGAAGGACACCGTGAGGAAATCAAGGAAAATAAATTTATTTATTTATTTCTAAGGAAAATACAGGTCCTCAGGACGGAAGTTTCTTAGGTCGGTAGGTCCTCAGGACGGAAAGACCTCAGGACGGAAGGTTCTTAGGTCGGTAGGTCCTCAGGACGGAAAGACCTCAGGTCGGAAGGTCTTCAGGTCGGGAGGCCCTCAAGATGGAAAGACCTCAAGTCGGAAGGTCTTCAGGTCGGAAGGTCCGCAAGACGGAAAGACCTCAAGTCGGAAGGTCTTCAGGTCGGGAGGTCCGCAAGACGGAAAGACCTCAAGTCGGAAGGTCTTCAGGTCGGGAGGTCCGCAAGATGGAAAGACCTCAAGTCGGAAGGTCTTCAGGTCGGGAGGTCCGCAAGACGGAAAGACCTCAAGTCGGAAGGTCTTCAGGTCGGGAGGTCCGCAAGACGGAAAGACGATGAGTCGGAAGGTTTTCAAGTCGGGAGGTCCTCGAGACGGAAAGTCGTCGAGATGGGATATCCGCAGGTCGGGTAAACTGTAGGTCGGATAGAAGGAGGAGTCGGACAAACGCGGAGGCCTTTGATCAAAGACAGGGGGCGGTTGATATGGAGGTCGGCCCAAGTGGGGTCGGGCGAAGAAGTAGGTCGGACGAAGGACGAAGTCGGGCCAAAAGAGCGGAAGGTCTGTGGTCGGCTCAAGGAGTGAAATATAGGGAATTTTGGTCTGCTGGGGACACGTGTCAGCATGAGAAAGGTTGGAAGACGGTTGAGAAGGAGATGTTGTAACCGTTCGGGTGACGGTTTTCAGTACGGTTTCCCAGGGAATATTTAAGGATTTGGATCATCATTTGGCAAGGTATCTTCAATCAACTTCAACAAAGCAAAGTCAGATTTGGGGATCACCACTTTAAATTTCAGTCTTTTATTTTCCAGTTTATTTTCTGTACGTTACAGTGTTTAGAGATTCCTAATCTCAGGCACTAATTAATCAAGTTTAAGGATATTTTTAATATCTTTGAATTTTACTTTATTTTTGTTGAAAAATTACATCAACAAATTGGCGACCACAGTGGGAGCAAGACAAAATTGCTCATTCCAATTCCGGCGATAATTTCATACGTCTTAGATCCGGCCGAATCATCGGAAGGGTTATGGCAGGTTCACAACCGCAATCATCTTCGACACCGGTGGGAGAATCCGTTCCGCCACCCATTGTGCCAAATGCCGGGGAAATCCCACAACCACCAACTGATTGGTGGTCTTATGTTCAACAAATGAACAACCAGCATACCTTGGTTATGCAGAATATGTTGCGTGAGCAACAAACGAACATGTTGCGTGAGCAACAGAGTCAGTTGCAGAACATGATAGATCAAGCACTGTCAAGGGTTAGTCTTCAACCCACTCAAACGCCACCAGGAGTGTCACCGTCCAGACCACAGGCAAATTTCGCAGGGCCATCATTCGTGGATAGTACATTCCCAAGTGCCACAAATCCCAACCGAATGGATAGGGGAAAATCTCCTTTGACTTTTCCCAACAATGTTCCATTGGGACCAAGGGTTACCAATCCGCAGCCGAGCAATACAAGGGAGGACAGGCCTGAAGGATATATACATGATCCTATTCATATTCCTGTGCAGGATCCGTTCCAAGTTCCTGATCATCAACGCTTTCATGTAGATCCTGACGAGATTGCACATATATTAGGGATCAGTATGGATTAACTCCTCAGATGGCTAACCGCCCTGCATATCAGAGACCTTTCCCAGAAAGGATCATTAATGAACACCCTCTCCCAAGGAATTTTCGACCACCCGACTTTCATGCATTCTCAGGGGAGGACGGATCTTCCACCATAGAACATGTTGGTCGGTTCACAGCACAATTAGGAGAAGTTGGCAATAACCCTTTTTATAAGTTACAGCTGTTTGGTTTATCTCTTACTAGAACGGCGTTTTCGTGGTTTGTAAGTTTGCCTCCAGGACAAATTCAGACATGGGAAGGACTGGAGATGGCATTTCACGCTAGATTCTTTAATCCTTTACCAGTTGTTTCTTTAACTGATTTACTTGAATTGAGACAGTATCCAGAAGAAACTGCTTCACAGTTTATAGAAAGGGTGCGATTGATGAAGGGACGATGTCCTACGGTAATCAGTGAGAAAGAGATGACCAATTTAGTGGTCCGGAATATGCATAATCGTTTAAGAAAGGCACTCACTGCCCTGGATGTTGAGGATTTGGCAAGTCTTGCATCCAAGGCAGGACGTCTAGAGTCTTTGTTCAGAGAGGAAGATCAGCATAACAGGCGTAATAGAGGCCAACATATGGCGAGTATGGGAACAGAAACATGCGACTTTGATTTTAATCAGTCAGAAGAGATGGCAGCCGAAATCCTTTCTGGAAAACCGTATGTATGTCCTAAATTGAAGCCAGTACCAGGATCTGAAGGAAAGGAGCAACCGACCTTTGATAGTTCGAAAGCTGATGAAATCTTTGATATCCTACTGACTGATGGGCAGATCCGTATTCCAAAGGGCCAAAGACTTGCCACTAAAGAAGAAATCAAAGGGAGACCATATTGTAAGTGGCATAATTCTTTCACACACACTACAAGTCAGTGTACTCATTTTAGGAAGGAAATTCAAAAGGCCATCAAGACAGGTCGGCTCAAATACATCACTCTAGGTGTAGACCAGCAACCGTTTCCGAATGTAACAACGGCAATGGTTGACATCCAACCAAGTTCGGAAACAAGGAAAAGTTCGGCCAACGATGGACAAAAAGGGGAACGAAACCAGCCAAGCCCCGAAACAAAAAAAGGAAGTCGGCCAAACAGCAGCCGACCGGAAGAACGACTCAAAATTTGTGAGAAGCCAGTTGCTGAAAAGTGGGACCATCCAGATGGTTCTTTTAATGTGGAGGTGAAAGAAAAGGTTTTGATACGTGATCACCCGACCAGAAAAACAGGGTCGGTCGGGAGCAATTGGGCTCGAAATAAAAAGCCTTTACCAGTTGATATAGACCCTCGTTTCCCGGGTATGAATCGTACACAGATTCGCAATGCCAAACGCAGGTATGCTGCAAAGTATGGGAAAAGAGGTCCTTCAGCAAAACAACTAACCGACGGACAAAAAGCAGCCGACCACTTGGCAGGAGATCAGTCCATTCGGATCTTTACAGAACAAACGACCAACGAGCAGGGAGTAACCATTCAGTCTCCAGTTGGTCGGTCCAGTCGGGTCTGGTCAGGAAAGCAACCGAATGACGGATTAGGCGCTTCCGACCATACCAAAAGAAGTTCGTCGGGACTGGGGAAAGGTAAAGGTGTGGCAGATGAAATAATTAAAGGTTTTAGATGCCAACATTGTGAACGAATCAACATCAATCCATCTCTTGAAGAATTCCGTATCGAATCTTTGACGGTTCAATCTCGATCTCGGGATAAGACAAAGGAAGAAGTGGTACCTACAGAGGAAAATTCAAGATCTGTTAAATCTCGTCTGGGACCACGAATCCCTTGTTGAATGACAGAGATTAACCAGATGAGTGATGAACCGACGTGGGCGAGTCTGGTAGATGATACTATGGACGAACCTTTATGGGCATTCTTGGCAGATGACGAATTAGAGGAAACAGAGTGGGCAAAGATTACAGATTCTGAGCCTCAGTCGGAAGCACCTTCAATTGTGTTTCCTCCTATTCCAGAGGGTGCGAACTCCCATTTGAAACCTCTGTATGTTAATGCTCACATTTGTGGGAAACCAATCACAAAGGTTTTCGTGGATAATGGAGCAGTCTTTAATGTTATGCCATTGAAGACTCTCAAGAAGCTAGGGAAAGGAATTCATGATCTGTCCCCTGTGGAATTCGAAATGACAAGTTTTACAGGGCAGCCGACCAAGCCTGAAGGTATGATGGTTGCCACAATTGAGGTCGGACCAAAGAAAATTTCCACTGTTTTCTTTATTGTGGACGCAGATACTACATACTCTCTTTTGCTGGGACGAGATTGGATTCATGCCTCTCAATGTGTGCCATCAACCTTGCACCAACAGTTAATGTTCTGGGAAGGAAATCAGGTCTTTAAAATGGAAGCGAATGACAACCCATTCGACGTAACAGAACAAGTGGAAGAGTCAGTGTTTTATTCTAGTCATTTGGCTCCGATGTCTCAGTTGTATATGGCCAGGGAATACCCAAACAAGGGTTATAAAGTCACTGGCCAGAACTCGATGTTCTATTAAAAGAACACCTTTATTGTATGGCTCATGATAAAGCCACACCCATTTCCGTATAAGTTGTTTGTTATGGAAGATACAACTTTAGAAGTATGTAGTTCTCTTATTAATAAGTTCTATTTAAAACAGTTATTACATAAAGTAGAAAATAATAAAGAGATTCTGGATGTTCACCTCCAAGAAGATGAACAATTTCGTTGGCCCGACTTATTAGAAAAAACAGAACCAACAGCTTCATCACAAGACCCGTTATTGGAGTTTAATTTAGGAACCGAATTGGTTCCAAAAGTGATCAGGTTAAGTGGTTATTTGTCTAAAGAGCAACAAACAATGATGCTTGAAGTTATTAGAAACAACATTGATTGTTTAGCGTGGGATTATTCAGAGATGCCTGGTTTGACAAGAAGTCTAATAGAGCATCGATTGCCCATCAAAGAAGGTTGTAAACCTTACAAACAACCTCCAAGGCGAATGAGTCCAGATCTGATGCCTCAAATCAAGGAAGAAATCCAAAAACTTCTCAAAGTGGGTTTCATTCAACCTTGCCGTTATGCGGAGTGGCTGGCTAATATTGTGCCAGTGGTCAAGAAAAATGGTAAGATAAGGATATGCATCGACTTCAGGGATTTGAATCTAGCTACCCCTAAGGACGAATATGTGATGCCTATGGCCGACATGCTGATAGATGCAGCAGCAGGGCATAAAATCCTTAGTCTGATGGATGGTTATGCAGGTTATAACCAAATATTCTTGGCAGAAGAAGACATTCCTAAGACAGCATTCAGATGCCCAGGGGCTTTGGGTATTTATGAATGGACAGTCATGCCATTCGGGTTAAAGAATGCAGGGGCAACTTACCAAAGAGCCATGAATTCAATCTTTCATGATTTAATTGGCAGATCTATGGAAGTGTATATTGATGATGTTATAGTTAAATCTGCCAGTTTTGACGAACATTTGAGAGATCTTGAAGAGGCATTTGAAAGAATGAAGAAGTACAAGTTGAAGATGAATCCAACCAAATGTGCTTTTGGAATATCAGCCGGGAGCTTTCTAGGATTCTTAGTTCATGAGAGAGGAATTGAAATTGATGCCAATAAGGCTAAAGCCATTCTTGATAGTCGGCCACCCAAGACGGTTAAAGAAATCCAAAGTCTGTTGGGTAAGGTGAATTATTTGAGGCGTTTCATTTCTAATGCTGCTGGCAAGGTCAGACCCATTACTAAATTGTTGAAAGCTGGAAAAATTGCCTTTGAATGGGGTCCCGACCAACAAACGGCTTTAGATGCTATCAAGCAGGCATTGGTTCACCCTCCAGTCTTGATGCCTCCTAAACAAGGTCGGCCACTCAAACTTTATTTGGCAAATACATATGAGTGGTTAGTTGTTTATTGGCGCAGGATGGTGATGACGGGAAGGAAAGGGCAATTTACTATCTCAGTAAAACCCTTACAGGACCAGAACTGAATTACACTATGCCAGAAAAAATGTGTTATTCATTGGTCTTCGCTTGCACTAAACTCGAGCATTATTTGCTGCCCAGAAGAGTTGAGGTCATATCAAAGGTGGATCTCATCAAATTGATTTTACAGAGACCTACTATGAAGGGCAGACTCATGAAATGGGCCATCAAATTGGCTCCTTTCGATCTTCAACATTCCCCGCTGAGGGCAATTAAGGGACAAGCAGTAGCCGACTTCTTGGCAGAATTCTCACAAGTCGGGTATTCTCTTTGTGATAGTGTCCGACCATTTAGTTGTTCATCATATCTGGATAATCTACAGGTCGGATGTGTGCCTTATATAAGTACCAGAACATGGTTGATGTTCTTTGATGGTTCTACCTCTGGAAACAAATCAGGAGCAGGGGTCTTTTTGCAAGGACCTGATGGTCAAAAGATCAACTTACAACTACGATTGGAATCCATGACCCATAATTCGGCAGAATATGAAGCTTTAATTTTGGGTTTGGAGGCTTTAATTGCCAGGAAGGTCCAGTCTGTAATCATAAGGGGGGATTCTCAATTAGTAGTCAACCAGGTAAACAATCAATATGTTTGCAATTACCCTCATCTTCGCAGATACAGGGACATTGTGAGTCGGTTACTGACAAAAATCTCAGAAGTAATAATTGAGTTCATTCCGAGGAAAGAAAACCAACGTGCTGATGAATTGGCTCAAAGGGCATGTAAAGGAATTCTGGAGGATATGTGGTCGGAGGTCAAGTCGGGCATTGAAGGAAAGACAGACCCGATCTGCGAAGTTATGGTCGAGCAGGAGACTATCGGACATGACCCCGACTGCGAAGTTACGGTCGGGCAGGAGACTATCGGACAGGACCCCGACTGCAAAGTTATGGTCGGGCATGAGACTATCGGACAGGACCCCGACTGCGAAGTTATGGTCGAGCAGGAGACTGTCGGACAGGAGCCCGACTGCGAAACAGTGCCCGATTGGAGAACAGAGCTTATCATGTATTTACAGAATCCAGGTGCGAGTGTTTCGGTTGCGACACGATTGAAAGCTTTACGTTTTCAATTAATAAATGGAATTTTGTATAAGAGGTCATTTGAAGGTCTGCTTTTGAAATGTTTGGGGTCTAAAGAAGCTCTAGAGGTAATGACAGAAGTACATGGTGGCATATGTGGAGCTCATCGGGCAGGTCTGAATATGAGATGGGCCATTCATCGTTTGGGTTTTTTTTGGCCTAAGATTTTTGAGGATTGCATACAATTTGCAAAAGGCTGCCAGGAATGTCAGAGACATGGAAATTTAAACCATCTGCCAGTAACCGAATTGCAATTCTTGGTAAAACCATGGCCTTTTAAATCATGGGCTATGGATATTATTGGTAAGATACATCCTGCCTCATCGAAACATCATTGTTTCATATTGGTTGCGACTGATTATTTTACCAAATGGGTAGAAGCTGTTGCTTTGAAAAATGTGGATCAGAAAGAAGTGATAAACTTCGTTTTGAATCAAATTATTTATAGATATGGTATTCCTCAGTCTATAACAACCGACCAAGGCTTGGTTTTCACTGGGGAAAATTTTTCTAGTTTCTTAGCAGAGTTTGGTGTCCGACTACATCATTCTTCACCTTATTATCCCCAAGCCAATGGACAAGCGGAAGCAGCAAATAAGATTATTATTGGGATTATAAAGAAGATGGTTGAAGGGAACCCGAGAAAGTGGCATTTGTTATTGTCTCAGGCTTTATGGGCACATAGGAATACCAGAAGTACGGCCACAGGGTTCTCACCTTACCAACTTACATTTGGCCAAGATGCTGTTTTACCAGCCGAAATCCGAGTATCATCTGGCCGAACAGAATTTACTGATGGTGGTCTTACAGAGGAATACCAACAACTTATGATGCAACAGTTAGAAGATTTGGATGTTGACCGACTCCATGCAATAGGGCGAAGTGTGAAACAGAGTGAAATCAGAGCAAGGAGTTACGGAAAGAAAGTTCTTCACAGGACGTTCCAGAAAGGAGACTTGGTTTGGAAGACCATTCTTCCTATATATAAGAAAACTGATCAATTGGGAAAGTGGTCACCGAATTGGGAAGGACCATACATTGTTCAAAAAGATATTGGAAATGGCGCGTTCATTATTGTAAATCATGAAGGTAGAAGAGTACATGATTGTATTAATGCTAAATATCTGAAGAGGTATTATCCTGCCTTTTCAGATAACAAAACTGCCTGAAACAAAATATTATTCAGAACCCATTTATGGGGTTCGAACCTACTGGAAGGTTCATTTCTGTTAGTCATCGTGTAGTTGTGAGAAATTTTCTGTCTCTGAATCAGACTTTTCATCCCAGTGAGTGGATATTAGCTCTGGTTCTTCTTCAATAAGATCTTCCAAGTCTGGTCGGTACCTTTCCCATTGGCTTTGCATGTCATCTAGATCTTGATGGGTACGTGCTTGCATGTCTGTTAGGGCTTGATGTTCACGGTCAACAATGGTACGCAATCTTGAAAAGACTTTTCGTTGATTGGAAAATATGTTATCCCAACCAAGGTCTGGAAGTATGGTTGCTGCATGATTTTCAATCATTTCCATGTGATGATGGAGATCAGGAATGCGGCTGAGGATGTCACGAAGAGGTTCATATCCCTCAATGATTTTTTCCATCAGGCGGATGACGCGATGAATAGTTCTTCTACCTCGTTGGGAGAATCGGAATTTGAAGTCTAGTTGCTTGAGTATATATAACAAGTCTTCTGCATGGCCTCCAATAGGGTGATTACCCACAAAGAAGGGTTGGAGAACACCTTCCCAGTTGCTTGATGGAACATGAGGTCGGTCATTCGCCATGTTTGTTAATACGTCAGGTGTTTTGATTTTTCGAATATGCCTTAGAATGTGTTTCTTAAAATGTGAGAAACAGTGTTCTTTTAAAGAAGGAGTTTGTTTCGTTTCCTATAAAGCTGGGAATTGAAAGGTGATCCTTGTTTTGAGAGAAGAAAGAAAAAATGGATTACTAAGTCAATTGTTGTTACAAAGGGGGAAGTATTACAACAGTGCCCCTAGGGCAGTTTTTATATGGGTCCATTTGATTTCATCCCTGGATAGCCTTCTGGTATTGGCAGCCGTCTGATATCTTATGATGAATTGGGATCGGGCTTGGGTTTTCAGCTCTTGATCCAATTCAGCTTCATTCTTGGTGTACTGCTCAATCAGACGCTGCTCATTGATAATTTGCTTATCCAGGGTAGACTGTTCTTTCCTCAGCTCCCGCAATTCTGCCTCCTTTTTCTGAATAGCTTCATCAACTTGAGCTTTCGTGTTAAGGAGACCACCCAGCCTTCCAGTAGTCTGCTGGAGGGATTCTCGGGTCTTAGCCAAAGAATTCTCCAGCGTTGTTTGATCGAAGTCGGGCTGGGGGGTTTCGGCTGACAGGAGTCCAATGACTAATACTTCAGTCTTGAGCTCTGTAAGTCTTTCCATCAGCCGATGCAGAATGGGGACGGCTGGTGATTCCGTTGGAGTGTAATAAAGAAGGCCACCAACCGTCTGAATGAGCTTGTCCAATAAGTCGGACCTTAATTCGGACAGGGGACGGTTAATGGCCTCAGTGAACACAGTCTGGGCCTCCGCTGGAACCGGAACAGTCGATAGGACAGCTAAGTCCGAAGGCCCCTGCAAGTCCTACAATGTCAATAAATATTCCAAGGGAGTTGCAAATTTGTTCGGAGAAAATATGTGGTACCTCTGGGCGGACTGCTGTCAGTGAGGGGGGCAGCAATGAGGTCGGTCGAGTTGGGCAGACAGCTGGTATAACAGCAGCCGACTCGTCGGCTGCTGCGAATGGTCGCTGAGGTGCCGACCTGGGTCCCTATGGAAAGTAGTATTTGAAACAGTTAGTGTTTTTCGAAAGAAAAGTTATGGCATGGATTGGTTTAATCTTACCAAATTCACAGAAGTCTCCGAATCGGATGAAGACATTTCTTCCATTTCTGGAGGTTGGGCTGCCACAGGTGGTTCTTCTGCCTGCCATTCGATGGCTAGAGGGAGCGCCGCTGCTGGTAGGGCGGCTGCAGGTTGGACGGCTACCTCTAGAGCCACTGCAGCCAGGATCTCTGGGGCACCTTCGATTTCGGGATCAGCAGCATCAGGGATGTCGTTTTGAGGGTCAGCTTCGGCGAGGGCGGCTGGTTCTTCCTTTGACATAGATGAGTCTGATGCCATGTATGGCGGCCGACCCATCTGGGAAGTAGTCCCCTCGCTGTCAGAAGAGACCCCTGCTGCTGATGGGATGGGTGAAGGTGTCTGTGGAAAAATCATGAAGATGTTTGTTGTTAAATATATTAAGGTTGATCATCCGAATCCTAAGTCTTGCTGATAAAGGAACTTACTGGTTCTATAGGCACTGCTGGTAAAGATTGTCTCCTGGTCGGGGGCCTGGCCCGACCACTCCTCGGTACGGGAGGAAGAGTTTGCCTCCGCGTCGGGTCCTCCGCCCGACTGCTCATTGGCAAATTGGTCTGGACCAAAGGCCCGATTGAATGGTCGGTTGGTGCTGGCGTCGGTTGCATGGTCGATGTCACCAAGGTCGGTTCTGGGGAATGAAATGAGTAAAATCAAAGTTACGATATAGTGAATTGGTTCACGGTGTTAAGAAACATTACCAATTCGGGGTCGGGTCCTTGCTGACGTCCTATTTATTCCAAGGTCTGCTAGTGTTTGCTGGTCGGTCTCCGAGGTCGGGGGTGTTTGCAGCTGGGAAGTTTTTCTTTTGCGCGTGGGACCACCAGATCCGATTCCCGGGGCGGTTGTTTGTTGTTGGGTGCTAGTATGTCTCGCCGCCCCTAGAACCAATCCTTGGGGGGGAAGGAGTATGTTCAGCAACCGACCCTCATCAGGGGATATCAGGGACCATACAACCGACCACCATTCATTGAAAGTATCTACGATCTCAGGGTTGGAGCGGAAAGGAATATAAGAATTGGAAATTATATACGTGGTGAGCTGGGAGATATAAGAAGGGATTGAATTAGGAAGGACTCGTCGGTCGGGACTTTGAAAAATTATTTGGGGACACGCGACGGGTCCAGGGATACCTTGGCAACAGCCGAACTGGCGCGCCATGAATTGAGGTTCATAGTTAAAAGTGTAAAAAGTTTTCTGCCCTTTTTTATCAAGTTTCTTGCTACTAAAAAGAGACCTGGGTTTGAGGGCGACGTCCCAGGCGAAAGGATAGGTGGGATGAGGACAAGGCTCAGGAGTCGGAAGCGGGTTTGGTACTGGAAAGGGCCAAAAATGGTCGGGAGCATAACCCGCATACTTTTTATACATAGAAAATCGAGAGTTACTGCGGGTATCTGTTAAAATGGCGGTTATTATGGGATCGGAAGATTGGAGTTTATTGCGTCCTGAGCAGAGTCGGTTGAGGACTAATCCTAAATGTTTTTCAGATGTTGGCATAGTGGGCGGAGATCCTAAGTTAAACGCGTTGGGGAAGTAAAGACGGAACCAAAGTTCTAAAAACCAAAAAGGACCCGACGCGGCAGTGTCTAATTTCCTATTATCGTTATCTGTTAAACGAAGGCTAACCCTGGTGAGTCCTTCAAACAGATTGGCTAAAAATAGAGTACCAAGGGAGAAGAACCGACCTGACGCAATATGAATGGCCAGGTCGAGGTGAGAAGGAAGAACACTTTTGGAAGGGGAAACAATGACGTACCTACAAAGCCAGAACAGGATAAAGGCAGTATGCTCCCGGTCGGTTACAGGAGTCCCTGGAGCCCCTTGCTGGTCGGTTGCGAACTTTGTCCAACCCCATTCCTTCACACCTTGTAAAGACCATCCCGGATGGTCTTCTGATGGCTCCTGCCCATCTAGGGCTCCCATTACAGGGTCTTCACCCACGACTGGGAGATGTGCGATCATGGCCACGTCCATAAGAGTTGGGCCAAAGGGGGCCGATGGCAAAAGGAAAGTCCCATTTTCCGCATTCCAGAAGGCGGACATGGCCAACAGCACCTTCTCATGCAGGTTGATAGGCATGGTGGACAGTAGTATTGCTTGGTCGATCTTTTGGGATCGCCATTGGGTCTGGAAGTGTTCTGCTACTCGTCGATACCAAGCACGATACAGATCTTTTGGGTCTGTGAGATGGGTCTTGATGCTGTCTCGGATGCGAACTGCTTGGTAGTTGGGATTGTTGATAGCCAAGGAGTTGCGAGATTCCAAAACTTCCCTCATCCGATTTGAATCTTCAGGAGTAGTGCAATATGGACGGATCGTCGGAGTTAGTACTTTCGAGGCTGAAAATGGACCTTCTGGAAGGGTTCCGTCGAAAGGAAGGGCAGGAATGTATTGATTCGCCATAGTTAGAATGTTTTGGGATTGTGATTCACACAGGCTTGTATTGCGAAGAAGGAAGTTAACCAGGAGTGTTGCAGTAACTGGTGTAGTTGCTAAGGAGGTAGTGCTTTATGAACTTCCAAACATTGATTGTTAAATGGCGTTTGAAAGTCCCTTGGCGGCGGGCAAGTTGTTACGTACGAAATTTAGAATTAGGTTAAAAGCCCAAGGTAAAAAGAAGAATGGGCCTGGCAATAGGGTTGATTGAACTGGCTGAAGGACACCGTGAGGAAATCAAGGAAAATAAATTTATTTATTTATTTCTAAGGAAAATACAGGTCCTCAGGACGGAAGTTTCTTAGGTCGGTAGGTCCTCAGGACGGAAAGACCTCAGGACGGAAGGTTCTTAGGTCGGTAGGTCCTCAGGACGGAAAGACTTCAGGTCGGAAGGTCTTCAGGTCGGGAGGCCCTCAAGATGGAAAGACCTCAAGTCGGAAGGTCTTCAGGTCGGAAGGTCCGCAAGACGGAAAGACCTCAAGTCGGAAGGTCTTCAGGTCGGGAGGTCCGCAAGACGGAAAGACCTCAAGTCGGAAGGTCTTCAGGTCGGGAGGTCCGCAAGATGGAAAGACCTCAAGTCGGAAGGTCTTCAGGTCGGGAGGTCCGCAAGACGGAAAGACCTCAAGTCGGAAGGTCTTCAGGTCGGGAGGTCCGCAAGACGGAAAGACGATGAGTCGGAAGGTTTTCAAGTCGGGAGGTCCTCGAGACGGAAAGTCGTCGAGATGGGATATCCGCAGGTCGGGTAAACTGTAGGTCGGATAGAAGGAGGAGTCGGACAAACGCGGAGGCCTTTGATCAAAGACAGGGGGCGGTTGATATGGAGGTCGGCCCAAGTGGGGTCGGGCGAAGAAGTAGGTCGGACGAAGGACGAAGTCGGGCCAAAAGAGCGGAAGGTCTGTGGTCGGCTCAAGGAGTGAAATATAGGGAATTTTGGTCTGCTGGGGACACGTGTCAGCATGAGAAAGGTTGGAAGACGGTTGAGAAGGAGATGTTGTAACCGTTCGGGTGACGGTTTTCAGTACGGTTTCCCAGGGAATATTTAAGGATTTGGATCATCATTTGGCAAGGTATCTTCAATCAACTTCAACAAAGCAAAGTCAGATTTGGGGATCACCACTTTAAATTTCAGTCTTTTATTTTCCAGTTTATTTTCTGTACGTTACAGTGTTTAGAGATTCCTAATCTCAGGCACTAATTAATCAAGTTTAAGGATATTTTTAATATCTTTGAATTTTATTTTATTTTTGTTGAAAAATTACATCAACAATTGTAATAAAGATTGTTGCGAAAGCCCGTGACAATTAAATTATATATAATTTTATTATATTTTCGATCATAGTTGTGACAATAAATCATTCCGCGACAAATTTAAAATGAAGCATTCATTTAAATTTTTTATTTAAATAATATTTTTTATATAATATTTATTATCTTTTGTAGGAATTTTGGTCATAATATAAATAAAATTTATCAATTTTGTCCCAATATAAAAATTTATCAATTTTAGTTTCATTATAAATAATTTCAATAAATTTTGATCAAATTATAAACAATTTTAATCAAATAAAAGAACTAACATAAATTACTGACCTAACATGACAACTGATATGAAAACTACAAATTAAACTAAAATTAATATTTTTTTATGAAAAATTATAAAAGAAAATAATATTTTATTTGTCTCATAAAAAAGTAATATTTACATTGTTAAATATTAATATTATATTAAATTTTAGTAAAATAAAAAAATAAAAAATAAAAAAATCTATATTATTATGGTTTAATATATAAAAATAATAATATTTTAATATTTGAAAAAATATTTATTATTTTAAGTAAATAATACATTTACTAAATTATAAAATAAAATATTAAAACCTTGTTATAGAATGGAGAATATGAATTGTAATTGAAAATGCTAAAAAGAATAAATCATTTATAGCTATATATGTACTGCTGCTGCTGCTATATTTTTTACGTATTGGATTTTGACCTCCAAAAAGTTCGGAATCTATTGGTGCAACCTCTGCCTATTTATATTCTTATTTAATGCCTATCCGTCTTTTTTCTCCTTATTTTCCTTTTGCAATTTCTTCCTAACACTCTTTTGCACTGTATTGTCTTCTTTGGCATCAAAAGTGGCACCTAGCCTCCTTTCTTTCCTTTTATTTATGCCTTAATTTTATAAAAATTGAGTTTTCCAATTTTTTACTTAACTTATCTAATCATTGAGCCTTTTTATTCTCTTTTACTTCAAATTCTATTAATTTTATTATTTTTTTTTTCTGCAATCAAAATCAATCATATAATATAAATATTTAAACGCATGAAATTTCTATCATATCTGTTCATTTTTTTTAGAAAGTTTTTAAATTGAAAATTTCTAACAATTTAGAAACGCATAAAGTCACTTACAAATATATCTACTTCATCCTACTATCAAATATACTATCGCTCACCAATATATTCTAGCTTACATCCACCACTCATCTTATTCCTCAATATATGTATACCGTCCACACACCACTCCACTCACCATCACTCTCGTTGTATTCACCTGTATCATCACCTTTCTATACATATAGAAATTGACTATATTGCCCTCACCCTACTCGTGTTCATATATGTGTTTGCTTGGAATGAAAAACACAACTTTTTCCACCTAAGATAACACTAGTAATGTTGTCAAAGTTAGAAGGTGGAAAGTCCGCTTAAAAAAGAAAAAAAAAAAAACGTAAGGGTTAGAAGGTCCGGAGTAAGCTAGAATTAATGAATAATTGCTTTCGATCGATCAACAAACAGACACTTATATGACAAAAATATAAGGAACTGGTTGGTGACATCAATATAGTAACGTACGTACGTCCAAGGGAACAAGATCCCCTTATCTCTCTCTCTCTCTCTCTCTCTCTCTCTCTCTTACATGCATAAACCAACATGTTTTGGTTTGTTTAGTAGTTGTCTTTACAGTAGGACTTGGTTCTGCGGAAGATGTAAGTAACACAATGAATTGTTGTTACCCGCTGGTGATCAACATGAAACACGCATGCCGGAACTAGCTAGCTAGTAGCAGTAGCAGTAGCAGTAGTAGTAGATAGTGTTATTAGTTCCCGGCCGGCCGGCGGAAGGAAATTAATTAAGTAGCAGCTGCAGCAGGCCGGGCTGGGCAGGGCAGGGGCCGTGGCAGTTGAGTTAATCCTCCTCCTTCTCCTCCTCGACTCGTCGACGATGATTGTTTTGGACGACATAGGTTCTGAGGGAAGGTGAGTGGGTAAGAGCAAAGGGTGCCACAGTGGTATTCTGGCTCGCATTCTTATGCTGTATTCTTCTCCTCGCGATGTAGCCGCGGACCCAGGGGGTGACGTCCTCGTTGACTTTGATCATGATGAAGAAGATGATGCGGTAGACAACGATCATGCTGAACAGCACGCTCAGGTCGATCCATTTCGAGCGCCTCACGTCGATCTGGAACACATTCTCCAGTATGTACTCTCCCGGGATCTTGGGGAGATCGGACGACTGGTTGTCGAAGATCAGCCCTTTCAGATCGTTCTGGTACTGCCCCTGCACCAGGATTATGAACCCACACATGTATATTTGTATGTTAGAGTGATTGATTTATAATGACTGACTGACTGACTGAATGAATTATTTCATTACCTGCAGCGCCCAGAAATGGAAACTGATGTAAGACATGGGGTAACGCCAGACGGGCTTGGGGATGTCATTTGGAAGTCGGAAGTAACCAGAGACGAGCATGAAGATGCCCTGCAAGCCAGCGTAACAAGAAATTATAGTATAGTAATATATACTATCAATAATAATAATAATAACAATTAGAAAAATCATTGAGTGAGTGAGTCAGACAGATAGGCATATATATAGATAGAGGTGGAGATGGATGGATGGATGGATGGATGGGCATGGAGATGACAGAGAGGAGAGAGCAGAGACGACACAAAGTATATATATAACCTGAATGCCAGCCCCAATGATGATACCCATGAGGAAATTGGGGACGACGCTGGCAATAGCCATCATGAGGCTCTCGACGACGGTGACGCTGGCGTAGAGGCAGAGCACGAAGAAGAGGTAGTGGGAGAGGCCCGGGTGGAGGCGGACCATGAAGTAGCACACCGTCCCGGACAGGAACGTGATCAGTATCAGGAACGGCATCGCCGACAAGGTGTTGCTGATCACGAATGCGCTCACGCCGTAGTGCCCGTTCAGCCTCTCCCTCTGGAACACCTGCAAGCAAGCACATGGTCAATTCATTTGATTTCAAATTTCAATCGAATCGGATCATACACACACAAACAAGCAAACATTACCTTCATATCTTCTACGAAGGATGGGAACCCACCGATGGACATGAAGGTTACAAAGCCAAAAACGAAAGATGCGCACGCCCCCCTTGCCTGTACGCACGCACGCCAAACCAACAAGTTTTAATTAAGTTCAATATCCTGTCTGTGTTAATGTTCTGTGGAAGGAAACCTAATTAATTAATTGATTAGGCATAAGCTTGTTTTGTTTTTCTGTTTCAAATAAACATCGATCGATCAAAAGAGCCAGTGAGTAATTAAGAACATTTAATCAATTGATTACCAGGATTGAGTTGTAGCCGGTTCCCACATTCAAGTAAATGGTGCCAATGCAGATAGTGACAACAATGTAGATGACTAGCCTCAGCCAGTAATACCCGAAGTCCCTCGACATGTTCACAAAGGAGCGTGTAGTTAATGTGAAAGCCTGCATGAAGAAACTAGCCTGACTCCCCCCAGAATCTAGCACAGTCCCTTTCTGCATGTAAAAGTGTAACAAACAAAGCAGTCACTAATTAATTGGAATGAATATCTATCTACCTATCTATCTTCACCAGTTTGTTGTTACCAAATCCGCACTTGAACCTAATATGTCTGATGATGTATATTTTTATAGATAAGAGCCCGTCAGTGAGAGAGAGAGACACTCACAATTTTGGACATCTCCTCAATCTTTTCCTTGGCCGAATAACAATACTGAGATGTGCGATAAGAGTCTACAAGCGTCCGAATTGCTTCTGCTGTGGTTATCTTTTCAAGAGGATCATCGTTTGTCTCGAACTGATCAGAGATTCAAAAAAGAAAGAATGGCAAGCAGCCAGTGTCATCGATCCAATGTTTTGATTTAAATAAGAATGCTTGTTGAGTGAGGTCTACTATCTGACTGGAGTATGGAGTTTCTAGTGGATGATGCATGGTATGGTCGTCGTGGTATAAAAGAACAGAATCAAGTTTAGGGAAGAAGAATAATGTTACCCGAATCTTCATAGATCCTTTTAGAGTTGCTTTCACCTTGTCAAAATCGGAGTTGATGCACCGGAGGAAATGGTCGGAGGGATTTCTCAGAGCGGGGCAAGGGAAGCCAGCTTGTGCGAAAAACTGCATGAAACACACACACACACACACACTCATGAAGATGTTAATTAGCAGTGTTATTTTATTTAATAATTAAATGAAGTCGGTTAGCTAGCCTAGATCTAGTGATTAAGATGAGCTAGAGTGATGACCGCATGCCTCGTAGGCTTCCGAGGCTTGACCGAAGTAGACAGTTTTTCCACCGGACAGCAAGTACAGGCGGTCAAACAGCTCGAAAACTTCACTGCTAGGCTGGTGAATGGAGGCTATGACTGTCCGCCCATCTCTCGAAAGCCCGCGTAATGTCTGGGTCACAAAGAATGCCGATGCACTGCCGTTGACATATACATAGAAAGAGAGAGAGTTGTAATCATATATATTTTGCTAGAAATAGATGCTACATACAAAATGTCAATGCAACAAGAGTCAACAGGTGCGTCTTCGTGTAGATGTGTGTCGCGTCTGGTACTGATCAAAATAAAAGAAGACACACACACACACGCACACACACACGCACACAACATATATATATATATAGGCATATGTGTGTGTGTGTACCCCCTGCACACTCACGCCTGCCATTAGGTGGATCATGCGGCTTTATCCATATACGTCACCTTTAAATTGCATGCACACTAAGATTTTCCAAATTATTATTATTATTTCCAAGTTATTATTTTATTTAGGCAATGCATTGCTGACACAGGGACAAACAGGATTGATGAGGAAAGGCATTGAAGATCCTTGGAATGTGCACTTCCACAAAAATTTCAGTACAACGACAAAGGTAGACGACATAAAATGAACAAAAAATTTCCATACTGTCCTGATCAATATAAATAAATAAATATATATAAAGATTTTAATTTTGACTAAAAAGCTAACTAATTAAGGTCAGGTAAAACCTAGGTATAAAATGGCGGCAGCAATGCAATGCGGGCCGGGGAGTTAGTTAGCTAGCTAGCTAGGAGTTTACGTTCGTATAGGATATTAGTGTAGTAATTAAGAATTGCAAGTCTCCTCTAGTCTCGTCTCATCGATCAGATATTCAGATGAGCAAGAATGATTAATTAATTAAGTAGGCGCGTAATTACCTGTCCAGGCCGCTGGTTGGCTCATCCAGGAAAAGCAACCTGGGGCGCATCAGGATTTCGAGCGCGATGCTAACCCTTCTTCTCTCTCCGCCGCTGATGCCGCGCAGGTGCCAATTCCCGATCACCGTGTCCGCGCAGTCCTGGAGCCCCATCTCCACAATCGTGCTCTCTATCAGCGCGCGTTTGTCTGACCATGGCATCCCGTCGGGAAGGCGCAGTCGAGCTGAGTACGATATTGTCTCGCGAACGGTCAGGGTGCCGATCAGGTTGTCGTCTTGAGTTACATATGCCTGCAGCAGTGACACATAGATTAATTGGATTACTGTTAATGTCATGACTGCTGGCTGAACCAGGTGCGGTCGTATTGAATCCGAAGAATGCAGCAGATATTCCGTATTATCTATGGAATTGAAGTCCGGAGAGAGTGGCAGCCAAAGAGACGCATACGATACGCGTACCCATACCTAACGGATCGCAAGCTAAGGTTTACAGATAGATATAGATGCATAGTTAGATCATTAGTTTGAATACGCCGTTGCCGCTGCTGCTTTCTATTAATTGGACATTAATTATTATTATTATCAGAGAAACTAAAGCATATTGAAACTGTCCGATCGGATCGGATCGGATGGGATGGGAAGACATGAATGTAACCAACCAGGAAACGTTCCCTCGAACCATGCAAAAGCCGAGAGAGAGAGAGAGAGAGAGAGAGAGAGAGAGAGAGAGAGAGAGAGAGAGAGAGGGAGAGAGAAGGACATGAACCAGCAAGCACAATAAATAAAAGTAATAATAAGCATAGAAATAAAAAAATGGAATTTGAAACTCACAGCAGTGCCGAAGGAGAGCTTGGTCTTGCGGCCGTTGAGGAGAATGGTCCCGGAGAGGAAGGCGTTGGCCGCCAGACGGCCCGAGAGGGCGTCGAGCAGAGTGGACTTGCCGGATCCGGAAGGGCCCATGAGCGCCGTGAAGGATCCTGGCTCCGCGTACCCAGAGAGCTTCTCCAGGACATTCTGAGTGTCCCCGTTGCTCAGAGTGACCATCACCGTCAGATCCTTCCAGGTCAGCCTCGCCGACACGTCCCCCATGAACTCCGTGTTGGTCTTCTCCTTCCACAGGCTCTCGCTCAGGGGGCTCAGCCCCCCCACCACCAGCCCGTGCCCCTGCGGCTTGCTGGCCTCGATCTCCATCATAACATCATCTGCGGCCGAGGCTGAGGAGGAGGTCTTCTTATTCGTCGTCGTCGTCATGGCTTACCCTGCACTGCAGCAGCCGCGGAGTAATTAGTTGTTCGATCTCTTCCCCGAGAGTAATTAAAAGAATGGATACTACTGCGTGCAACAACAGCAGCTAGCTGTCGTCGGGGTATTAATCTGTGGTAGGCGACTAACAAGATTATCAGAAATGGAGTTTGTATGAGAAACGCAGACGCTGTGAATTTGACTGCCCCCCAATGCAATGGCTGACTGACTGACTGACTGATCACGGCGATATCACAGCAAAGGCTTCGCTACAGCTACAAATTCCAACAACCAAAACTACGAGGCCGGCCAGTCACGCAGTTAGGCTTGATTCTAGCTTGGGTTGGATTGGGTCGGGTTGGTTTAATCTGATCTGATCTGATCTGATCTAATCTAATCAAATCAAAGAATAAACATGATCGATCGAGTGATTATATCGTGGAAACAAGGCACACGCAGGCAGGCAGGCGCACAGTATAGTAGAGTCGTGGGGAAGAATATGAGTAGAGAAGGAAGGACTAGTAAAGGTAATTAAATTGACGCCGACGGCGATGAGGATGAACTCTCCTCCCTCCCACCCTCCGGGTCCATATGGGGTTTATGGTTATGGTTATGGTTATGGTTATGGATGGTCGAGTGAAATGGTGGTGCTGCTGTGCTGTGCTGTGCTGGGACGGCCATTAATGTGGGCAGGTAGATGTTGGTAGAGGCATTAAATGGGCATGTACCGACCCAATTAAATTAAAAATAAAGTTGTGGCATGGCACGGCATGGCATGGGCGGGCGGGGGAAGTTGGCACATAAATAAATTTCTAGGGCTCTCTCTAGTAGCCATCATCGTCTCGCCTTAGAACTCTTATTAATATCCCATCCAATTGCGCTTATTAGTTTTCTTTCGGATAGATAGATAGATAGATAGATAGATAGATACATCGATAGATAGAAGATAGCCATAGAATGAGCGTCAAATCATCCTCTGTCCTGGCCCACTCCATAGAACTCACCTCATGCACCTCACTTCTAATAGAACACAATTCCTTTTCCCATTCCAACACCCATTCCCATGTGGACAATATATATATATACATATATATCATAAATTAATTATTCTTTTTTCTATAATAAAAATATATAATTATTGTAGAATTAATTCATTTGCCAATTGCCATGCCTTCCACGTCAAAGTGCAGCTTTTTAAGTCCAGTTCTTACACACGCGCATCATTCCCTATGATTAAAATCAATATGGAATTAATATATACACACTTAAATATTTATTGGGATTGGACTAAGTTATTTTTGTTTTTTTGTTTTTTTTTTTTTTTTTTTTCATTCACGGGCCTATCATCATATCGATATCATGGCTAACGGTCTAAAGTGCTGGCCGCGTTTCCTTGGAGGTTATGGGACCTAAGTGCATTTGCAATAAAGGTATTTATTAAGTAAATATGTTTTTTCTTCTACATCATATTTTTTTCCTTCAAACTCAACAAAAGAAAGTACATACATATTTATATTTATATCAAAATTATTTATTTTTAATATTAAAAATTTTAAAAATATATATCAATGTATATCATTTTATAAAAAATAATATTCTATATAATATAAATATATAAATACAACTACTATTAAAAAAAAAAAGTAGATATTTTATAATTTTCTAAAAATAAAAATGGTGATGTAGCATGATGAGGTGCGTATCTCGTTGGTAGAGATACCACATTGCAAATGCCCTAACCTGGATGACAAATATTGTACGGACAACCTTTGTGGATCGTAATAAAACATTTATCTATTGTTCGATGCTAATACACCAATAAAGCATGCATTTATAGTTCCATATGCAAAATTATAAATTAGATAAACTTATGTTTGCTCTACATTCTCATCATAATAGCAAATACACAAAATATTATCTGATTAATTGACATGTTTTTTTTTTTGTTTTTTTTTTTTTTTTTTTATAACTAATTAACTTGTTTTTTTGTTAATACAATTGATATCACGATATCAAGTTACAATTATGTTGTCTGTCTCACAATATATGAAAAAGGGTTTGGTTCTATGAAATTGATCCCCCTTGAAATTACTTTATATACACAATGATGGGGAAATATGGAAAATCTTGTTATTGAATAATAGGTGAAAAATTAAATTCAAAATTTTTAAAACCGATTAAACGACAAGTAGAAATATTACGAATTGAGAAAATCAAAATAATAGGATCTTGGTCTTGCAATGAAAAAGACTAAGTTTAATTAAGTGGGCTAAGGTGGACTCATTATTATGTTTAAGGAATAATTAACTAAATAATTAGTTAATTATGCCTCTTTGGGAGTTTGAATACAAAATGAATGGATTTGTAAATAAATATAATTATAATGGATAAAGTGGCATGCATACCGGCAGACGAGCCATAGTAAAGTTACTTCTTAACGAGTTGAATCGAACAGAATTTGATAAATATGATCTTATATTTTATTTGTAATTCATATATATAATACTTCATTTATTTTTAATTCATAATTTCATATATATATATATTGTGAATATTCGCGAACAAAGATCGGACTCGTTCGTTCATCAACAAAATGAACATATTCGGCTCGAATTATTTATGTTTGCGAATTAGTTTAAACCAAATCAAACTGAATCAAATTTACAAATAGTTTGACTTGTTTAACAGCTCAAGGCCCACACGTGTGCCGCATGTCCATCGGGATTGGATACAAGCACAAGCTTGGGCTCAGTGCTTGGATTGTAGGACTTGGGACTTGATAAATGTTTGACTTCACGATGCCAAATTTTACTTGAAAGCCTAAAATTAAACTCAAATTTTTTTGTCATGTCTCCAGACAAACCCATATTATCCGGTACCTCAAGAAAATAGAACTAATTTTTAGCCCGGCATGCATGTACAAAAATTTTATCTAGATATTTAACAACGAATTATTATTGGCAGTTTTTGGCAATTAATGGTCGACAATACTAACGGTAATGGTCAATATTTTCAATTTTGATATTGAATTTTCCCGAGTGAAGGTTCCTATAAAAGCTCTCCATACCCTCTATTCAACACACATATCTTAAGCTCTCTTCTCTCCAATTACTTATGTTTTTCCAATTAACTTTCCAGCAAGTTTCCATAATTTTATTTCTTCCGGAATGGTTCTCTTCTTTCCTTGTCATATTTGTTCCGAAAAAGTAAGTTTTCGACATAAAGGAGTTTGAAAAAAGATATATAAATATATATATGAACAATCATGCATCTTCTAAAGTCAAATGAATGGAAACAGTGGTTTTGAAAATGGCATTTAAAAAAGAGCTAATGATAATTGCTAACATAGATTTAGCGGACTGTGACGTGATATCTAATTGGGACCAATACTTTTGTATTCAAGAATATACGGCCGTATATATATAATCAACACTTATACGTCATTGAAAACACAACCGTGTTTTGTGTCTTACTCCTCCAAGCTGAAACGCCTACTCTCAATCTCCCAATTCAACTTTAACAACCTCACCTCCGGAAAACTTCTCGGGCTGGCTTTCCGGCCTCGCTGCTGCCCAATTCTGGCTTGTCCTCCTCGTTGGCTCCCTCCTCAGCCTCGCCGGCTATGACATCCAGTACCTCTTTTCTTAGCTAGCCACCTCTTCTCCCTTTCCTATTACCATATTTTTTCCCTCACCTCCGTTATAGTTTTCTGATCGAGCGAAAGTGTTCCTTCTTCTTGACGCTATTATGCCGGTAGCCGTCTGCCTTGCCGCTGTCCTGTTAGCCTGTGACTTGAGCGTCAAGAAAATGAGGAATCTGACGGCTGGATTCTTCTCTATGTTCGTCGTCACCATCGCCACCGGCATCGTTGTTGTGGTCACCAACCTCAGCTCTGCTGCCTCCCACTCAATCTTTAATTTTGTCATCTTCATTGCCATTGTTTTTTGTTCATCCTGTCTCTTCCAATGGCTACGAACACTTTCTTAGCAATTTATTGTAGCTGCTTCGACTTCAGTTTCTGCTCAGATTCTCCATTGGATTGCAGAAGTAGCACCATATATATACACAATGAAAATTGAATGGTTAAGGAATTATTGATTATGAGGGGAAGACAGAGAAGAAGTGCAAAATTGTGCAGAAGGAAGATCGAGGAACTTAATAGAAAACTGTGTGTGGGTATTGAATGTATGAACGAATCTTGTTTTTATTTTGATTTGATTTGGGGACATGAACTGCAATTACAAAACAACACACGGCCGTAGGGTTATGGAATACGATCGTGTTTTCAATAACGTTTAAGTTGATTATATATATGCGGCCATATTTTATTAAACATGACTTTATTTGTTCAAATCATATGTCACATACAATCAGTTACGCTCATATAATTAGTTTTCGGTAATTTTATAATAATGAGACCAAAATTAATTAAAATTATTTATATTGAAATTCGTATTTATGAATTTCTCATCAAAATTGGTTAATTTAAATTTCAATTGGACTTGTTTAATTTTGATTTCTTCCTGATTAAGTGGTATCTTTCTCATCAAAATCAAAATATCTTGTGTAGCGAATGGAGATGGACAGCTATGAATTAAGTCAACAAGATTGAAAAGGTGAGTGAAAGATTGAATTGGAAGTGGTATTGATTTGTTTCCAACTAATACCGGCCAGCCTCAACTTTATTATTAGTACAAATCAACCGAGCTCAAACTCAATTTGGATAACTTTTGGTTTGACCGACAAGGAGTGTCGGACTTGTTTGAGCTCGTGATTTTATTGTAGGTAACAACACCTCACCCCAATTACAATACATACATGACAAAATAAAAGAAAGAAAGAAATAATTTAATGAAATACAATATGGGTGGGTGTGGGTGTGTGGATAAGAAGATATTATTCACGGAGGCGGTGGACAACTAGAAGCTGAAAATTCGCAGACGACTTGCACTGTACTGACTATTTTCGTCAACAGCCAAGCCAACAACCCACTCCGACCAGCTTATTAGCTTATTTCTTTGGAGTAAGAACATACATTTTGCAATCGTGGGGAGACACCTCCGCGGAGATCTGCCCTTGGAGGGAGCTTTGGGTGGAATGCTGCAGATCATATTAGATGAGATGAGATGAGATTAGATTCAATGCAACAATAGTAATAGGAATACATATAACAGCAGCTATTTATTAGTAGTAATTTGTTGTCTTGTAGTAGTAACTAGTGAGGAAAGAAGTAGGTCCTGCTAGCAAGCAAGCAAGGTTGCTTACCGCCCAAACATCGCGGGCATCAACAACAGTGGTGGAGCGGAGGCCTAAGTCGGACCAGTAGGCAGTAATGGTGGCCTGCGAGGACCCTCTGTTCCATAAAACCACCGCATGCCTGCCCCCGCTCAGCGCTCCTCCCCACACCTGCACACCAATCAATCAATTATACATATAATAAGAATGGAAGAATACGAAGAACACATGCACTTGTGCAGTGCAGTGCAGTGCAGTGCCTTCAACTTAGGCAATCAATCGCATGATATGATCCATCCATTTGCCTCCCTGCCAAGGCAACACCACTACTACTAACCTCTGAATCCCCATATTTCTTGAGCTTCCTCCCTTGAATGCCAAGCTTATCTGTATGTGTGTGTGTGTATGCACATCATTATTAATAAGGCATGAGCTAGCTAGCCGTGCAGGCGATCGAGCCACACGACTATATATATATATGCATACATATAGAAAACGGAGAGAGAAAGTGTGTGTGTATGTGTGTGCGGTGTAGTGACTCGTCGCTCGCTCGCTGACCTTGGTTTACGGCAATAGCCTCCTTGTTGGTCAACAGATCCTTTGTCACACTGTCCATCGACCGAATGTCACACCCAATCAGCAGAGGAGCCTAACCACCCCCCACAAAACAAAACAGCATTAGCAATAGCATTCGCCTTAGCATTAGCATTAGCATCAGCATCGCCCATCTTAATTAGAAGGAGATGAACAATGAATTCCTCCCTTGGTGTTGGTGTTGGGGTTGGTGTTGGTGCTGCTGCTACTGCTACTGCTACTGCAATTCATTCATTCATTCATTGCCGCTATTTATTCATTTATCAAGTCACTTACTTTCGCCAATGCCCATATGCTGAAATGTGATCGATATTCTTCAGTGCTCATCCCACCATTCCCAACTTCCAACATGTCCGGATCTACCAAAATCATTCCAACACACTCATCATCATCATCCAGCTGTAATAGATGTTGGCAATTCGATCGATGCTTGCTCGCAATCAATTAAAACACAATGGAGCTCAGTCTTACCGTTCCATCCACCTGGCCCTGCATACGCTGCCCATTTGTCGTTCATATCCGCTCGAGAAATCATACTAGGTAGAAATCACATGAATAAAAGAAGCAGTGTCACAACCACCACCACTACTACTACTGCTACTGCTACTACTATCAGGATTACGAGTTTTTCACCTCTCCCAGTCATCACTAATGTCTCCAGTTGTTCTCCAACTGTTTCCAATAGATTTGGCCCAGGTGGCTGGATCTTCTTGCCCCCTGCAATTCATTGCACTTGCTCTGTCAATCACATATTCATATATGGTAGGTAGGTAGGTAAGGACGAGCGCCGTGATCCTGGCTGGATTGGCTGAGACTAACCATTCACATAGAGAGAAGAATATGGACCTCCCGGAGTTGAGCAGAGCCTTTCCCATTAAGGGATACCTTTCCCTACCGCTGACACCATTGTTGTTGCAATTGTCATACTTCAAGTAATCCGCGCCCTGTGTTGTGTTTTCAATATCAAACACCACCACAGGTTAGCACGAGCAGAGTCCCATATGGGGGGGGGAGGATATCAGACAGAATATCAATATGCATGCAAGTACCCATGAGGCAAAAGTTTTTGCATCTTGCTCTTCGTATCCAAGTGATCCAGGCATTTGCTTGCTGCATGTCTGAGTCCTGCCGTAATATATAAATTAATGATCACAACCCATTCCCATCGCCATTACCATCATCAATATCAATACATACAGTTTAAGCCCTATATAACTAATTAAGCTTCCTTCCTTACTAAAATAGCAGTATATTTTACCCAGCATCGGAGTAAATTCCGAATTTTAGTCCTTTCTTGTGGACATATTCTGCCAGTGCTTTCATTCCAGAAGGAAATGTAGATTCTTTGGCCCTCAAATTCCCCTGCATTGCATAACAATAAATTACACAATTATTATTATTATTATTATGCTGACAATTGGCTCTTTTACTCTGGATCGGTTCAAACAAGTACAAGAGGGCATAGATTCGTTTGTTTGTCCATACCTTGGAGTCCCTACTTGATTCAGCCCAACAATCATCTGAGGCAGATGAAGAATAAGAAGAAAGGCTCTAAGTCAAGAAACTAACTAATGCTAATTAGTACTGATACTCTGTACTGTGTGTCCCTATATCTATTATATATATATATATGTAGATATGCATTGCAGTTGAATGGTACGCACCGAGGTTAATATATTCATATCCAAGCGCGGAAAGCCCCGTTGATACCATTGCATCAGCTGTCTCAATCATATGAACAGACAAACAAACCCACCCAGCTGTGAGATACCATATCGTAACTTGGCAGGACATACAAGTTTGATTAACTAACGGCAAGGAACAAGTACTAAATTGGAGTGTATCCTATGAAGCAGGCTCATCACCTGTTTCTTTGATCAGCTTCTCATCGATGTTGCACTGAAAATGATTCCAGCTGTTCCATCTGAAGATTGGCAGAGATTATTATGGCTGATATGAAATCATTTTTCTCCGGGAAATTAAAGAAGCAGAGAATTAAAGAGAACAAATTAAGGAGATCAGAATAGATGTTTGTATGGACACGGATGGATGGCTATATAGATAGATAGATAGACATATGGATAGATAGCTAGGGACATAACAACATACCCCATCTGAGGAGTTCCGCCAAGACCGTTTTCCAGAAGAGCTTTCCGAAAGTGGGAATGGGAGTGGGAGCGGGAGCGGTTGTGGGAAGCCGTGAACCACTTGGTCGGTCGAGCAGATGTCGCGGAGGCACTGAATAAGAGGCAGGAGCAGGCCAGAAAAATCACAAGTGATGGCAGCGACAGACGCCGGCGTCGCCCCATCCCAATACTAGTAGAAGAAGAATGTTTGACAGCAGCAGCAGCAGCAGCGCCCATCGTATGAGTGAATTATCAATTGTATGTTTTTGTTTATCAAGATAACGGGGACTGGCTATCCTTTTCCTCTCCTATCCTCCACTATATAATATATATATATATATATATATATAAGAGCCGACAGACAGACAGACAGACAGAGAGAAAGACGGGCGACGGGACGGAGGGACCGACAGAAAGAGAGACGACGGAAGGAGATTACAGTGAATGAAGAGACCTACCAAGGGAGCAAGGAAGGGCAGGGCCTGCGACTAATAATAATAATAACAATTACAATGATACTAATAATAATATCGATCCTACGTCCTAAAAGGAGGAGGAGGAGGGGGAGGGGTGCACTACATGCTATATGCACACATGATTAAATAAAGGTGAAGGAAGGAAGGAAGATGTGTATGGAGGAAGTGACGTGGCGTGCACCGATGGAGCTGAGTGAGAGGAGCACTGTCACGCACAATAGTCGTGGTCGTGTCGTGTTGTCTCTTTCTATTTATGAAAAAGATGAAACAAACACATACGGCCTAGCCACCCACCCGCACGTGACATGCATGCATATGGCACATGCAGCAGCAGCAGCAGCTTTATGTGTGTATGTGTATATAAATAGCTAGCGTATACTACAATATACTGCTAATATAGTATAGCACTATACTACACGAACACGACTACGACTATATGGTATGGTTTGGGATTAATGATTGATGGATGGATGAATGAAGTCCAACTAAAACTTGAGTTAGGCCGTTCCCATCCCATTTCATCCGATCCTCCGATATATACTATAATAAATATATCATAACTGTCCGATTCATTCAAAATCTAATTATGATATCGAATGCCTTAAGGTATTGTATTGTATTGTAAACATCCCATCCAGCTGCATTGCATTCATTTAATGCCTCCTCCTTAATTTAAATGTCCTTTTTCTTTCTGGAGTTGGAATCGTCTTGGTACTTACTACATATGGACATGAATGTACCAGTACTTAGTTGTACTAGTTCATAGCTACAAAGAAGCCTAGAATAATATATATATATATATATATACATATATCGGAATACATAACATAATTCGTGTGTGTACGTGCAAATTGCAATGATATGACTGCGCGTGTATGTATTTGTGTATGTGCGTTGTGCAGCTAGCATTGGGTCATTTATTTATTTATTCATTCTAGAATGCATGTAATCCCCACAGATTGACTGACTAGCTAGTGTGACCTCCCACAAGTCAGCCCTATTTAAAGGTAGGCACTTTAACTAGCTAGCTGGCATAAAAACATCCTTTATTTTACCCCTTTTGGTCAATCCCAATCCCAATCCCAATTCCAATTCCCAAACCGAATTGAATGACGACTGGCTCTGCCTAGATATTGACTCGTGGAGGTTCTACTGACCTTTTTTAGTTGCAATTTTCTCCATCGGCAGCAGCAATAAGCATAAGCAGCTACATATAATATACCTACTACTCCTACTCCTACATGCATCCTTTAATTAAAGTGCTGATTCTTTTATGATCATCATCATCTTTGTTTTTATGCATGTGTATAGATAGGCTATGTCAATGCTCTATATACACCAACCAACTCATCCCATCTATGCCTTCAAAATTTATATGCAAAAGGCAAAATCTGAAACGAACTCTCCGCCATCCAGCCAGCCATGATTGCCAAATATAGCATCAATCTTAATTAACCATAGCCATGCCATATAAAATAATAAGCAGCAGCAAGACCATCTAAAACTACTCATTTCTATCATCCATTTCCATTTGCCTGCCCTATGTCTTAATACATATACCTATATCAATACGCATATAATACGACTTACCTTTGTTCAGAAACATGAATGTGTTATCTTGAAAAGCAATTTTATGCTCAGTTTAAACTATTTATAAACCTTTCTGTTTAAAATTAAATATAACATGAATTGTATTTTGATTACCTGAACAGTAACATATATAATGACATATATAGTGACGAGTAAAATGTAGTCTCACCTCATATGCTAGCTTGTGAATCATCCATGGATTAGGCTATTGTTTTATTCAAATTTTCTACTACTGAGTCATAAAAAATATGTAAACTTCGTAAACTCAAAATTTTGACAGCTTTTCCTTTCAAATGTGATGTTTTGAGGTTAAAAGTTGACCTAAAATATAGCATATCGTAAATATATGAGTATATTATGATGCATACTGCACTTTTAGTTCCAAAGCAATCTCAATTCTCCTAGTAAAGTATTCTGATCATCAAAGTCGTTTTTAATCATTTCCAAAATAGCTTAATTATCTTAAGAATTCCCCGACGATTTTGGATACCGTGTTGATTAAGTTAACACATATTAATATAACATATATCACATATTTTTATAGCATATTATATAATTACAAATAACATAATATATTTCAATTTTAACACAATAGCACAATTATAAACATATTATATAGTACAATACCATACATAACTTATGCATTATGCCTTGTAATAAAAACATTAATTGTTTCAAATCAGCATGCTAATTTGATCAAATTAGCACGTTTGATCTTGTCAACACCTTAATAGCCACAATTCATTACATATTGATCTCATGAGATCTTCTTCAATTATAAGAATTAATACATAGCTTTGCTTTCTAAAATAAATTGTATAAATAATATTTTATTTTATTTTAGCATTTTCATACATCTTTCGAAACTTGTAATAGTTCAAAAAAAAAAAAAATCAAAAATCAAAAGAAAACAGATTTCATTGTCATAAAAAATTGGTTTGTATGTATACTTCTTTTTTAAATATAAATTATACAGTTTATATATATTCTAGACACAAAAAATATATGTCTAAAATCAATTAAATATCATGTATTTTGGAAGAAAATAAAATTCCAATAAAATAAATATATGGTATTTAATTATGCACACATGTTAATTTTTGTACAATAAATATCAACCATTAATGCAAAAATCTGCTTAAAATGGAAGATATCGTACAAATATTACGTTCATATATAGAGCCATAATAAATTTGGCGGCAAAATAAATTAATCTTGTCAATAAAGGAAATATATAAGTAATATCTTCCAAACAAGGCAATGATATAAAGATCTTGTCAATAAAGGAAGTATATAAATTAATATATTCCAAACAAGGCAATGATATAAAGATCTTGTCAATAAATGAAGTATATAAATTAATATCTTTAAAAAAGGGCAATAATATAAAGATTTTGGCGAGAAAGGAAGGTGCACAATCAAATCCGTCAAGAATGAAAAACGGCATCCGATGGAAAAGGAAAGATTATAAAATCTTTCCATCCAAGTAGCACCATCCGAAAAGGAAGCCAAGGCCGCCCTCCCCTATAAATAGGAGTCATGGCCAATTCATTTGACACACCGAAGTTTCTTCGAGGATTCAAACAAAGGGGTAAGTCTCTAGACTCTTTCTGTATTGTTCTTCATGTTCTTCGTGTCCTTCGAAGCGTTCTTCGTCGAAAGTCACTAATTTGGACAAATGCTTCAATATTGGTTGACGAATCGATGAAGTTAACGTTCTTCGTCGTATGTCCAAGCTGGAGGAAGGATCAAAGCTCTCAAAGCCGTTGAGGAATTCGTCAAAGCCAAGGGAAGGTCTTCAAAGTTCCTCTCAAAGCTTCAAGATGTTCATCGCGTTCTTCACCAAAGCATCAACTCGGCCCTCTTCGATCCAAAAGTCAAAGGGACATGCCACCAAAAGCGTTATGGAGCATCAAATCCACATTTTCAAAAGATCAAAGCTGCGGATCGTCCAAAGAAGACATCAAATCCAAAACTGAGGATCAAATCGCCCACACGGAGACCGAAGCTCTCTAAAAGGCGAAAAAGGCAAATTAAAGATCAAAGCTGCGGATCGTTTAAAGAAGACAACAAATCCAAAGCTGAGGATCAAATCGCCCACACGGAGACCGAAGCTCTCCAAAAGGCGGAAAAGGCAAACTAAAGATCAAAGTTGCGGATCGTCTAAAGAAGACATCAAATCCAAAACCGACGATCAAATCGTCCGCACGGAGACCAAAGTCCTCCAAAAGCGGCAAAGCCAAAACAAATGTCAAAGTCGCGGGTCGTCCAAAGAAGACAACAAATCCAAAGACGATGACCAAATCGTCAATGCGGAGACCAAAGTCCTCCAAAAGGCGGCAAAGCCAAAGCAAAGATCAAAGCCTCGAATCTTTAAAAAAGACATCAAATCCAAAGCTGACGATCAAATCGCTCGCACGGAGACCAAAGTCCTCCAAAAGCGGCAAAGCCAAAACAAATGTCAAAGTCGCGGATCGTCCAAAGAAGACAACAAATCCAAAGACGATGATCAGATCGCCAACGCGGAGACCAAAGTCTTCTAAAAGGCGGCAAAGCCAAATCAAAGATCAAAGCCTCGGATCGTCTAAAAAAGACATCAAATCCAAAGGCGATGATCAAATCGCCAATACGGATACCAAAGTCCTCCAAAAGGCGGCAAAGCCAAATCAAAGATCAAAGCCTCGGATCGTCTAAAAAAAGACATCAAATCCAAAGCCGACGATCAAATCACCCGCACGGAGACCAAAGCTCTCCAAAAGCCGGCAAAGTCAAACCGAAGACCAAACCTCTTCGGATCAAAGAAGCCATCGAAAACTAAGTTGGAAAACAAATCGACCCGGAAGAATTCAGATCAAAAATCAAACCCATTTAGAGAATAGGACCTGCTTTAAATTCAGATCAAATATAATTTGTACAAATTTTATGTTTATTAAAAATAAAACAATTTTTTGTCTACGTATATATAAATTGTATTATTATTAATTATTTGATTATAAAATATCAAACCAAACTATTATTCAAATACAAATATAAAATATATAAATACAAGTAAACAAACTCTCTTCGTCTTGTTTATCACAAGAATAATATAAGTATTTATTTATGTTTGAATAATAAATTGTTGAATCTTATCCTCTCCCTCTATCCCTCATAGTCAAACAAACAAGCCCTAAATAGCAGCAGCTTACAGGTAGATGGTGGTGGTGTTGCAATTGCGCCGCGTCTATTTTTGAAGAGGTGATGATGTTAAATCCTAGAAAGAAATAAATGCCATAGGTTTGCTTGTTTGTTTGTTATCGACTCGGAAGAAGATGAAGATGTAGCGGGTTTTAAGGTTTAAGCACAAACCCCAAAAAGATAAAAATAAAAATAAATAAATATAACTAGAGGCCGAGACTTCATGCCTGGTTAGGGCATGAGTAATACACACTGTTCGTCTGTTGCTTCAATAATAGTAATAAGTTAAGGGTATTAGAGGAGGTGTGTTTGTTGGGCGTGCGTGAAGATCAGATGGGGGCAAGTTGGGCCAGGCCAGCCCGTCAAAAACAGATCCAGATCCAGATACAGTCCTGGACTAATATGGCCTGACCTGACCTGTCCTAGCCGCTGTTGGGACCACAAAGCAATTCAGCCCTTTGCCTGCTTAAGCCAGGTCTCCAAGTACGGACACGCTGCAGCTGAGTGTGCGAGTGAGTGAGGCCCAACTTGTTCTTTTCTTCTTCTTCTTATTAGTATTATTTAGTACTAAAACAGTAGACACAAATAAAGATATGAAAGCGTGCAAGCGCAACAAACTAGCAAGCAAACAGCACACCCATCATCCAATCCAAAGGCCAAACTCAACTCTTCTTATATACACGTACAGGGAACTCGAAGTGGAAGTGGAGCAATCAGATTGTTGAATGAATGAATGACTGGATGAATTTTGTGCAAGCAAGTATCAATGGTGTGGTGTGGTGTGGTGTATTGCAGCCCAGCCTGGCTGGCACTCATTCACACTCTCTCTCTCTCTCTCTCTCTCTCTCTCAGAGGTATGCTACAGGGAGCAGAATGGCGCGTGGAAAGACGGTTGGGGTTAGGGTTGGGGTTGGGAGGCAGCAGCATATAAGGAGAAGAATTCATAAAAGCGGGGTGGGGCGATGCATGGAGCCCACCACCCATGTGCCCTCCTCCTGTCTCCACCACCCCCTGCTCGCTCGCTCGCTCGCTCTCCTCTCTCTCCCCCTGTTGCTGCTCCTCCTCCTCCTGCCTCCAATCCTCCAATCATTATTACTACTCTCTCTCTCTCTCTCTCACTCTCCCCTCCCACTACTCATTCATCGACTCACCTGTCTGTTTGTTCGTTTGTTTATATCACTCTATCCATCCTTCCATCCATCTATCTTTGTTTATTCATTATTGCTGTTACTCCCTCCTCCTCCCTCCTCCGTGGATTTCTTCTCATTTAATTCCCTGCTTTTTTCTATATCATCACCATCATCATCACTCCCTAATCTTTTTTATTTTTATTTTTTCACTTACTATGTCAGCGTCGGCAGCTGCTGCTCATGACGGTGCTAATGGCGCTGCTCTCGATCCTCCTCCCCCTCCCCGCCACCCCCAACTTCTCCCTGCCCCCTCCGCCCCCAAGAAGCCCCCCGCCAAGGACCGTCACAGCAAAGTCGACGGCCGCGGCCGCCGCATCCGCATGCCCATCATCTGCGCCGCCAGGGTCTTCCAGCTCACCCGGGAGCTCGGCCACAAGTCCGACGGCCAGACCATTGAGTGGCTGCTTCGTCAGGCCGAGCCTTCCATCATAGCCGCCACCGGCACCGGCACCACCCCTGCCACATTCTCCACCGTCTCACCCTCCTCCGCTCGTAATTCTGCCTCTTCCTCTTCCTTCTCTGCCTCCGGCCTCGACCACAAGCCCCTTTCCCATTCCCTCCTCGCCCCCACCCCCTTCATTCTTGGCAAGCGCCTGCGCTCCGACGATGATGACCAAACCCAACACCTCTCCAAGGACGATGTCGCCGTGGGCCCTACGGTCGCTGCTGGGGGTTTCTGGGCGCTTCCTGCAAGGCCAGACTTTGGCCAGGTCTGGAGCTTTGCCGCTCCTCCACCTGAAATGGTGGTCGCCGCTGCCACCGGACCAAGCAATTCCCACCACCAGCAGCCGGCTTCTTTGAGGTTTATGCAGCAGCAACAGCCGTTGGGAATCGGAGAGGCCTCTGCCGCGAGGGTCGGTAATTATCTCCCAATCGCCCAAGTACAGGGACACCACCTCAATTTACTCGCATCTCTATCTGGTCCTCCTCCCCAATCTTCTGAACAGCAGAGGGATGGTGATGCCAGTTGAATGGTGTTTCCGTTTGTTAATATTTAATCGATGCAGTCATTTGGGTTTGCATTAGTGAGTGAATGCCTGCTTTGCTGTCTACGTTGTTGCTTTCTGTTGCTTGATTGCTGGTTCCGGGGTACCTTAATTATCCCATATGCTAGTGGTGGTGTAAAATTCTGGGGCTTTGCTTCTGTTGATTGCCTTGCGTTTTCATTGTTCATGATGCTGGTGTTGATAAGTTCTCTATCCAGTGTTTGTATTAGACTTCAGAGTGCTTTTATTTGTAGCTGTTGTTTGGTTGATGGAAATACTCCAATTTGTGTAAGAACGTTAGACAATAAAGGAAATTATTTCACATTGATTTCGCCCCTTTATCTTTGCCCTTGTCCGGTTTATCTTGCTTGCCTTTCATGATTTAATATGATTTGTTATATTCATTATAGGAGGTTGCGGCAGACTACAAATACTTCATGCAAGTTATAGTCACATTCTTTCTTCTTGTATCTTTGAGATGTTTATGGATATAGAAGAGGAGAACATAATATTTATTGCAGATGGAAAGCTGCTATGATGGTAGCTTCACGGCTTGCAATTGCTTCTATGTACCTCAGAGTCATGCCGGCTTCTCAAGTAAGTACCTGTAACAAATCTGTTCTTCTTACGTTCATCATGCAAGCTTGCCCCTATCCTCATGCAAAAGCGCCCACACACACACAGAGTGGAAAGCCTTTTTTGTTTTTGTTCTTGTTGTTGTTTATTGTATAGTTTCAATCTATTCATAATTTTTGTTCTACCCTAGTATGTCACTGGTAATTTGAAAGATTTCTGTACTTATGTGATGTTATAGGGAATTTATTATGAGAGTATGTCATAATTACTTGGGATTTGAGACTCCAGGGTTCAATTCATATGTATTCTTTAATAATGTTACAGAAAATGTCTTACACATGTTTATTTCTAGGGAAAAAGATGATGCAGACGATTTTATATCTGTGATGACAGATTACGCTATATTTATGCAGATGATTCTCTTTTTTGTTTCAAATTTCTTATACATTGAAAGTTTCTTAAAAGTATGCTTCTACTTGTGTTATAAATAAAGGATTGTGTTCTTCTAGTAAGTCATTATATGATTGTTATATCTATAGACTGCTGTTAATAAATATATTTAAATTTGATACCAAATTTAAATAATGTACATTTTTAGGTAAACTTAGCACTCCTTGAATTGGATTTTGAATTTGACAGTGTTAACTTGAGCAAGAGCAGGTATGCGAGGTCAGTGTATGATCCACATAATGATGTTAAGCAGGCAAATGTGCTCTTCTTGAGCAGACTCTTAAAAACAACATTAGAACATGGAGACAAAGCAACTACATGAAGAGCAGTGAATGCTAGTGGAGGTTGTACCAAGCACTTTTGTGAGTCTTGTTAATGGATTATTCTCTCCAATTATAGTAGAACACGGTATTCCCACTTCCGTTTAACTTAGTTTGATATTAAGTGCATTGTAGCTCTGGAAAAAGTGGTCACAATGAGAAGCTGTAGGATTGCATCCTCCCCTGAAATACAACCATAAAAATATAGAATATACAGCTATGACAGAATTTATGCATATAATCTGTAGAACTAAACAAGAAAGTAACAAAATCACAGTATCCACAAAACTTAGTTTCAGGATTAAAGTAAATTAAATTTATATGCAGTTGGATGTTCAAGTAAAGATATGAATGTATGATGAGAGATATATTGAGTTTCAACTGGGGAATTTATTAACTAAAGAATATTCTGTAGATTATTTATCAGTACAGAGCCTGGGGGCCAATTACTAGAATTTTTGGCAAAATCCAAATGTCAGCTGTGAAATCATCTTAGAAATCTCTTTGTTTTACTTCTAGTCTTAATATAAAAGAGTGTCCGTAAAATTATAGAGATGAATCTTTCTTTTTAGTATCAAATCCTAAACATACGATACAATGTCTTCAATTTTTTGGTTTCTAATAACCAATCTATTGATTCGGTTAAGGAAAGAAGAGTTATGCACGACTGATTATATGCTTTTTCAAGTTTCATTTCTCCAATTTCTTGTATTTAGAAGTTAGTGACTGACGACTCCAAATATGAGTATATTCTTAGTTTGATAAACTGTGTATTACTTGAATTTTTGTATAAAAACTATCATAATAACTTGTTAATGGCATACATTATTGATCTATATCGCTTGGCATGATCAAAAGTTTGTTTGTTGAGATTATTAACGATTTTTGCCCTTTTTAAGCGGTGTTCTGGTGCAAAAAAAGTTAAGGCAGACGCCACAAACGACAACCACCTCCGCTTGCAAGCGATGGTTATATCACTCAGAAAAGACTAAGACAAGAGAGGCAAGCGGCAGCTTCCACCGGTCACAAGCGACAGTCTCTCCCGCTTGCAAGCGAAGGCTCAGACGCTGCAGAATGACGGCAGATATTGACTAAGTGTTCCAACTGCAGCGGTGCAGCCATTCTATTTCCAGCCATCACAAGCAAGCCTAGCTGCGCTGATGCCCTCCGGCAAGCGAGGAAGATCTGAGCCCTTATCCTATGCAAGCGAAGTGAGTACCCTAGGAGTTATGGCCAACTGCTTCAACAGCCATCAACCGCCTAACTGCCTAGCGGTTGAAACTGCCTTGTAACTGCTTGCAACCGTTCTTTTTCACCTAGTATAAATAGGGCCAGATATCTGTATGTAAATATACTTCGATTGGAGTATTTTAGCGATTAATTTCCTGCGCATTCTAGCTGTCTTTATGATGTTCGAGAGCTCCAACCCTGTAAGGGAGTTCTCCACGGGAATGGCCAAGGGAGTATGGAAATGCTAATAAAACTGGAAATGCTAGTTCTACAAAGCTGTAATCGAAAGCAGTAAAGCTACACTAAGTAAGCGGTAAATCCCTACTCCCTTGGCTATTCCCGTGGAGAACTCCCCTACAGGATTGGAGCTCTCGAAGACAAGGAAGACAACTAGAATGTGCAGGAAATTAATCGTTAAAATACTCCAATCGAAATATATTTACATACAGATATCTGACTCTATTTATAGTAGGTGAAAAGGAACAGTTACAAGGCAGTTTCAACCGCTAGGCGGTTGATGACAGTTATTCTGTTAAAGCAGTTGTTGGCCATAACTCCTAGGGTGCTCACTTCGCTTGCATAGGATTGTAAGGACTCAGATCTTCCTCGCTTATCGGAGGGCTGGAGGGCATCAGCGTAGCTAGGCTTGGTATCGCTGCAGTTGGAACACTTAGTCAATATCTTGCTGTCATTCTGCAGTACTGGGCGCTGGGCCTTCGCTTGCAAGCGGGAGAGACTGTCACTTGTGAGCGGTGGAAGCTGCCGCTTGCCTCTCTTACCTTAGTCTTTTCGGAGTGATATAACCGTCGCTTGCAAGCGGAGGTGGTTGTTGCTTGTGGCGTCTGCCTTAGCTTTTCTGACATCAGAACACCGTTTAAAAAGAGCCAAAATCGTTAATAATCTCAACAAACAAACTCTTGATCATGCCAAGCGATATAAATTAATAATGTATGCCATTAACAAGTTATTATAATGATTTTTATATAAAAATTCAAGTAATACACAGTTTTGTGAATATTTCTATATTTGGAGTCATCTGTGACAAAAGGAGATAAAGGTAACCTGTTATGTGAACATACTTAGTTGGAGAAAGTTCATCCCAATACAATTTGCAAGTGGTGTCTGTGTTGTGGAGAATTAATGTTCAAATAGATACTAAAGGCCTAAGATATGTATCTCGTTTTAAAAATGTGTCATTAATGTCTAGTGGATTGCTGAATTTGTTCATGAGAACAATGTTACGCCACTTTTGCAGGAGAACTTGGTGGCTGATAAAACAATCAGGAGTATGACCGGCTTCGTATAGATGCCGTTGTTAGTCAGTCTTTACTATCAAAATTGAACACCTGGCTATCTCCTGAGTTTTTCAAAATCTCTCTCTCTCTCCTACAGTAGAATGAGTGACATTTCACTGGAACCCTGTGAGAGAAATATTTGATAGAAAGAACGAGAATCCTTAATTTATTGAAGAGCTATTGTGTAATATGATTAGTACTCTGGTTGACATCAATTGCCACAGGTTGCCATATAATCCCAATTTTATGAATGGAGTTTTATTCTTTTCAGAAGTTCCTATGATGTGCTTGACAATGTTAATGGTAGTGTGTGACTTAATTTCTGAAAATCAAGCATGCTACGAAGTAATGTTGAAGAACTGTAGCATATGAGTTGGTTGTATTACTATTTAAATTCAGGGTATGAAATAATTACTGTTTCATCATATCTATCACTACCATTGCTCATCTTCAGAGCTAGTTTTCAGGATAAGGAAGCAATGGAAAAACATGTTTATACATATGGAAACTCGTATTATTCTATTTGATGGTGACATCTGAGTATAAATGATCTGGAATGAATATCAGTGAAATTCAAAAATGAAAAATATTTCATTATTGAGAGCTGGGCTACTTCTCATTTAGGCATACTTGTAGTCATTAGTACACCCGCATTGGTCCTAAGTAAATTATCACACCCTCTACTTTCTGCAAATCTGCATGTAATAATATGTTCTATTTAAATTCTCTGTGCTAAAAGCATTTCTTGTTTGAAATATTTGGCAACGCTGCTCATACATTAAGTCTATTTAGTTCTATCCATCTGCTGATTTAGTGGTCAAAAAATGTAATTCATCATAATAAGATATCAACTATTCAGGCCACTGATAGAGTATATTTTAATGTCAGCATATTGTTGCTATCTAATTCCTTTACTCGTGTTGGAATGAATGTGGATTTATTCTTCTTTCTTGTTTACCCTAATGTAATGTTAGGGGATTGGCACCTGTTCATGCTACATCTCACGGGGGGCTAGATCTGATGCCATTACATTAAGCCTACAAAGTGTAGTTTTAATGAATCCTGCTTGAAAGCAGCAAACAGTGCTCATTCCTTCAGATGATGAATTTAGACCTGGTATGGTGGGCAGGCAAACTCACGCCTTGGATCTGTGAGGTATACATAGAAAGTCCTTAGCTTGCTAGCTTCTGCACATAATTTAGAAATTGGCTACTTATTTTCTGATAAATATTCTGATACATATAAGTGATTTAGCACCATAACTCATTTGTTGCACCATTTTATATACTTTATCTTATATCACATGGCAGATGGGTACTGTAAATTTTGATAGTGGTGGGTTACTTTGATGTTGCCAACCAGACGCCATTCTTTTCTTTGGATGGATTTCAAATCTTTACATGCTGCGAATACATTTTGATTTGTTATTTTCCCCATACTATGTCAGGGTTGCCAACAATTGGATGCTAAGGCCGATTTGGATTTAACTCTTAGTTATTGTGTTTTCAATATATATGTTTTGTTCCCTTTAATTGTTTTCCTGTAGCTATCTTTCAGAAGGACCCCATAGAGCTTGACTCCAGTGGACTAACATGGACATAAAGCGAAACAGAAAAATACAAGCCTGTATTGTTGGTTTGATAAAGAACAAATGTCATGTGGTCTCTGGATGATTTAAAATCATCAACAGTGCATATGCGTATATATTTGAAACCATGTACAAAAACAATAATTCACAGATGCTAACAAGGTATGTTTGCAATGGATTAAGTAGCACCGGTATTAGCATTTGTTCTTTCAGTTTAAGTGATCCATGCTTATTTTGGTGAGTTGTGTTTGAAACCCATTCAACAATCGAGCTGATGGAAAGAAAGACATCCGATCCTCCTTGAGCTGCCTCCACTGAAATGTTGTCGGGAAGTAATGAAGGAATAGGGCTATCTGGAGGCGAGCCAACTCGGCCCCTGGACAGAAGCGACCGCCTCCCCCAAATGGGGCAAAATGTGGACTGCTCCTCCAATTTCTCTTCTCTTGATTTTCAGGTTCCATCCATCTCCAAGGGTTGAACTTCAGAGCATCCTTGTAAATGTCCTCATTTAGGTGGACTGCTGAAAGGAATGGGACCACAAAGCAGCCTTTGGGAATGATATAATCTGCAATGCTTCAATCATTTCAGATAAACACATAGTGCTAAGCATTGCTATATTCCGGTCACTACTGTAGTTGGTATGATATGCTGATTACCTCCGTATTCTACTTCTTCTTTGGCTTCTCTCATCAGCCAAATTGCAATGCCAGCCAGACGCAGAGTCTCATCGATTACCTGTTGCAGACAAGGGAGGGCTCAATAGGTTCGTTCTGTCAAGGTTTCAGGTGAGAGTAAAAGGCATAGATTATGCATCTTGTCAACTCATTCTCCTAAAGTTGCAGACAGTAGAGTTACAAATGACTCGATTGGTTGGTAGAAGAGGACTCACACATTGAGTGAAAGGCATAGCTTTATAGTCTTGCCAGCTCAGCATGCTTTCGTTCCTTAGGCTTTGCTGCTCTTCCTACACTTGTGATGGATGATCCCCCAACTCATAAGTGAATAGTTTGAGATAATAAGGCTGAGCTTGTTCTGTTGTACATACCAGCAATTGCTTCAAGGCTCTTGGACATTGTGTGAGAAAATAAACCGCAAAGAGCATGGTTTTAGCGGTTGTCTCATTCCCAGCAAAGAGAAGGTTAATAATGAAGTCAGCCACAGCATCATCAGGCAAGCTTTCTTCTTCTAATAGCCTTCCCAGAACACAAGCGTTGGCGGTGGCAGGAGAGGACTGCTGCTGTTGATGTATCTCCATCGCCCTGTAGATCTTGTTTATTATACATTCCCTTGCCTGTTCAATGACCGAAAATTGAAGGTGAGTTCCTGATAAAGTAAGCCAATAATTGCAACGCCTGCTTTCAAAGTAGCCTGAGGTATATGTTTATTGCTCACAAACAGGTTGCATGTGTACACGAAGGAGTGGAAAAACGACTAGAAAACTGGAATAACAAAGAACTCTGCTATTATGGCTATCTGCATCTAATGCTATATAGTGAACAAGTAGCAATAGGATTGATCAAGATTGACAGCAAGGTAGGGTTTGTAGTTCTTTAGACAGCCTCTTAAGAATGACAGCACATCTGAATTTTATGTTGCTGGATTCAATGATGATGCTATTCTAGACTTGCAGACGATGAAAGCAACTTGAAAGAATGATTCACGGTACCTTCATTGCTTTGTGGTAAGCAAAACCAGGCAATTTGATGGGCACAGAAAGGCAACCATCAGCGAAATCAGAGAACAAACAAGCTATCTCATCCACTTGGGACTCAGAGGACATTCCGAGGAGTTGATTGATTATCAGGTTGATTGCCACCTGAAGGATGAGTGATTAGGTGGAGTTGGCCTTGTGCAACTGCTGGGCCTGATAATTCACATTTGGGCGAATTAAAAAAAAAAAAGAGTAGACTCGATTGTTACCTTCCTGCAAACATCTTGGAGAAGAACAACTTGATTGTTGTGGAGGCTGGCCATGGTCTGTTTCATAACTATCTGTATGTCCTGCATGAAATGGCATCGGAGTCGGTCCAGGCGCATCATATTGGAGGCGATGGAATGCAGCTTCCTTTGTTGGTCTCCTTGTGCAGTGATCACCCCACTTTTCCCGACCAGTTCTCTGAAAGATTTTGGATAGCTGGACTGGAACAACTTCCCTTCATTCTGCATCACGAAACGGTTGAAGGCCGGGTCAGCTGATACAACAGCCCATTTCCCAAACAGGCTGCACGAGAATATCTTGCCAAACCTGTTGCAAGGTATGGATGTATGTATGTCTGATGAATGGTTGGTATGTGTGTATACCTATCTATCTATCTATCTATCTATCATCAACTGCACACACAATGTAACTTTTAACGTGTGTGTGTATGTATATGGAAAGAGGATGGGATGAAAGTGGTAGAGCGGCGTACCTCTTCACCTGTTGCTCCACAAAACTCGGGGGATGAGAGCTGGAAACAGCATTGTACCAGTTGATGCTGTCCCCAACGAGAGGCCACCCTCTTCTGCCTGGAGGCAACCTGGCGGAGTGGCTCTTACTGTTCACATGAAGCCTGAGTTTGGCAAGGAACAGGGAGAGCAGCAGCAGGAGGAGGGAGCTGATCATGTATGGAAACGCTCTGGCATAATCCGGTGCCATTTCGAGAAGCTGGCGGACACGGACTGGGAAGGCTGGAAACAACAACAAAGTGAGGCAAGCATGCATACATACATACAGATGCGGTAGATTGATTTTGATGGTAGTATTGTAGAAGAAGAAGAAGAAGAAGTAATCTGCAGGCAGGGGCAGGGGCAGGGACAGGCTTTCAATTTAATGGTTGACTGGGAAGGGTAAAAAGAAAAGAGATGTGTCTGTCACGCCACGCCCACACCCGCACGTCTGTGCGTTCTAGAATGTGTAGCAAGTTAATGCATTTTTATATACTATAATACAACTAATAGTATCCATTGGTATAGTTCGTTTATTATACATCTTCCAACTGTTGCAGGAATACTGCACTGGCATTGCTCATAATTTAATATAGTGTTTCTTATTGTTATAGTTTATTATATTATCTTCAAACAGTTGCAGGAATACTGTACTGGGATTGCCTTGCATTTTTATTTGTATATGTATTTATTTATTTATATGTATGTGTGTGTGTGTGTGTGTCCCCTAATAATAATGATCTCATCTCATGGGATGGATACACTACCCTACACCACTTAACACAAGAGATCTCTCAGAAGTAATTTGAGTGGTAATCAGGGTGGGATGGTGCAGGTGCTGGTGCTGGTGTTGGGTAGCGGCGGCGGCCATCCCAACTTGTCTAAGATCCATCAATCCATCCATCTTTCTGTTCTATAATTCTTGTTTGGATTGTCCCCTCCTCCGAGGCCTTCACTGCCACTCAGGCTGTGCGCGTGAATCATCCTCATCGTCATCATCATCATATATAGAATGAATGAACGAATGATTGATCGATTGTACATTTAAATAATACGCATAAACCATACTTGTACATATAACCGCAAGATCCAGCAGGTCAGGTCAGGTAGCGCCAATTATTATAGTAGTAAGTTGCTTTAATTTAATAAATCTGTTGAATCAGCGGTATTCGTCCCGTCCCGTCCTCGTTGTTAGGCAGGTAGGTCGGTAGGTAGGTGGTTAATAATTTAATAATCCTATTCATGTGTGTGTGTTCAGTTTGACTCCATCTAGGCTAGCTCCATGGATATTATATAGGTACATACACTTACACATGCACGTTTTTATATAATACTTATGCTTCTGCTGAACTGCTCTGCTTTCTCCCGACAGTGACAATGACCTGGACATATCTAAAATAGACTGACCACCTGTCCTGAGGCTGACTTCATGGAGCCACAAAAAACAAATAAAAAACTAAACCCGCAAACCGCTGCGTGATACCATGTGCTTGCTTGCCCGTTGCCACTATTACTTTACTGTTACCATTACTTTACTTCACGTCCACGAGCAGCTACATTGACTGACTGACTATGTTGAGAATTAAACAAACTACTTTTAACGCAAGTTAGATAGATACTATTGCTGAAACAATAAAAAGAATTCTCTTCTAAACTAATAATGATAATAATACCTCACTTCACTAGTTTGCTACTTCGGTTTGGTTGGTGTAATAAACTGTTCCTGATCTGATCCTGAGTCCGACTGTAGACTGTAGACGGTAGACCATAGGTTGAATAAATGTGAGCCCAGAAACTGGGCGGTGATTGGGCCGGGCCGACTTTGCACTGCCGACCCTATGCTATGCTATATTGTTGGGCTTTGAGACGAGATTAGAGATTGTCAGCGGGCGGGGCGACCTCAACTTGCACTTGCCGATTCCCAAACTGCTGCGCTGCTGCCTTACCCCATTTCCCTCCATCGAATTCCTCTGTTCATCCAGCATCTCAGAGATATACATACATACATATGGCTTCGCTTATGCAAACGTTCCCACCATCATCAGCTCTAGCAATCCCTTCCCCTTCCCCTTCCCCGCCTGCGACTCTCGCTCTTACTGTGAGTACTTGCCCCCACCAACTATTCTACTTTGTCTTTGTAAGTTGCAACTGCAACTATATTTTGTAGTTTTTAGATAATTTTGTGGGTTGTGTTGCGTGCCTCAGTCGCTCTTCAGCTGGAAGGCGGCTACCGTGCGAGCGAACAGGCTCATTCATTCCTCTTATATAAATACTTCTTTCCGGAGCGTTTCCACTGCAAAGCCCCGTGGATTTACGGTGAAGGCCTTTTTTCCCAATCCCAACGAAGAACCCATTCTCAAGGAGGCGCTCAAGGTATTCCCTCAATTATCGCTTATTCTTCCTCTACATTCCAAATTTACCATGTTTTTCTGTTGCTTTGAATTTACGGGTTTTTCCCTTCTCCGCGCCTTTGTTCTTCAAATTCTATGAGTATGTTTTTAATATATGTCCTACACGAATCTGATTTTTCCTCAGCTTATGTAGACTAGATTGACAATGCTCATGTTCCATTATATGCAATTCTGTTTGTTTATTTTTTTTTAAAAAAATGCGGCTCGTATGAAGTATATGGACTTTGCAGTCATTGCTGCAGTTTGTATGGGGCTAATATCTTTACCTTACATAATAGTGTGTGTGTATATATATATATATATATATTTAAAATGCAATAAAGCTTTCTACTCCGTTGGAACAGAGCTAGTTACCCTTGAGGACAAAGCTAGGAGTGATATTGATATTACCAATTCTAGCAACAGTGGCAAGAGATCCATTAGCCACTGTAATTTTATTGTTATTTGAACAAGGAGCACATGTGTAGAAAAATGAGAAAAAAGGATCGTATGCTTTGTGATTCCAGATTTTACAATCCAATTGCAATTATAACACAATTCAAGCGTATGTGTAAAAAGAAGATGAGAGTTTACCTGAAAAAGCAAGTGAACAAGTTCCAAAAGCCTTTTCAAGGGAGTGTGACAAATTCCTAGTTTCTCGATTCCCTCACTTTTAAGCCTACAATAGAATTTTCCTCAATCTTTGATTGTTCAGCCTATGATCCTAAGGCTTTTGTTGTCCATTCCATTCATTGTAATTTCCCACAGTTCTCCCTATTTATGAGTAGGTTTCTTGTAATAGGAGCACCAACAATCATCCTTTTGATTTGCTTTACTATCATCTTCTTTCCCTTTCTCCAGAAATCTACTTTGATAGAAAATGCAAGCCCATCTGCACTTTGGGTCGGCTTCAACATCACATTCTTCTACTCTTTTCAAATCACACAGGGGAAATGGTCTCTTCATAAAGTGCGTATAAGCTCTTTCTAATATTTGGATTCCAACTTAATCAAATTCAAGATTCCAGGCCAACCAAAAATCTTACACTTGTTCCCACTCAATGAAGTTCTTTAGGATTGCAGTATCCTTTTTGTACTTAATTTCAAATACCTTCCAGCGGTCCAGTTTCTGCCAATGTTTGTAGAGTATTTGCATATTCAGTAAGAGTTTTTCACCTTGCTTTGTAGCTATTGCTTTGACCATGCTATCATATACTTTTTCTACGTCACTTGCATTCGAATAGGTATGTTGAATGAAATCCCATACGCCTTTAGCAGTGGATAGGAACATAAGTATCACTAATCTTAGGATCAATTGAATCCCACAACCACAATGTTACTATTGAGTCTTCATGATCCTATCCTTCAAATACGACACATTATTCTTTTTGGACCAGTACCTAGTATGTGGTTGAGTTTTTGTTTCTCTTTTAGGTAGGTGTAAACAAACTTATCCTACTTGAGGCAATTCTTCCTATTGAAGCTGCATGAGGTGCGGATATTCTCTAAGTTGCCAAATTTCTAGATTGCACATGCTTCTTTAGATTGGTTAGATCTTTGGGTGACAGATGCCTCAAATATTGACGCGATGGAAGAAAATCAGCAATTGAGGTTGCAGAAAGCTCTTTCGATTAAGGTTAAAAATAGAGTATTAGAGGGCGAAGGTTGGCGATGAAGGCACAGCCGGAATGCTACAATGGAGTCAATTATATTGTTCTTTTTTATTCAAGCTCTAATACCACTTTGAAAATGAATGGAAAAATGATTTTTATTCAATCTGGGCTATTGCGAGTTACAGTAGAAAATAAAAAGGAAATAATCTAACTAATGTCCAGGTTCTAGCCATGAAATCTTTCTGCTTCATAGTAGCTGGTGTCTTTAATCTCAATCAAGATTCTCATTCTCTTTCGCCCCCATTCATGAGTGTCAGAATGTATTTTCAATATATTAGTATGATGTAATAGTGAAGTGCATGTTTCTGCTGTGTATGCGGGCGTATCTGTACTGTAATTAAGGAGATGATCTGACATGACATCTGTGTATGGGCGAGCTCATTATATCTTTTCTTTGAGGCAGCTAGCTATTCATTGTATTTGGTATCCCACGTTGTTGTTGTTGTATTTTTAGGAGCCGATTGCGTTTGTTGGAGGGGTGTTTGCAGGGCTTCTTAGACTCGATTTAAAGGAAGAGCCACTGAGGGAATGGGTTGCCAGGACAGTAGAAGCCTCCGGGATTAGTGTGGAAGAAATCAGCAGGAGAGATGAGGAGGACGGTGAGGAAGGGGTGGCCCAGCAGATAGATATAGAATGAGTGGCAGACAGGTATGTATGTATGCATGCAATGTTTGTGTATGCGTGTACAATATTAATGTGCCGGACAGAAGAAGAGTCGGCAAGATGATATTTGGTTTATCTTGGGGGTGGGGGGGAGTTACCATGAATGAATGACACTAAAAAATAGAAATAGAAATAAATAATGGTGATGATATATCTTCTTATGAATTCAGTGAGAACCCATATCATAGATCTAAAAGGGTGGTGATTAGTTATAGTATGGGTAACGAGGAGGAGGTAGGACTAGAAGGGCAGAGAGAGAGAGAGAGGGAAAACATTGTATTGCATGGACGCAGCAGCATTTATGAAATGTGGTGCGGTGGGAGAGTGGATGCTGCACATGGGATGGGATGGCCCCTGCCCTGGCCGCGTTGACATGCAATAATAATAATAATAGTGATGATGACAAGAATAGAATAGAATAGACCCTTGGCGGGGCGGGTGGGGTGGGGGTGGGGGTGCTGAAGTTCATCACCTAGAGCGACTAGACGTACCAAGTAGTTTGCGAGTCAAGTTCGATTCAATTTGTTAACAGTTCTATTTTATTGTTTACATAGATAAAATGAATTGAGCTCGAGTTTGAAAATTAATATTTGTATAAATGAGCCGAGCTCGAGTTTGACTAGGTGTTAGTTCAATTGAATATGATATTTTTATATTATTTTATATATTAATATTAATATAATATTTTATACCAAAATTTGTATTTATAATGAAATTTGAATACTCTATTGTAATAAATTATGAATAAAATTAAATGTATTTAATTTATATATATAATTTGAGTCAAACTAGTATTCTAGCTGAACACAAGTTTGAATTTTAGCATATGAGTTGAGTTGGAATTACTATTTTGGTAAGGTTCTTAATGAGTCGAGCCAAGTTGAGTTTGTAAATTTGATCCGTTGGAGTTTGATTTGTTACCAGCTCTATGTGGTAACTAGTAAAGTAAGATGGATGTAGGGATGGATGGGTGAGGTGTTGTATTAACTGATGACGACGACGAGAACTGCACTTTGCTGTGCCATGTCTTCTTCCTTGAGGCTGATGGGGGAGGTGGCCGCTGGGGTGCTACCGTTTTTAAACGATCCACCCCAACGGACACCGCCAAGAGGGGGCCCAAAGTGTGTTGTGTTGGGCCTCTTAATTATTTTTAGTTATATGTATAATTTTTTGTATTATAGATATAATTTTCAAATTTTAAGCAATGAATTTAAGATTTGATTAATTAGTCATTTCTATTCATTTAAGAAATAAATATATTGTTACAAATATTTAGTTTAATTGTTTAAATATGTCTATCTATAAATCCATAAGATTGAAAATTCGAACACTTGTCATTATTTCTTTATATAATCTTAATCATATAAAATATACTTACTCATAAACCTCGTTTTATATGATACTAGATGACGATGATTTGTGTTCTACTCCGCATTCATACATAAATTTGGCTATTACTCGCTCGACACATAAGATATAAAGGTTAATACGGATACCGATTAAAATTAGTCTTGTTAGTTGCTGCACCGGAAGCATTGAATGCTGAATTAGATAACAGGCTGGTTTATCTATCTCTGTCCAGTTTTATGGAGTAGTAACTTTTACTGCTATACTTTTGTTAGTATTTTATATGTCGGTCGTTGTACTTGTATCATATGCGGACCACCATACCCTGAGGCCATCTCCATCCACGATACATAACATGGGTATCTCTTACTTTCTACTATTTCATTTTCTCTTTCTTCTATATCAAACATTATTCTTTTCCATCTCAATAAAAAAGAATACATATATATATATATTTATAGTTATATCAAATTATTTATTTTAAAATTAAATATAGATAAAATTGTATCAATATGTATATCACTGCTTAAAAAACTAAAATTTTATAAAATATAAAAATAAAAAAATATACAAAAATGAGACATCTTATTGTATAGTTAATTAAGTTATTTATATATGTTTTTATCTAACAAATTTTATTTAAAATAAAATAGAAACAAACAAAAATAGAAAAAAATTTGTGAAGTGAGTATTTAGTTTACAATTTTATTATTTAAGATTGAGAAATGAACTAAGCACTGCCCAAGAAGAGTATCTATCTCCGACCTAGCAGTACAAGGAGGGAAAGTGATAATAAAATTGATAAGTTTAAAATTATGGCGGTGGAAGAGGAAACAGCGATTAATTAGCAGTATAAAACATTTATTGCGTTGTGATTGGAATGACAGTGACTGACAGTCCTGACAGTGGCGAGAGGGAGGGAGAGAGACAGACAGAGGTTCGCTGCTGAGCAGATTCAGATACAGAGTTGCAGAGGCACAGTCAAAGCTCTCTCCAACTCCAACCCCATCCCATCCATCCATCCCCAATCAACATTATTCATCTTTCCATCTCCATCCCCACCCCATCTCCATCTCCATTCCATGCCGTCGTCTTCTTCTCTGCTTGCCGTCCCCCTTGCAACTCTTCTTCTGCTCTCACTCTCGCCCGCCTTCTCCTCTGCTTACAATGTCAGCTACGACACCCGCTCCCTCCTCTTCGACGGCCACCGCAAGCTTCTCATCTCCGCCGCCATTCACTACCCTCGCAGCGTCCCGGCCGTCAGTCCCTTTCTTTTTATCTTCTCCTCTGTGCTATGCTATGCTACGCTACGCTGCTCTACTCCTCTCCTCTTCTGTATCTCCATTTCACTTTTTTAACATTCCGCAGATGTGGCCGGGCCTCGTACAATTGGCAAAGGATGGTGGCGTGGATGTCATAGAGACCTACGTCTTCTGGAACGGTCATGAACTCTCTCCCGATAATGTCTCTTCTCGTCCCTTTATCTTTCTGTTAATCCATTTTTATCGCTGACCATCAACTACTTCACTTCCGGTGTATTGCATTGCAAGTTATTCAGCTTTTTATTGTCCTTCGTGCTTGCAGTACTATTTTGGAGGAAGGTATGATCTCGTCAAGTTTTGCAAGATTGTTCAGCAGGCTGGAATGTATCTGATGCTTCGAATTGGTCCGTTTGTGGCTGCTGAATGGAAATATGGGTATGCCATTCTCTAAGGTTTTTTCTTCCCCTTCCAGCTTCTTGTAATGAAGTCTCTCTTGTTTTGATTACATACTGTTTTTGTTCGAGAAGCGGATTTTCAGCACCACTTGCAGAAACATCTGTATTCAACCTATTCAAAATGCTGTATCTTTATTCCTTCAACTAATGATTGTTCATGCAGCGGAGTGCCTGTTTGGTTGCACTACTTGCCTGGAGCTGTCTTTCGAACTGACAACGAGCCTTTCAAGGTTTGAATGAAATTGTCTACTTATTCCTTAAGGTCAGTACATGACACAAGCTTTTTGAAACTTGTTTGGAACTGGTGCTTGAAATTCCAGTATTACATGAAGAAATTCACAACATATATTGTGGACATGATGAAGAAAGAGAAACTTTTTGCCTCACAGGGAGGTCCAATTATCTTGGCACAGGCAAGTGTTCTGCTTCTGAACTTATGGATAAGTATTTCTGATCATTATGCATGCAACTCTCGTAAGAATTTTCAACAGGTTTGGCACCATATTTTGAATATGTCAGATGCATATTCTGGTGTGCAAAAACAAGGTGATGGATGTCCACTGATTTTTTGTTTTCATTTTAGTGCAGGTGGAAAATGAATATGGATTCTACGAGTCTGCTTATGGTGAAGGGGGAAAAAGGTATACATTGTGGGCAGCCAATATGGCTGTTTCTCAGAACATTGGTGTTCCTTGGATTATGTGCCAACAGTTTGATCCACCAGCTTCTGTGGTAAGTACTCAATGGCTAGGTCAATTGGCCCGCTGGCTTCCTAGGAACCATGAACAGCCCATAATTTGAGGTGTAACAAATTTCCGAAATTGCACTCTCTGATTGAAAATTGTCCTCAATGTTTTCAGCTATAGCTGTGTTTTCTAAAAATTAGGTGAAATAGTTTTATGATGTTTATAGGTGTGGTTTCTGATCTCCAAAATACTCATGTTTGATTGCTCTTTTTTAAGTGTTGCATTTCAATTAGATTAAACATAGGTATTGTTCTATACAAATGTTCTGGAGGTGGAGAGCCTTCAATGATTGTAGCTAATAAGAACTATTAGGGTGTGTTTGTTTGTGGCTTTTATTTTTTGGGTTTGGATTTTTACAAGTAAAAAGTTGAATTTGAATAATTGTTTGATGTGATATAAATAGAAGTTGATGTGATATTTTGAATGTAAAATAAATTTGTAGTATAATATAAAAAAAGAAACGTAATTGTTTGATTTGATATTTTCGAAGGAAAAAAAGAATCTGAATAGTAAAAACTCGTGGTAAAACCTACAAAAGAACACAATCTTAATATTTTGAGAATGAACTAATATTGGACTCATCAAATCCAAATATGCTGTATGTTTGAACTGAGCCTGAGAACCTGCAAGTTATTTTGTGATCCACTGTTCTTGCCTTCATCACATTTCAGGATATATTGAAAACACAAGGATTGCTTGCGCATGCAATTTTGATTTTCATGAAATTGGGCAATCATCTTTGCTAACGTACTTTTTAAAGTCAAATACATGGCATAGTTATGCTTTATTCCTTGCTGAAATGAAAAATTCCTTGAATCTACTTTCTTAGTGGTACTGTAGATTTGGAGTTAAGCTTCAGTCTTAATACAAGTTTCTTTTTGCATGATTCTTAATGTAGAATTTCCACTTTGTTTTGCATAATGCTGTAGGCTAGTTGACTTTGAAAGTTTGTGCATTTAGATAGTACAGGATTGTCTAACACTACTTCCTTTTTTTTAGATTGACACATGCAATTCATTTTACTGCGATCACTTCAAACCAATCTCTCCAAATAAGCCAAAAATCTGGACTGAAAACTGGCCAGGATGGTACACTACATCTCCTTGTAATTTATGTTAACTGGTCGTTTATCCAGATTTTATACTCTCTGTATGGATTATGTTTATGTTTGTATCCATATGCCTTACCATTCAACATGCATCAAATAAATATTTTTACTAGATAGTCATATTTCTTTTGGTTGCACATGGATCCTTGCTATCCTCATGATACTTCTTTCAAAGCTCCACATGATGGTTGAAGTTGCACACTTTTAATCAACATGTAGTTGTAGGGTCGAAACCATGTATAATAAAGTGGCTCATATAGAAGCAACCTGTGATTTTAATACGTGAACAAAATGAACTACTAACACAAGGTTTGATGAGTTGAATATAAGTTGCAAATCACTGTTTTAATATATGAACAAAGTGAACTGCTAACACAAGGTTTGATGAGTTGAAGATATGTTGCAAATCATGTGCCCTAGTTTGAATCACACATTGCCGACTTTAAGGTACCCATGAATTTAGAAGATGTCTCAATTCTACAACAGAAACCAGTTTTCTAAAGAATTATTTGGGATATTACAGCCAATGGTCATGTTCATGTCATCTTCAGCAAGAAAATTAACTTTTGCTCCATGTATTTTCACCTCGTAAACATATTTCAGGTTTAAAACATTTGGATCCAGTAATCCACACAGACCTCCTGAAGATGTGGCCTTTTCAGTTGCTCGTTTTTTCCAGAAAGGGGGATGCCTGCAGAATTACTATATGGTATGTTTGTATTTTTGTTTATCTATGAACAATATTCCAGCAAGAGCCTTACACAACACATTTGAAAGAAAAATGCTTGTTAACTTTAGAACTTCATTTTTACTCCATTGTTTTTTATCATCTTTTGATTTTAACAAATCTCTTTTGAAGTATCATGGTGGGACAAACTTTGGGCGAACTTCAGGTGGACCATTAATCACCACAAGTTATGACTATGATGCACCAATTGATGAATATGGTATATGTTGATACTCTTTTTACCACCACTTGTTGGTTTGAACTTCAGAAAGGATTGGTGTACAAATACTTTGTTCTAGCAAATTCTTTTTACTTTTTATCTAATCCACTGTGCATATGTGTCCTGCAGGCTTGGCTAGATGGCCCAAATGGGGGCATCTTAAAGAGCTTCATAAATCTATAAAGCTCTGTGAGCAAGCATTGCTAAGTGGAGCACCCACAGTTCTGTCACTGGGCGATTCACAAGAGGTAATATCTGTTTTCCTTTTAGTCATTCATCCTCTGAGGCTCCATGCATATTCAAGATTTTAATATTTGTTGTCTAGCCTAGTCTTTGCAAGTCTAGATTAAGCAATGCTTATTCTCTTAGGTACTTGACAGCTCGATGATGATGATGATGATGATAATAATAATAATAATAATAATAATAATAATAATAAATTAATAATAATAATAATAATAATATTTAGAGTGGCCTACCTCATTTTCATTTGGTTCTTTGTTTGAAAAAAGAAAATTCGGTGTTAGGAACATGAGGAACCCAAATAAATGGACTGATACAAAGGATTAAATCCACCAAAGAGATTGGTGTGCTCTTGCACTTAGCGAAGTGGTCAGCCAAAACATTGTCACAGCATGGGTGAATGACTAAAAGGAAACTAGAAGGATTGATTAGAAGGATTTTATGAACGAGTACGAAGTAAAGGTCATAGAATTTTTTATGCAATGCTCCTTTCTATGGACTTGGATCAGACCTCTAGTGTGACTAAACAATAAACATAAACACGAATTCTGCAACGTCACCGTTAGCCAAATAACAATATAAATATACTAATTATATGCCATATGTATATGAGATTGTTGTTACATCTAGAAAGCAGTATTCCTTGCTTCATATCAAATGGAGAATACTAAAAAGGAGTTGGAAGTATACTATAAAAGGTGTGTAGGATTAAAGTAAGGTGAGAGTATGCCTTTTGATCGAACGCAATCGCAAATTATGATCTATATAGCCTACCCCACATAGATATAAGGCTTACACAATGTTAACAGCACTAAACTGGTAGCTTTTAGGAAATGACACTGGATCTCTTTGTAGTGAAGCTGAAAAACCCAATTAATGCAAGGGACTGGCTTAAATTTTTTTGTCAAATGGTGATGGCATCTGCAAGGTTAAGCGTATTCCTCCAAGAAGAAATCTAAACATTAATTTGAAGTGACTGACCTGTGAGTTACTTTGGACAAAAGCTGCATGCACCCTTTATGGTGATAAATGTAGGGAGACATCATTCAAAGAATGTCCACATGCTGTACAAGAACCTTATTTTGATTATCATATTACATAACGTAGGTTTCAAATATTTACTCATTCTATTTATTTGAAATATGACATAATAATTTTGCAGTTTTTGATTTTATAGTTATTATTATTATCTGCTGTTACAATAGCTATCAGTTATTGAATAAACATCGCATTGTAGGTTGATGTATATGAAGATTCATCTGGAGCTTGTGCTGCTTTTATATCTAACATGGATGATAAAAATGACAAAACAGTTGTGTTCCGAAATACATCATATTTCCTGCCAGCATGGTCAGTTAGCATTCTACCTGACTGCAAGAATGTTGTTTTTAACACAGCGAAGGTAACTGCTTATCCTCTCAACTCACACCTTAATGTTATATGCTTCCAGTTTCTCCATTAATCATTAAATCAATTGGAATTTGGTTTAAAGTCATCGTAACTCTAGTTACCTGAGGCATTACCTTATCAACCTCTCATTTATGTATTATAATTACTGGGTAGCTGAGTTCTAGAATTTTTGTTTACAATTCTATTTTCTGACTATCTAAATAAGGTTGTTGAAGTAAGACAATTGAGTTGTGGAGTGTGTATACACAGATGAGCGGTCTTCTTGTGTTACTCTTAACAACAAAACCTTTGATTTATCGGAAGGAGAACTAGGATTTTTTCATTTATGTTGAAAGAGTTCATGAATGTGATATTGATATACTCTTTTGTAAAAAGAAAGCATGAATACGATATATTTGGAATTGTAGAATAATGCACTAGATAAATCATGTCAAGCGATAGCTTACTGCTTCCATCTGGTTCAAATTTGAGTGCTGGTTCTTAAGATCTTTCAACAGTAACATATAAATGACTCATTATATCTTTTTTCACCTTTTCACTTTAACAGGTTAGTTCTCAAAGTTCTGTGGTTGATATGATACCAACAAAATTTCAATCATCAAGTACATCAATAAACAAAAGCTCTGGCCATCTTCAATGGGATATTTTTAAGGAGAAAGTTGGAATTTGGGATGCAGCTGATTTTACTAAGATTGGCTTGGTGGATCATATTAACACAACAAAAGATAGCACGGATTACCTTTGGTACACAACAAGGTTTGATGTTATATTGATACAAAGTTTTGATCATTTTGCATATTATGGCTATCTTTCTTAATCATTAAAGGATGTAAACTTGTGCATTTAGCGAGTTAATTAAAGATAATGTATATGAAATCTATTGTAGAAGATTTTGGGTAAGTCACATAAAAATGGGTCAGAGAATTATTAAGTTGAATTGTTGTTGGAGCCAAACTGGTAGTCAGTTACAGAAGTTTGGATGAACTTTTCACAATTGAATATAGACTAAATAAATTTGTTAAATAATAAAAAATTAGTTTAAACAATTTATGTTTATAAACTTTCATATGAATAGTGTGAGACGTGTTTCGTTCTATATACTGTCCAGTTAGATTTATTTGAATGTTTGTAACACTTCTCGGAAATCATATAGTTAATCAAAGAACAACAACAAAAAAAAAAAACAATTTTTATTATCAGTATTATGGAATCAATTGGAAAAATTATATTTTTATGGAGTGTTTAAAATTTATTTTGTATGTACAAGTTACTTAAGTTTCATTTTTTGTGGTGATTTATTAATTTGTATTGTTGTATTTTTTTGGTTATATTTCTTTTCAAGCAAAATAATGGTTAGATATAATATTTTTTTTTTAGAAAAATGATAAGATTGAATAAATAAAAAAATAAAACAAACACAAGTAAACTAAAGCTAATTTTATTTTATTTTATTTTTCACAGTAAAATATAAGACTCCAAATGGATGATCATTTTCAATAATGTGAATTACATTACACCTTTTAGTTTAGCAAAAACCCTTCGTTCCCCTGGGTAAGAAATTGCATAAGACCTATTTGTGTTTTTTTAAAATACCATGTAGAATCCTCAGTCAGTTAAAATTTAATAGAGAATATGTCTCACATGCCAGGGCTGTAACTAAGATGGAATGTTCTAATTAGTCAACTATGCAATCTCAATTGTGGTCATAGTAAGCAAGATATATTTTTTGTTAAATTTTCGTTGATGGGGGTTCTTCATAGAGTTTTACAAGATACAAAAAAACCTCACACAATCTCTTAACCACACAGGAGAATTGTGATTTGTTTTTTTCTAAACCACAAGAGGTAAAATATAATTTACTCTTTTTATTCTGTTTTGCAAAACTTTTTAGTAATGTGTTTGTAAGCACACTTCATGAAGATTTATTTAGATTCTGTATATGCACTAGTTTAAACACACATGTACGAAGACATTTCTTTGACATCTATGGTATTTGTTCTTTTGTCTTTTTATTTTTCAGTTTATTTACTATGTAGTCTCAAGTTTCCCCCCAAATACATCAAAACACAAACATACTGAAAAGAAAAAAAAAAAAAAAACCCTATATATTGAGATAAAAAAATATATGGTATTTATCTTTTGAACTTCATAAGAGAATTTTTGAATGATAGTGCAAATTTATTAAGTGCACGGTATATGTTGAATGTAGACAAAATATGCGGAACTACACACAAAATATATTGGCGCAATATTTGGCGTCATTGCATATTATGATTAAGCACATGACTTGGAACATAATTAATCATGTGTAAACTTGAATATGTAATCTAGGGCACTTGGTGCTTTATTTATTTATTTTTTCTTCTATTTTTTTTACTATTCAATCTCTCAAGTTTTCTCCAAAAATATTATATTCAATCATTTTCTATACATAACATCATATCTAACAACTATTTTACCTCATAGACACCAAGCAAACAAACCCATAATCTCTTATATATTTGATACATGCAATCAAATGATCATGTGTAGACTTTGTATATCAAATTATCAATCTAATCCTCAATCATTTAGATGGTCATAGTAATGAAATTCTGTGATCCTTCTGAATATTGTAAATTTATCAAGTTAGTTAAGTGTCAAGGATATTTTAATTGGGTAAGGAGTGTATGAAAATTTGCCAGTTTGATAATAGGTATGTTGAGGTGTGTAGGTATAAATTGGTCTAGATGCTGACACGGATGAGTGAGGCAATAGTATTATTCCAGTCATATGATTTTCTATGATAATTTACCTTTTGATATAGGTTACCATAAGCGGCACAGGGAGCATATTTGTACTTGAATCAGTATATTGCCTTCTTCAATATATTATTGAGCAGGAAACTATATGATGTTAAGATTGGATGTATTTTGAAGCAAATAATCATAGCTATTGTACCATGATAGTTTGTTTGTCGATGAGACTGAGGAGTTCCTGAGAAATGGCACAAGTCCAATGCTTGTAATTGAATCGAAGGGACATGCTATACTTATTTTTGTCAACCAGAAGCTCCAAGGTTATTTTCCATGCTCCTTATATTGTTGTAAAATCCTGTAGGCATATTCTGTCAATATGGTGGCTGTCCACTATAATCAAAACATTATAGTGATATCATATTGCAATGCGCTGAAACATCCAATATGTGTTACCCTTCAGGTAATGGCTTTGGGAATGGCACAGTGTGGACATTCAAATTTAAAGGTCATATAACTCTCAAGCCTGGGAATAATGAAATTGCTTTATTAAGCATGACAGTTGGCCTGCAGGTATATATATTTATATAGTTTTGGACGCTGTTTAGATCAATGTTATAATTATTTGATGCATTCGGGGTATGTTTTGCACATATATTTTTAGGAAGGAATAATTGATGTAGTTTGAAGTATAGTGGTGAAGACCTCTTTTATTTTATTATATTTTATGGGTAAATTTTATTTTTTTTTTGCATATGATTATATTATTACTTTAGGATTTTAAATCCACAACTATTTTTTTTTTGCAAAAATAGTCTTCCATCATCCGAATTGACACGTCGTCGATAATGTGGTTCGTTGGTGTTGATTTGATGTCGACATGTCTAATTTGTCAGCGGCACATAGGCGATATGTAGAGTTTTAAAAAAAAAATTACATAAAAGAATTTAAAAATTTGACTAAATCTGCTTGTCGCAGACGTAGTGCTGACCTATCAGACATGTCAGCATCAAATCAGCATCGACGAACTACATCATTGACGATGTATAAATTCCGGTGACAAGACCGTTTCTATAAAAGTACAAAAATTAGGTAGTAGAACATTTTCCATACATGGTCCATTTAGAGTCTAAAATAATAATAAGAGTCCGGTGTAGGACTAAAAAAATTGTTTACCCTTATTTTATTTATTTTGTCTTCTTTTGTGTTCATAAATTTCAGGAAATAAAACCTAGAGTTTATGGAGTCAACTCTACACGGTTGAGACAATGGAGTCTTAACTTTTGACAATTTTGGGAAAAAAATAACTCTATGACAATTTTTAGAAGACAAAAAGTCAACAAATGTTAAATAGGTCAAACAAGCATTATGTGAAGTTGAAATACACATATATATATATACCTAAAGAAAGTGTAATTGTAATACTGTGTAGTAGCTACGACAATATCCTATAGATTAGCTAATACATAGAACGTATACATGTGGTATAAATTTCTTTGAATTGTAGAATGCAGGAGCATTTTATGAGTGGATAGGAGCAGGACCTACCAGCGTCAGGGTTCTGGGGTTGAAGAGTGGTACAGTAGATTTGTCCAACAGTACATGGAACTACAAGGTGTAGTTTCTTTAGTGCTTTTACAACTTTTTATATTGTTGATAACATTAGTTGATCTAATTTTGTCCATCATTGATGTTCACTAAAATGTAGCATGCCAATTGACTGTAATCTTGCACAATCCCCCTTGAAGCAATTTGATTTGTTTGTTAAACCTCTTTTTGTTAGTAAAGGATAAAGCAAATAAATTAGCTTATCAGGCTTTTAGTTTCTTTCTTTAGAGGGTGCAGCTTCAGTGTTGATAAATATCCAATATGACATATAATTTACGAAATTCATAAAGTTATATTTTTTTTTCAAAAAAATAAAAAGGAAGACAAAAGTTGGCGCTCCTCTAGTGTGGCATCCATCCTCATGAATAGTGATTGATTCAGTCCTTTGCAGTAGAATTATTCAAGGAAATTTACTAATGCAGATTGAGCTGATTTAACTAAACAGTTGAAATGAAAGCATCAACGAGCGAAGTGGATATAGCGACTCTGGAATGACTATTTTTTTTTTTTTTTAAACCACATTTTTTTCTAAATTTCATTAATTAATAACCAAGAGTGTAGGAGTAAACATTTTACGCACTTTCGTTCAGTGTTATGTAGACATAAACTCTTCTAACCAGTTCCCATTACAGCAATGCTATAGGACTGTGTCTTTTCATTCTTTAAATTTAATACATTCATAGCCTATAATATTGTTTACTTGCTCCATTATATAACATATTATCTTCATTTTGATTCTCCACATAACAAAATGTTTTAAATTTAGAGCACAAAGAAACTCCTAATGTGGTCTTTTTATAAAAAAATTTCAATACATTTCTCCAAAAAAATTAATATATAATACACTCTCATTATTTTTATATTATGTACACAATTTCCTATATCTCACATAAAAAATATCCCTTCAAACCAAAACACCAAACAAACACACCCATCTCTGCAACATGAAAATAGAGGAAGATAGTAAAAACCCATTCTGGCATGTGCAATATTCAAAATATTTGCTGTGTTCATTCAAAGTCTTGATTTATTGGTGCTTGTTTCATTTCATTTATATTTAATTTTTTAAATGTGTTTTTATTTTTTTCATCTGCCAATTATCCTTTTTTTATTTTTTTTGTTTTCTTACATTTTTATAGCCAAGGAAAGTGGTTGGAACTTGGAACTCGATATGTCTTCTCTCTCTCTCTATATATAGATTTATTCCATTCAATTTGAAACTCCATGTACGTAGAAATTGTAGGTCAGTTATCTGTTTCAGCTGTACAGTTTTATTTTCCCTTTCTTCAGCTCCTATCCCATCTTCTCTACGTGATTCTGCCTGTAGGAACTATGCTCATTGAGTTGTAATTCCCCCATGTTTTATTAATATTAGATTGGACTGGAAGGTGAACATCACAACATATATGAGACAGAAAACTCCAATTCCATAAACTGGGTATCAACTTCAGAGCCCCCAAAATATCAGCCTCTCACTTGGTACAGGGTATGCAACTTTGAGAATTCAGTTAATGCTATAACCACCTAGGTTTATTGTTATTGACATGACTTATAACAAGGTATTTGTAGTTTTTTAAAGTCACAATTCATTCGTATGCAGGCTGTGATTGATTCTCCACCTGGTCAAGACCCTGTTGGACTAGATATGATGCACATGGGGAAAGGGCTAGCTTGGCTGAATGGAAATGAGATTGGACGTTATTGGCCTAGGAAAGCCTCGGAACATGAAATATGTGTTGAGCAATGTGACTATAGGGGCAAATTTATGCCTAACAAATGTAACACAGGTTGTGGAGAACCTACGCAAAGATGGTACGGCTTTTAGAAGATTTCATTTTTTCTTCGTTGTCTTCATCGGGTTTATAGTTTGCATCATGCAGTATTTTGGATGGTATTGTTGTTCCACAGTAGATATATGAAAATTATTGGAGTTTCGTTACCTACCTAATTGCTTAATAAAATGGCCACTGATTCGTGGATATTTTAGTTAATTATATTAAGAGGTTGCAGAAACAAAAAATGTAATAAGTACACCAGATATGATGTATTTTTTTGTTTGAATTCAACCCTATCATGTTGCTGGTTTTTATATGGGGTGTTGATTTATTTTTTATGTGGTGGTTTATGTAGTGTTCTTAAGCTATTTCTTTCTAATAGTCTTGTCCAACTAACTTTTAGGAATTACAGTTTGCATGCTATAGTGGATCTTAGGTTGCTTGGTTTTTCCATAGAATATTATGGAATGATTTATGGTCTTCTATTCTCTCTTGCTTTTGGCATAGAAGAAGCTGGCTTCTGGGGCAGACGTCCTTTGATGCCAAAAAATATATTTTTGCATGTGACTTAAACTATTAATTTGTCAACTTTTCAAACATTACACATATTTTTAAGATCTGGTTTATTTGTGCAGTCTTGATGTTATGGACAAGGTACTGCAAGAAAATTGTTTCTGGAAGCATGTGTAATTCGGTCCTTTTGTCTTAGATCTTAATGAAGATGTATTCTTGTCTTATGTCTTGTGTGCTTGTGCATGCTCTCTCTGCCTGGAAATCTATTTAGTACCTTTTCGTAGCATGCATCTCATTACATTTGAGTCTCTTTTTTTGGTTGAACTCAGGTACCATGTTCCGAGATCTTGGTTTAAACCATCAAACAATATCTTGGTGATCTTTGAAGAGAAAGGTGGAGATCCTACTAAGATTCAGCTGGCAAGGCGGAAGGTCTCAAGTGTCTGTGTGCATATGTCGGAAGATCATCCAGCTGCTTCCGACTCGGTGTACTTGAAGAAAGGCATAGTTGGAGATTATAAAAAGAAATCAATAGCTAGGCTGAAATGCCCTAAGAGCAGTTACATATCCGAGGTGAAATTTGCAAGCTTTGGAGATCCTGTGGGGACTTGTGGATCATATTCCCGAGGAGAATGCCATGACCCTAATTCTATTTCGGTGGTCGAAAAGGTATGTATTTATATATGTATATTCTGGGAGGGATAGTACTTAGTAGTGCTGATGCTTTGAGTGGTTCCATAATGGCTGCTGCTGCTGCTCTTGGTGTAGGTTTGCCTGAAGCAGAATGAATGCATATTGGATCTGGCTGGAGCGACTTTCAACAGGAGCTCAAGCCTGTGTGGGATTGGGGGTTTGGTAAGGAAACTTGCTGTTGAGGTGGTGTGCAGCTGAGTGTGAGTGTGTCGTAGTTGTTGTTGTTGTTGCCTCCTTTAATTTCCTGGGGATTGTGCCTGTGATTGCAGCTGGCTGGCTGCCTGTCTCTTCTTGGTCATCCATTTTTATTTTTTTTTTATTGCTTTGATTTTGATGAACGAATGACAGGACAGGACAAGCAAGCAAAGCAAACATATAACATATTGAGTGTGTAGCTTCCTGGCCTTCCTTCCTTTTCTGCTTGCTTGTTCCCCTCCCCATATGCAAATTCAATGCGCTGTGCTAATGCCATTTCATCTTCGAATACTTGACTGACTTGGATTATTAGCCTTTTTTTTTTTAATAATTCCTTAAAACAAAACAATGTATGCACGTATCTGGTATAAAATATCAAAGTGATAGGTATGTTGATGAATAATCTTCCAAATCTTCTGCCTGCTTACCTAGGAGCAGGGAAACAAAAACAAAAGGCCCGCACACGTACAAAAATGGGTGACATTAAATTAAATAGAAAATTTGTGGTGAGGTTCTATATAAAACTGTTATGAGAAAACAAATAAAGAATATCGAGGTTTTACGTGGTTCGATGACGGTGCGTCAATTTACGTCCACGGACAGGAATTGGAGAGATTTTATTATACTGATTCAGAAAACGAAAAAGAAAGCAAATAAATAATACAAAGATTTTACGTGATTCGGTGACAATGTGTCAACCTACGTCCACGAGCAGGATTATACTGATTTAGAGACTTACAATCATGTCAAACAACTAGGAACCATAGCTATCTATTTATAAGCATCCCAAAACACCCTAAATCCTAAGCTTCTTTGTTATTAATTAGGATAAGCCCAAAAGGAACCCTGTCAATTGAAACAGCCATTTCGCTTTGATTTCGGGTCGGGTAGACCGCTAAATCCAAGTCACGTTTCAACAATCTCCACTTTGACTTGGAGTTTCTCCAACCGCCAAAAGTTCGTCAGTATCCCTCCTTAATACCTTCAATCATTGACATGTATTCCACCTCAGTCGTCGACAGTGTAACTGTAGGTTGTAAAGTAGACTTCCAACTGACTGCACATCCAAACAGAGTGAAGATAAAGCAAGTCAGTGATCTTCGTTTCACCAAGTCACCCCGTAATCAGAGTTTGCATAGCCAACCAGACTATCACCATGACCTTTATCACCATATACCAGACAAATATCAGACGCTCGTTTCAAATATCGCAAGATCCACTTTACAGCTCCCCAGTGAGCTTACCCTGATTAGCCATAAACTTGCTCACCACACTAACCTCATACGCGAGATCCGGTCTCGTACATACCATCGCATACATAAGACTTTCAACTGCATTTGAATATGAAACCGTCTTCATGTAGTTAACATCTTCATCTGTAGCCGATATAGTGCTTCGATCAAGTTTAAAATATGCCGCCAAAGGGGTACTTACTGGTTTGGACTGATCAATAGAAAATGCATGCAAAACTTTCTCAATATACTTTTCTTAAGAAACTCATAGCCGTCCTGCTTCTCTATCACTGATCTCCATACCTAGTATTTTCTTTGCCGCACCCAAATCCTTCATCTCAAACTTACCCTTTAGTAGAGCCTTCAAGTCATTAATTACATCAATGTTTTTAGCTGCAATTAATATATCATCCACATACAACAGCAGATACACAAACGAATCACTAGAAACTTTCTTCGAGTAAACACAGTTATCAAACTGATTACGAGTATAACCATTAGACACCATGAAAGAATCAAATATCTTATACCACTGCCTCGAAGACTGTTTCAAGCCATATAGAGATTTCTTTAACAAGCATACCTGGTCCCTTTTAGAACTGCGGAACCCCTCCGGTTGAGACATGTAAATCAGTTCTTCTAGATTACCACCGAAGGAATGTTGTTTTTACATCATGCTGCTCCAGCTTTAGATCAAAAGCACCTACCATTGCCAAAAGAACCCCGATGGTTTTGTGTTTCACCACAAGAGAAAAGACTTCATGGTAATCGATTACTTCCTTCTGTGAGAACCCTTTTGCCACCAGTCTCGCCTTGAACCTAGCAGGTTCAACACCAGGAATTCCCTCATTTTTTTTAAGGACCCACTTACATCCCACTAACTTCACTCTTTTTGGTAGTGCAACAAGATCCCAAGTCTTTTTCTTTTCAAGAGACTACATCTTTTCATTCATTGCTATAATCCAGTTTTCTGCATCTTTACTCGCCACAGCTTCTTTATATGTCTTTGGCTCGTCAGAGCCAAGATCATCACCAACCGCCAATGCGTAAGCCACAGAATTCATGTCACATGTGTTGACACATCCTGCAAACCTAGTTGGTTTCTTAATATTCCTCTTTCTCTTTTTCTTAATGCTATGGAATCTTCAACCCCAGTACGAGCGTCATCAACTTCCCCCTCAACCGGTTTCCCTTGAGGTTTTGACTGATCTGGTTGATCGGATTGATCAATAGTATTATCCTACTGTCTTTCCTCTAACACAACTTTGTCAGGAGTCTCAAACTCCACCTTCTGGTCAGCACCACAATCTTTTGTACCTGCAATACTTTCACAATCTCTACTCTAATCAAGCATAGCAGATTCATCAAATGTTACATCTCTGCTAATAAGAAATTTACCAGGAATTTTACATTCTATACACCACAGTCGATAAATTTTGACTCATGTTACATACCCTAGAAATATGCATTTTACCGCCTGATAACTCCAAATATGAGCATATTCCTTGCTTGACAAAACTACGTATTACTTGAATTTTTGTATAAATACTATTACATTATCTCATTTATGGCATACTTTATTGATCTATCTCGCTTGGTATGATCCAAAGTTGGTTTGTTGAGATTATTAACAATTTTTGCCATTTTAAGCGGTTTTTTGGATCCAAAAAGCCAAGGCAGATGAAACGAGCGATAGTCATTTCCGCTCGCAAGCGATGACCCCATCACTCAAAAAAACTAAGGCAAGAGAGGCAAGCGGTAGCTTCCACCGCGCATAAGCGACAACCTCTACCGCGAGCGAGCGACACTCCAGCGCTCAGGCCAGCGACCAGACACCCACCGCAGGGAAGCGACGGCAACTCAACTCAAAAATTGCCAGAGTGTCTCATCTGCAGCGGTATAGTCATTCCACTACCAGCCAACACAAGCAAGCCCGCTTAACTGCGCTGATGCCCTCCAGTCATTCGGCAAGCGATGAAGATCTGCGCCCTTACAAGTCCACGCAAGCGAAGCAAGCACCGTAGGAGTTATGACTAGCAACTGCTTTAACAGAATAACCACCATCAATTGCCTAACTGCCTAGCGATTGAAACCACTTTGTAACTGTTTGCAACAGCTATTTCCACCTGCTATAAATAGGGCCAGATATATTTATGTAATATATACTTCGAGAGGAGTATACTAGCAATTACTTTTGTGCATTCTAGTTGTCTTCTTATTTTTCGAGAGCTCCAACCCTGTAAGAGAGTTCTCCATAGGAATTGCCAAGGGAGTTGAGATTCATTTTCTCCATTGGCCACCGCTTTGTTGTTTACTTAGTTTAGTTTATTGCTTTAATTACAATTTTGTAGAATTAGTATTTCTAGGTTTGCTATTTAGTAATGAAATATCATTCAATTCTTCAATATCACTTCTTCCACACTTTTTCATATTTATATAAACCCTAATTGTAAAGAATTTCACTTCACTGGTTTAGAGCACATAAAAATTGATTAACAAGCCTTGTCTTTTGTCACATAGTCAAGGTAGTTCAATGTAGTTAAGTACGTAGGAGCCTTGTCGACCTGCTTAACTACTAGTTTGAATTCAATTTTGATTAAAAAGAGGTAACAAAATGGTAAAGCCACTAATGAGACAGAATTTGGGATAATTAATGGGGCATAGGCGGTGGTCTATTAGGTCACAGAAACTCCTAGTGACCGTAGGGTTTCTTTCTTATAATGTTCTGATTCTGGGTGTCATTGAAATCTTGTTGTAAATCCCTTAAGGTCAAATACCAGTGATAAAAATTCTCTATAATTTGGTTTATATAATTACATCATTTCCTCTTTCCGCTTCCGTAGTATACATATATGTCCGCTTAAACACCAGTACCGCTTGCTCATCTAATCCAGGAAAACCTAGCCATTAAGTAACACACAGTTCAGACACAACACCTCTCCTTCACCCTCTACCGCTCAATCTATATACATATACATTGTGTCATCCGCTCACGCCCCTCTCGCTCGTCCATCACTGGCACCCTGCCGCTCGACTCTGCTCCGCTCGCTACCGCTCACTCTTAACCATTTTTCTTTACAGCTTTTTGTAGATAAAGATTTTTGACCCGCTGCAAGCGGGTCCCTTTAATGCATTTCCGCCGCTTTCATGTGATCTGTACTCGATTTAAATTCGTAACTTAAAATCCCTGTGTTCGATCTGAAAACTCACCAGTCAAAAAGTATAAATAATTATGATAACACTTCAGGGTCTACAACAACAAATTTTTACTATATCTGATCGTTTTTTTATAATTCACTACATCTCAATCTTCGAGTGAAAATTCCTTGTGACTATATATATATACCATCAAAAAACCGGTTATCACCACCCTCGGCTCCAGCTTACCATCATTCATATGAGCGTATGCATGACATCCAAAATTCTTAAATTAGAGTAATCAGAGAGTTTACCGGATCATACCTCTTGAGGAGTCTTTAAGTTAATTGCAGTTGATGGAGATCTATTAACCAGATAACTAGCAGTGTTAACTGCTTCAGCCCAGAATTGCTTAGATAAGCCAACAAATATGCACATACACCTAGCACGCGCCACGAGGGTTTGGTTCATTCGCTCTGCAACTCCATTTTGCTGTGGTGTGTGTCGTACAGTGCGGTGCCTCACTATACCTTTTTTTTTTTTGCAGAAATCATCATATGGAGCGTTGCGGAACTCCAACCCATCATCAGTTCTTAGAGTCTTGACCTGTTTACCTGTCCGTTTTTCAACCATGGTCTTCCACTCCTTGAACTTCCCAAACACCTCATCTTTAGTCTTCAGAAAGTACAACCAGACTTTTCTCGAATAATTATATATGAAAGTGACTAAGTAAGAACAACCGCCCTGCGATTTCACCGGAGATGGACCCCATAAATCTGAATGAACATACTCCAGAATTTCTTTTGAAGTGTGATGACCGGTACTAAACCTCACCGTGCGTTGCTTCCCTTTTACATAAGCCTCACAGAATTGAATTTTACCTTCACATCCTCACCAAATAAACCCTGCTTGTTCAACACAGACAACCCCTGCTCACTCATGTGACCCAATCGATGGTGCCACAAATTTGTCATGTCATCATGTTTATCCAAGGACTTGATACTGCCGCCGTTCCGTTCCCATCACTGAATTGCCCTGTAGAAACTAAATTTCATGTTGCGGTTTTCTTTTCATCATTACCAGAGCACCTTTCAGGACTTTCACTCACTCACCTTCACCATGATATTTTAAACCATTTTTGGCTAAGGTGTCAAGAGAAATCTAATTTTTTATGAGTTCAGGAACATACCAACAGACAAATTTTCTAACAGCACCGTCATGCAATTTTATCTGCACTATCCCGCTCCCCTTTATGGCTAGAACCCCATCATCACCTAACATCACCGTTCCATTCCACTCCTTAAAAAAATGAGTTGATCACGAGAGAACGGCATATGGTGAGAAGCACCGGTATCCATAATCCAGGAATCAGCAGTACTAGCACTACACGCTGTCAGAACTTCACCAAAGTCCCATCATCAGAACTGTCTTGTACCACAACAGCACTGCTGCCACTGTTACTAGAATCAACTTATATATTTCCCTTATTCTGTACACAATCCTTTTTAATTTGTCCCTTCTACTTGCAAAGATAACACTTAACTTTGCTAGAAGATTTTGATTTTGAATGCGACCTCTCATTCTCATTACCCCTCTCATGTGGTCTTCCTCTAAGACCTGAACTAATCCCTCTTCCAGAGAAATCTTTCTTTTCAATTCTTTAGACATAAAGACATTTTCCACATCATTAACAGAAATTGTAGTTCTACCATATAACATAGTATCTACAAAATTCTCACATGAACCAGACAGTGAACACGGTAAAATTAGGGTTTGATCTTTATCATCTACTTTAATATCAACCCCTTGAAGATAAAAAATAATACGGTTAAAGATATCAAAATAATCCTTTACCTGAGTACTTTCGGACATCCGGAGGGTGTAAAGAGGTTTCTTCTGATATAGTCTGTTCGTGAGAGAGTTGTTTTGGTACTTCTCACACAGTTTATCCATAGCTCAAAACTCGTTGTCTGATCTACAACCTCCCGTAACACCTCATCAGTAACTGACAACAAGATCGCGGAATGAGCCATTGTCAAAATCTCTTTATTCACCTCCTCATTCGTGTCTTTAGGAAACTTGTCTTCTTCCTCTAACGCAGCCGCACATCCTTGTTGAACCAGAAGTGCCATTATGTTGACCTTCCAGATCGTGAAGTCATTTGACTCATAAAATTTTTCCAGATTAAATTTATACGAGGACATCTTCAATCAATCAGGTATGACTTTGATACCACTTCTTATGAGAAAACGAGAAAGAAAACAAATAAAGAATATCGATATTTTACGTGGTTCGATGACGGTATATCCACTTACATCTACGGGCAGGAATCGAAGAAATTTCATTACAATGAGGTCATACGACTATGAATCTTAGTTATCTACCCTAAACCTTAAACTTATTAGTTATTAATTAGCATGAGGCCAAAAAAATTCTACCAATTGAAACAACTATTTCGCTTTGATTTCGAAAGTTAGGTACTAAGGCCAAAAAAATCCTACGAATTGAACAACCATTTCGCTTTGATTTCGATAGTCGAGTACATCGCTAAATCCAATTCACGTTTCTAACAATAACATTTTAATTTCATATTTAATGATTTGATTATTACACATGGTGTTATTGGGTAAAGTAGATCAGCCGTGCCCGCGTACCTGAGGAGGGAGGAAAGAGACGAGGGCGAGTCTGAATCTTTCTGTGCATAGGTCGGACTTTTCTTCCGATAACAAGAACAGAAACTTCGCCTGTCATCGCATTGCGCGAGAAGGCTGTCTCTGGTCGTCGTCTGAGACTGAGAGAAGAGAAGTTCACGTCGCGACAGCTAAGCTTACTCTTTTTTGTTTCAACAGAAAATTAGAAATTTATCAAGGACTAAAAAGGTAATTTTATAGAATATGCAGTTTCGATTCTCTTTGAAAAGAAAAAAGGACAACTAAACTAACGAACAGCAGCTGGCTGGCTACTCCTCCCTCGTCTTCTTTATTTCTTCTTCTTGTTCTTCTTCACCTACCCAAGCCAATCCACCTACCCCCAAAGAATCACAGAATTCACTCACATTCGGCAGGACTTGATTGATTTGAGATTGCGTGTCAATGTCGTCGTCGTCATCCGCCGTGCTCACCTGCAGGGCTGCTGTTGCGTGGGCTCCCGGTGCCCCTTTAGTTATCGAGGAGGTGCAGGTCAGTCCCCCCCTCCCCTTGGAGATCCGCATCAAAATTGTCTGCTCTTCCCTTTGCCGCACCGATGTCACTGCTTGGCTTTCCCAGGTACACCTTCCCCTGCACATCCATTTATCCCGAACTTCCAACTCCCTGCCCTGTATGGCTGTATGCTTTAGCTTCTTACCTTTTTCCTGCAGGCGCAACCTCAAATCTACCCACGGATATTTGGCCATGAAGCATCAGGGTACCATATATATTTCACTATTCCCTTCCTTCTGCCTGCTTGCTTACCGTAGTGGTTAGGACTAGGAAGGCTTCACATTGATCATTCCATTAAACTTATTCCTTAGAATTCAGATGAGGTTATTATCAAATCATCAATTTTGAGGCCTGAAGAACACTACAATATTCTCTTTGTCTTCGCTATCCAACTTGTTGTTAATATTAAAGAAAAATTGGTACCTCATTACTTACCTTAGGTGAAATTGGAGTTTCACACGCAAAAGATCTTATAATGATTGAGGAAAAATCAGAACTCGGTGGCATCAGCCCCTTAGGACAGAAAGTTGGGGTTGATCTGAATAAAGAAAATGTTTCAGGGCAAATCCAAATTGAGGAGTCGAATTAAGCCTTAAAAGGCATAGTAGTGTTATATCCTAGTATTGTAAGAAGTTCAGGCATGCACCGGAAAAAGATAATAGAAGAAGGGATGCTTTTATTTTGAACTCGAATATTCCTTTGGAGTAGTGAGTGTCGAATTTCAGAACCTCGTTCCACTAATGCAACACTGTGGCTATCATAGTGTACATGCTTGGGGATTTCGGTGTAATCTATCTCGTGGATGATGAGATGTTATGAAATGTGGGGGGAAAATGACATTTGGATCAAGATTCCAGATGAATGTGAATGGAAGTTGTGTGTTGTGAGACATTAAGCCTGAAGAGGAATCTGATCTCGATCTTGATAGTCTCTGGTTGATGGAGAAGGCTTTGCAACAACATTCCATTTGGTTAAGTTGTCATAATTTGAGTCTATCGAGTCAAATATCATGCATATTTATAGACCTCCATATTCATTATGAATACAATACAATTTCTTAGTCATTTAGAATGTATTTCCAACATATTCTATCAAAGAAAACACAATATAAAAACTCATGTTTCTTCTGATACATTCAATTTGGGAAGTACCTGACAATTGTTAGCCTTTATGTTTCTGGTTTTGATTTTGTTTTGATTCTTGATTTCTGTCTACGTTTTGAAGTCATGTTTGCTTACCTGCCATGTTTCTTCTGAGAATCCCGTTGTTTTCGACTTCGGTGAAAGTCTTATTGTTTTGACACCAATGAGAGTTTCGTCGTTTCTGACTCCGTTGAGAGTTCCGTTATTTCCGATTCTAATTCAGTTGAAAGCATTGCTTTTGATTCTGACATAGTGAATGATTGTGACTAAGTTATCTTTGATCTCTCTTTGCAAACTCAAATTGTTTATGCTACACCAGTTGAGTTTGAAGGGAATGTCAGAGATATTTTAGTTATTTAGTTTTGTATTAGATTTAGTTTATTTATATTTGATTTTATCAATTATATTAGGTTGTTATGATTTGAATCTATTGAGTCAGTTACATGGTTCTATATATAAGTCGTTCTATATATAAGTCCTATTATTATTATGAATAACAATGCTATTTTTCACTCGTCTACAATTTATTTCTCACACAAATGGTTTTGGCTCAAGGCAGAAAGAAAAATACTCTCAATACCTGACTGCAAATGACCATAAGAATATTACTATTAAATATGCATAGTACTTCAGAATTGTAGCATAGTCGATTTGGTAGGTTCAAAGTATGTGGATGTTTGAGGACTACATATTTGGGAACCAGAAAATGATGTATATCTCAATTGAATGCGAGAGATGTAAGGAATAGCAGTTGGAACTGGTGCACAGTGATTTATGGAGGACCAAGCCCGTAACATCTCTTAGTGGCGTGTCCTATGAAATAAATCAAAGGGGTATTCATTAATTGTTGTGATTCATCCATTAATACATCTATAGAAAGATATGAGTTTACTTCCTAAAACATAGATATAATGCTTATCCTATTTTTAGGAAATAGAACTAGTTGAAAATGAAATAGAGTTCAAAGTGAATGTGGTTGAGATTCGACAAAGGTGGAAAGTATAAATTGGTCAAATTCAAAGATTATTATGCTGAGAATGGTAGAGTGGAGAAAACAATACCTAGAACACCTCAGCAAAATGAAATTTCCGAGTGTTAACCGAACGTGAGAATTGTATACAACTGAAATGTGGGATGCCAAAGATGTTTTTAGCAGACATTATCAACCGTTACCACCTTGCTAATTTAATAGAGGATCATATGTCACATTAGATAACGACATTTCAGAGAAATTTTTTTGAAGTAGGATAGAGGTAAATCTTTATGTGTGAGAGAATGAGTTTGGATATATGTGTTTTTTTGAGCCAGCTGACTTTTGAAAAGGCAAAGTCACAACCTACTTGTAGGGATTGTTCCAAAGGATAAAACATTCTAAAGTGCTATTTCCCAAAACTTTCAGGATTGTTGAGAGTGTAGGTGAAGGAGTGACAGAATTTAAAGAAGGGGACCATGTGCTTACTTTGTTCACGGGAGAATGTAAGAGATGCAAGCACTGTATGTCAGGTAAAAGCAATGTCTGCCAAGAGCTGGGGTTGGAACGCCAAGGCGTAATGCACAGTGACAAACAGACACGGTTCTCAATACGAGGAAGACCCGTGTATCATTATTGCGCGGTTTCAAGTTTTAGCGAGTATACAGTTGTGCACTCTGGATGTGCTGTCAAGATTATCCCTGAGGCGCCTCTGGAGAAAATATGCCTTCTAAGCTGTGGAGCTGCAGCAGGTGCGTAAGGACTGGTTTCGATTCATTTCAACTATGTATGGCTGCTTCTTAAGTTCCATGCTTTAATATTTATATTTACCAGTTGCTAGTATAGGATGTGTATTCACTCTACTCAAAGTAGAGATGTTTGCAAGGAGTTTATAAGCTAGCTTGATGGTTGTTTCTCACAATCAGGTTTAGGTGCAGTGTGGAAGGTTGCAGAAATCTCGGTGGGATCACGTGTAGTCGTTTTTGGACTTGGAACAGTAGGCCTTTCTGTGAGTTGTGGACTTTGCACTACTGGACTGTAGTCAGTTAGTCGCACTTATTATACTCAAAATCCCTAGTTTATGCATCAACATTCTCTTTGCTTCCTAATATATGTTCAAATAGGTTGCACAAGGTGCTAAACTGAGGGGTGCAGCTCAGATCATTGGCGTTGATGTAAATGCTGAGAAGAGAGAAATAGGTACTGATGCTGATATATATAGACGAAATCCATAGGATCTTCAAGAACAATTAACATTATTTTATTGATCATGCAATGCAGCAAAGGCTTTTGGCGTAACAGACTTTCTGAACCCAAACGACCATGATCAGCCAATTCAGCAGGTGAATTCTCTTTAGCTCAAATGCAACTGGTCCAACCAGTATATTAATATTCTCTTTGAAAATAAGCCCATTGAAGGAGATATGAAGCTGCAGTTGGTGAGAAAACTGTGCCTTGCTATAGTGTTACAAAATACATCTTGAGTATAGCATATATATATATATATGTACCTCCAGTACTTTTAATAGAATTATGAGGAACATATAAGCTCTCTACCTCTTCAGATTAAATTTATGTGATAAATTACCATCTAGCTTATTGAAAATACCCTGGGAGCCCATCAGAGGCATGAAATACAGCTAGTTGCATGCTGAATCCTCGTCCAGGTTATTAATAGCCGCCCGAGTAAGAAAATTGTGTGTGCTGAATCCTCTCCTCTCCTCTCCTCCCAGGTTATTAACAGTATTACTGATGGTGGGGCGGACTACGCATTCGAGTGTGTAGGAGATACTGGAATTGTCACCACTGCTTTGCAGTCTTGCTGCAGCGTAAGTAAAGTGAACTCTAGACTTGATTGAGATATTGTTCTTCTAGTTCAGTGAAACCATGTGTAATAGTATTTGATTACCTGTGGGTGCTAGGGATGGGGCGTGACAGTGACTCTGGGTGTGCCAAAAGAGAAGCCCCAAGTAGAAGCTCACCACGGGCTGCTTCTCAGTGGGAGAACACTGAAGGGGTCTCTGTTTGGTGGATGGAAGCCCAAATCTGATATTCCTTCACTCGTCGACATGTACCTCAGGAAGGTAAAGTAATGTTCATTGAAACATTGAAAGAAAGAGAGAATGAAAGAAAGAAAAGCACACCGTGCTGCTGAAGCTGAACACTAACTGTAGTTTGATTGGAGCAGGAGATCGAGATTGACAAGCTCATTACGCACAACGTGATGCTCGAGGACATAAACAAAGCATTCGAGCTGATGAAGGAAGGAAAATGCTTGCGGTGCGTCATCCACATGGGCCAGCAGCAGATCTAAGGGCTTCAGCTTCGGACTTGATCGATTGAGCTGCCATGATAATTGAATAAAGATACGATCCAACAAACAATAGGGCGATCAGCATAAGAAACAACATGCATATATATAATGATGAATGCGGGGGAGACTGAGTATTCATTCAGTTTTGCATTTGGTGGGGTTGCGTTGTATGATAAGGTTCCCCAGATGATACATACAGTAGCAGAACTAGACAATGTGTATACAATGTTGTCCATGGAAGATGTGTTTTTGAAATGATAGATCAAGATCAATCAGAACCACAGTCACATTGGGCGGGGGTTGAGTATTAATGCAATGCATGTTAGAGAGAGAGAGAGCTGTTGTTAGAAGGAAGTCACAAAGAAGAAGACACGACACCACAATACACAGTACATGCACCTGTTGTACCTGTCATGGTTGACCCGAAGCAGAAGCACAAGAAGAAGATACGCGTGTGAGTCAGTCATTGAGTGAGTGCTGCTCTGCTTAGTTCAACTACCCAAAGAAAAAAGAAGAAAAACAAAAGTAAGCAACCAAGAAACTGAGTATGCACCAACATCAACTAATTAATCAATCAACCACCAGTATTCAACCCTCTCTCCATCTCTCTCTCTCTGTATATGTATATACATACGATACCATCGATGCAGTGAGTGCATGAACCTCCCCTCCCCTCCCCTCCCCTCCCTCTCTCTTGTGCCCACTCTCTCAAATTAGATTATCCATCTGATCGATACTACCAAAGTGTGCTGCTGCTGCTGCTGCGTACATCTTCTTCATCCTCCACACCACATGGCGGACAACCCAAGAATACACCCCGCCGAAGCTCCAACCACATGGCCACCCGCCATCCCGCCAGCCAACTCTATCACTAAGAAAGGCGCACCACCTCATCCCCACCAGCACCCTTCCGTCAGAGGAGGAGGAGGCCGCGCAGCCGCTCCTCCTCCTCTGACTCCACCAAAGAGGCGGAGAAACTGTTGGTGCAGATGCCTCTGCTGGACACTCGCCCTCCTCATCCTCCTCCTCATCATTGTTGCTGCCACCGCAGGCATTCTCTACCTCGTGTTTCGTCCCAAGATTCCCAGCTACTCCGTCGACAATCTCAGGATATCCGATCTGACGCTCAATTTCGACCTCAGCCTCTCCGTCACCTTCAATATCAGGATCACAGCATACAACCCCAACAAAAAGATCGGAATCTATTACCAGAAGGGGAGCCACTTGAGTGCATGGTACAAGAACACAAATCTCTGCCAGGGATCGCTCCCCAGGTTCTACCAGGGCCACCAGAACAGGACCGTGCTGCACGTTGACCTCACTGGCCAAAATCAATATGGGAGGACCGTGCTCCAAGCCCTGCAGGAGCAGCAGCAGACCGGAAGGATCCCCTTGGATCTTAGGATAGATGTCCCCGTCAGTGTTAAGCTAGGGATGCTGAAGCTCAAGAAGGTCAGGATATTAGGCACCTGCAAGTTGATCGTTGACAGCCTCTCCACTAATAGCTTGATCAACATCAAAGCCAATAACTGTAAATTTAGATTGAAGCTTTGAGGGATATTTTGCAGTCTCGGTTTATAGTTGAGAAACTATTGCATCCTTCTTCCTGAATTCCACGTACACATACATACATGCATACATAAAAAGGATATTTTATTTCTTCAAATCTCCTTACCAAACTTTCATCAATTTTTTTTTTCTTTTTTACCACGATCAGTACAGCACTAAGTCTTAAACAGGAAGCACAATTGTATCCCAGGATAATATATATCTACACAGCATATGCCACAGTGATTTTTTCAGTCCAGGTACTCCATTCAAACAAGTCAAGAGGTGTAAAATATCTTACACACTATTCTCCAATCAATGCTCGCGGTTTGTGCTCTGCCACACACAGCGACATTCCTGTCTGTGTGACAGCCCTGACAAAAGCCATGTTAGCCGTAACCGTTGGAGCACCCCAATAATCACCAGTACCAAACACTACTTTGTTTTTCAATGCGAGCTTTCGGGTTGTGGGAAGGCTCATCAGTCGTGTTGATGGACAATCAGGCACTACCCTGATACAGATTGCTTAGCAATTAATATATAATGAGAGAACAAAAAAGAAAAACCCAATAAACAGCAAAGTTAACACTAGATCAACAATATATCTATATATTATACATAGTAGAGGGAAGGAATTCTTCCAAATGTTTTTCAAGCTGCAGAAGCGTTTTAAATTGTATAGTAGAGGGAAGTTTGAGATGAATTTTTTTGACAGAACCATGATTCAAATCAATGTAACAATGATGATATGATATGATATACCATGGCAGACTCACCTGAGGAACTTCTTGAAGTATTCAGCTCTTAGTTTCTCATTAGGTCCTCCACACATTAAGACAAGCTCCTGAAACTCTGAGCAAACACTCTCACATACAATTCCTCGTTTTCCCAACATTATACCAATCATCTCCTTGTGGATTGGATTCTGTTTTTCAGATTGGACCTGGAAGAAAAGAAGATTATGGATCCCATGAAGAGAGAATCAACCCCAAAAATGTTGAATACATCAAGCACCATCTTACAAATTTATGCCAGGCAGCCGCCCTAATTATATCATTGTGCGAAAACTTAAAAGGGCTCTGACGAAAGCCAAATAAACACAAAATTCTCAGGTTTCTCCTTCCTTTAGCACACAAGTTGCTCTCATTGCATATCAACCTCAAAGAAGAGAATAATTAGAACAATCCGATCAAAAAAGAAAAAGAGAAGAGAATAATTAGAATATTATTTGAGAATAAATGGATGAACACATCTAATTTTTTTACCTCAACAATGTATCTTAAAAAATTTATGTTTTGTATAAATTCAATATTACAAATGGCAGGCTTCACTGGAAAAAGGCACTCAGCATTCTCCCGTAAAAATCCTCTACACCGAGATTCTCATTATTTAGTTTGTACATAATTGCTTCATCAGTAGTAAACTGAGGTCACAACTCACAAGCAATATTAGAACTAATGATGGATCATTATAAGGCTAGTGATGGATTGCAGGAAAGCTCACTCTAACTTCCAGTGGCCACAAATGCTCTTTCGGACACAAGATGAGAAGAAAATGTGACTCGAAGCATAGAAGCTAAAATATATATATATATGAGCCTATCAAGTTTTTATCACAATGAACCATTCCTTCAACATAAAGCTTTTCATGCAATTAAACAGAACAATTGCATCATAATTGATCGCCCTTGATTAGAATTGCAATATTGAAAAAGCATTAGTAGCAACTACCAATTAAAGGACTTTTTTGGATCAACTCATCACATAAGTGATTTTCCTAGGAGACAGAAAAAATGATTCTTCAAAGTGAGAACCATATATAAAAGCATCTCAGTTAATACCTGAGAAATCATAAAATCATAGTTGCCCTTAAACCGTCCTCTCAGTTCACTCTCTGGTGTATTCAAAAGTTTGTCTGTCTTTCCATTGCTGATCCCTGAGACAATTGCAACCATTGCAGTAGTATCAAAATTAACTAACTCGGCTCCATGACCCGTCAATGTGTTCTTCCACGGTCCAGATTCAAGCTCTAGATTATCATTCGAATGGCAGCACCAGCACTTCATTCCATACACAAGAGTTCTCAAAGATGCTCCTACATTTAAATCACAGAATGCATCACACTTACTGCAGGAGACAGTTCCATCTGCCCTCACAGGATCAAGATAATTTTTCTCCATCTCTGGGTTCTCTTTGTTTACCTCTATTTCGACAACACAGGCATCAAGAAAGGATCTTCCAAGTACCAGATTGGTCCACTTATCCTCCAAATCAAACTCCTCATAGAAAAACGGCTCAATTCCCAGCTTAACGCTACCAAACTCGCGTTCAAGCTTCTGATAAACTTCATCGACAAGACCATGCGAAAAGAAAAGCAAAACTGATGATGGCCGGAGCGCTGGAGGAGACAGGCAAGCAGCGTCAACTACTTTGCGAATCTTTTCCTGTAACCCTTTGTTTTTGTCAGCAAGAGAACCACCTTCCCAGGTAATGAATCTGGGGTTTCTGTCGGAGACAATAACCCAAGCAGGATTTCCCTTAACAGAACAAACAATATCGACGTAGATATCATACGCAGCGGACAGATTGATGGGCTTGCAAACGCGAGATACTCCAGTCACAAAGGGCTGCAGAAGGACGTGCGCCACGGCCTCCAGGTGACCGATATTGAGACTGCCACAGAGAGATTTGTCACGATTTAACAAGTACTAATAAAAGAGAAGGCTTTGTGTTTCCCCTGATCGCTAGGAACAATAGAAGAAAAGGAGGAGAAGAAGAGAAAACCTGAGAGGTGAAGGCGAAGGTGAGGAGGCGGAGGAGAGACGATGGAGAAAAGCGAGCTCGGAGTTGATTAGGCGGAGAAGGGTGGGCACGGGCACTGAGAGCTTAGTAGCAGACATTCGGTGGAGGCTATCGCGGAGAGCAACGCACCTCCTCTTTGCATCTTCGACGGCGGCGTCCGCGCTCTTCTTCTCCTCCATCTCCATCTCCATCTGTTTCCCGACTACGTCCTGCGTCAAACTCGGTGATGGTTGTGGGTTTTGTGGCATTTTTACAGTAATGTTTTATATTGCATCATTACTTATATAATAGTACTTGCGATGGAAGTACCTACGATGGATGGATGGATGGATGGTGACAACATATCTCTCCATGGAGTGATGGACTAACTGTAACCAACAGATTTTCATAGCTTTTGATCCATCGTCATCATCATCTTCATCTTCTGTGTTTGCTATTTGCATAATGCTGACTGCTACAAAGATTTTGGCTATATACATACAAATGATGTGTACGTAGTTTAGTTAAACAGACAAAATACAGGATGTGCGCGCTGCCAGCCATCTGTCTGTCTATCTATCAATCAATCTATCTATATCTATCTATCTATCTATCTATCTATAGTCCCAAGCAAAACTACAGAATGACAAGGAAATAGAGATAGAACAGAGACACAAGTGAGTAGCAATGGTGTTGGCTTGGCTCCTGTCGTCCCTTCCCTTCCCACCTTTTGTCTGCCAATTGTCATTATGCTTAGTGAGTAGAGTGAGTTCCTACGGCATGGGTGGATGTACCATCGCGGATTCTCCTCCTAAGATACTCCAGCTGCTCAAATTCACCTTCATGTTCTTCCCACTGCAGCAAGGCCACCACCATCATCATCACTTATCTCATTCATCACACAACATACACATACATACAAGCATTCCATTTCTACTTCAAAACTCATAAGCAAGCAAGCACGCACGCATTTAATTAACTATCTGTAACATGAGGAATTCAATCACAAATGCTTCTGTGCTTACTTGCTGAAGCGACACCGACACAAGCTTCCACCCAGATGCATTTATCCAGCGGCGTTTCAGCATTGTATGCCCCAGTGGAACTCCTGATAAGAGATGAACAACCAAACCATAATCCCGACTCTAATACGGTACAATACGGATACTGCTAGGCACGCACACAACTTGGGAAACTATTACTATATTATATGACATGATATGGTACGATTTGGATTAGCACGCACCAGAATTTCTCGAGAAATGAGTGGGCCCGTCGATTTCCAAAGCAACCCTCTGATCAACAATGGCTGCATCCAGAGTGTAGCCCTCCACTGTATACTCCTTCACCCAATCAAGCCCAGTGCTTACAAGCAGGCGACACACCTCCTTCTGGAACGACGAACTCACCTTCTCATTGAACTTCTTTGCTCTTCCAGCACGTTCAATTTTATCCTCCACCTCATTCGGCAGCGCCATTCTAAGATGTGGATACTCTAGTTTCAGGCATTGATTCACCAAGTGCAGCTGCGAGCAGAACATCACATCTTCCCTGTACTGCTCAGAAATCCCTTGCTCCACAAAATGGCTCAATGTTCTCCAGGCGCAGGAGAAGAAGGCACGATCTAATTGTCCTAGCACAGCATACGACCAAGATATGCAACCCAGCTCGTCCCTGGCAAAGGTTAGTGTCATGCTGCCTGTATGTGCTGCTGATTTGCTGTCTCCACTGTCCTCTGCTCCTCCCTCATCATCAAGATAAGATGTTTCACTGGCTGAGCGAAAATCGAACTGACTCACATCCACAGAAAAGCTGTCAAGAGAGTCCAGAAGAGGGTCTGCAGGCTCATACAGAGAAGCAAAAGCCCATAATACTTGGGCGATCTCTTGGGGACGAAAAGTGTCTATTATATGCGAAGCCCTGTTCGACAATTCTGAAAAGAGTTGCGGAGCAGAGTGCCGCATGGAAGCAAAAGCACCTGCTATATTAGCAACATTCTGAGAGTTGAACTCAGATACTTTAGTCAAGGCCACTTCCGCCACCCTGTCCATTTCAGACATGTAAAGAAGCTCTCCGCCAATCTTGGACAAGGCCCATGCAATGTTGGAAACTCCCTGTGCGGAACACTCAGGCAAGGTGGTCATTGCCATTCCCACAAGCATACACATCTCTCTTTGTCTAGCAAGCGCCAATCTCCGAGTCCTCACCATCGAGGTTCTCTCCATACTCTTGGCAATCCTATGTAATGCTGTCGCAATATTCAAAGGTGAAAGAGGCGATGGATGAAGCCCTTTTGCAACAGCTGTGATTATATCACCTGTAACCTCTAAAACCTCCTCAGCAGTTGGCGCATCAACAATCAACTTATTCAAATTTATCTCCTTTCTACGGTCAGAAGGTCCTGAAAACTGAGAAAGTCTCTGAACAAATGTTTCCATAGATTTCTCCTTCCTCTCTTCAAACATCCCCCGTGCAATCAAGCTCACCGTTCTCTTAAGATGACCGTTTTTACCCAAAGAATCTGCAGAATCAAAGGCTGCCTCATTGATATCAAAATCCAGATCTTCATCGTCCTCCTCTTCATCAAAATCGTCGGCGGTGTCCACCAGTGTTTTTTTGCTTATCATGGGTTGCTTCTTCTTCTTTTTCTTTTTCTTCTCATGTCTGACCAAGCTCTCCATTTTCGCCTTCAGTCCTCTGGCCTCAATAGATTGCAATGCAACCTTCCTAGCCCTAACACACCAATCCATTTGATCAGTTTCTGGAAAATATCTAGATTTTGGCTGCTTTTTCTTCTTCCCGGACGAGCCAATTTCACCAAGAAACTCTGCCTCCCAATTCGTTGAACTTGAGCTCTTTCCATTTTGAACTCGATGCTCGTTCTCCTCCACTTGACCACCACCATCATCGTCATCGTCATCATCATCATCATCATCTATGTAATCAGCAGTTTCAACCACCACACCACCGTTAATTGGTCGGTGCTTCCTCTGTCCAGGGTTTAAGCAGCAGCGGAATTTGAATCTGGAGCTCAGGTGAATTTTTGGGTTCACAATTGGAAGTGCAGTTTTAAAGGCAACTGGTTTTGTGGACTGCACGTGAAAATTGGAGACAGAATTTACCAGCAGACTTGCTTCCATAGATTATGTAAATCTCTTCTAAAATTGCAATACTTGAGGTGCAGGCAGAGGCTAAGATGACTGCGTGCGTGACAGATGAGAAGAGAAATCGAAGCCCACTCCAATGACAGATAATCAAGGGCAGAGAAATCGAAGTAACGAACCTGAGTAGGAGGAAGGCAGGAGACCAAATTGATGGCGTTCGCCGGGAGAAATGTAAGAGGTCGGATAAAAGCAGAGCTTGAGCGATTGAGCTGGGATTGGACGGTGGCCAGTCCGTTGCAGTGATAGCCGATAGGGATAGGGGGAGGGCGGGCATTGTTTACGTATGGAGTGCTTCTTACCTCCTTAGTGACTGTTCCCTCTATTGGGCTGGGATGGACTGGGCCGGGCCTTCATGATGAATTGTTCAGGCCCAACAAAAAGCATCTTGTGTTCTTGTCAAACTTATAAACCTTTCAATTTGTAGACATGGAGGAACGAACCATGCTAGATATCATTTTCATTTTCTTTTTCTGGAAAAGAAACACTTCCTTTTCCATCCAGAACATTCCATTTCCCATCTTCAGTTTGTGGGGATTATTCTATCATAGTCGTCGAAAGTGAGAATTGGTTAAAGCAAAAATATCACGAAAAACAAAACACAACACATTCCTAGGGTTTAGTTATTTATTTCTTTCAACTGATGTACCAACTCACTCTACTTATGTTCTTAATTACTTTGTTTTCTCTTAATCTTGAGCTATTTATATATATATATATATATATATATTATAATTCAACCTTTTATCTAAATATAAAAACTCTTTCTTTTCTTTATCATTTCATTTAATTGCCCAACTCTCTCTAAAATCTAAACTATTATGAAATTAGTTTGTGAATCATATCATATATATATATATATATAAAACAGCTCAAAAACTGGACCCCACATTTTGTAAAATGGTGTAATTCTGCAATCTCAGTGGACATAGGAAGTTAATTTTTAAGTGGATTAATTTTTTACGGAAGTTTTTATAGTGAATTATGAAACTTTATTTTTTTATTGGAGAAGATTGACATCGGTTTTTATTGGAGAAGATTGACATCGGGGAAAGAAATTTCTTCAGGCGAGTCTTCTTTTTTTTTTCTTCAGACAATGCAAGGGTGTTGTTCTTCAGGCAACAAAAACTTTATTTCTTTTATCGGAGAAGATTGTTATCCGGAGAAAAAGTTTCTTCAGGCAAATTTTACAAGGTGTTTTGTTTTTTTTTTTTTTTCAGGCAAGTTTTACAAAGTGTTTTTTTTTTTTCTTTAGGCAAGTTTTACAAGATGTTCTCCTTTTATTTCTTCGGGCAAGTTTTACGACGTATTCTCCTTTTATTTCTTCAGGCAAGTTTTACAGTGTGTTCTCCTTTTATTTCTTCGGGCAAGTTTTACAGCTGTGTTTTTTTTTTTTTTTTTTTTTTCTTCAGGCAAGGCAAGGGTGTTGTTCTGTATTCTTCTTTTATTTCTTCAGTCAACTCCTTTTATTTCTTCAGTCAACTCCTTTTATTTCTTCAGGCAAGTTTTACAGCTTGTTCTTTCTTTTTTTTCTTCAGGCAAGGCAAGGGTGTTGTTCGGTGTTCTCCTAAGATTGCGATTCGGAGAAGAAAATTTCTTCAAGCAAGTTTTACACGGTGTTTTTTTTTTTTTTCCTTCAGGCAAATTTTGTCAGGGTGTTCTCCTTTTATTTATTTAGGCAAGTTTTACAAGGTGTTCTTTTTTTTTTTTTTTTTCAAGTTCTTATATTCATTTTTATTAATTATATTTTTCGAATTTTTGTATATATTTTTAGCCCTTAGAAAAGATTCTCACTAGAATAAGAAGATTTTCAGGTAAGTGTTTTTTTCTAAAATTTAATTTATGGCAGAAGTCGGAAACTTTTACTTCTTTCTCAAGTTCCTGTTATTTCATTATATTCATTTATATTAATTATATTTTTTTGAATTTTTATATAATTTTTTAGCCCTATTTTTTTAATTGGAGAAGACAATTTTTCTATGGAAAATATTGCCACCTGAGTCCGTCTTCTTGAAGTAAGTTTTTGAATGAATTTGAGTTTTTGAATAAATTTTCATTGATAAATTATCCATGAATAATTTAAGTTTTTCAATAAATTTTCATTGATAAATTATCCATCATGAATAATTTAAACTTTTCAATAAATTTTCATTGATAAATTATCCAAATTTTTTGTAATTTAAGTTTTTCAATAAATTTAGACTTATCTTCGTATTCAATCAAAAATAATTTGTAATCCGTGAAGTAAGTTATTGAATAAATTTAAAATTTTCAATAAATTTTGCACTGTGTTTTTTTTTTAATTTAATTTTTACTTCTTTTTCAAATTCTTTTATTTTCCTATTGTTTGATTCATATTTATTTTATTAATTATATTATTTTGAATTATTGTATAATTTTTTAGCACTATTTTTTTTCATGATATAAGACAAATTTTCTACCAGAAAAACTTGCCACTGCTTTCCGTCTTTTTTAAATAAGTTTTTGAATAAATTTAAGTTTTTCAATAAATTTCTTTTTGTTTTTTAATTTAATTTTTACTTCTTTGTTAAATTCTTATATTTTATTGTTATTTCATTATATTCATTTATATTAATTATATTTTTTTTGAATTTTTGTATAATTTTTCAGCCCTATTTTTTTAAATGGTAGAAGACAAAAAAATTTTACTGAATAAATTTTTATTGATGAATTATTCAATAAATTTTTGAATAATTTAAGTTTTTCAATAAATTTTCATTGATGAATTATCCAAATTTTTGTATAATTTAAGTTTTTCAACAAATTTAGACTTATCTTCATATTCAATCAAAAATAATTTGTAGTCTGTCTTCTTAAAGTAAATTTTTAAATAAATTTAAATTTTCCAACGGTGTTGTTTTTTTTTTTTAATTTAATTTTTATTTCTTTCTCAAATTCTTATATTTTCCTATTATTTGATTCATATTTATTTTTATTAATTATATTTTTTTAAATTATTGTATAATTTTTTAGCTCTGTTTTTTTATGGTAGAAGACAAAATTTTTGGAAAAACTTGCCACTGTGTGTTCTTTTTTTTTTTTTAAATTTAATTTTTATTTTTTTTTCAAGTTTTATAATTTTCTGTTATTTGATTAGACAATTTTTCTACTGAAAAAACTTGCCAATCTTTTTGAAGTAAATTTTGAATAAATTTAAGTTTTTCAAAGGGTGTTGTTCTTTTTTTTTTTTTTTTTAATTTTATTTAATTTTTACTTCTTTCTCGAGTCTTATATTTTCCTATTATTTGATTCATATTTATTTTTATTAATTATATTTTTTTAATTTTTGTATAATTTTTTAACCATGTTTTTATAGGATATAAGACAAAATTTTTATTAATTTTATATATTTTTTAAATTTTTGTATAAAGTTGTTTTCTAAATTGTTTGTTGGATGATTCGCTCGTTTTTATTTCTAAATTTTGTTTAGGTTTGTTGATTTATTTTCATTAGGTTATTTTTTGGAAGTTGAAATTAAAAATGTGAATTTATTTATGGTTATTCTTTTTCATTTTGTATTTAATGATGATTATTCTTTTTCATTTTGTGTTTAATTTCTTTACATAATGATTTGTTTTCGGTTGTAGCATCCAGAGTACAGAAAGAGAGGAATGTTAAAGAAGAAAAGAAAACCAGAAAAAAAAAAAGAAACGAGAACAAAGAATAAAAGAAAAAAGATAAATGCAGATGTTTAGCTATTTTATTATACATTGAAGTGTAATTTAAATTCTTATTAGCAATTGATCATAATTTATATTAAATTATATGTTATTTTTATTATTTTTTTATACAATATTAAATTCTTATTATACAATATTGTAATTAAGTTATGGGGACTGATTTTATTCTTTAAATTGTAAAAAGCAAAAATTATTATATGTATATGAATAATAATTTTATTTTCGTAATCAATCAAGTTCTAAACACATCCAAATATATGTATAACTTTTATATATATGTTAATTGATTTTGTTCATAATAAATTAAAATATTATTTTAACATTAAATTATTTTAGTTATATTGCATATTTTATTCCAAGTATATAATGTAAATCTTTGTGTTCGAACAGTCGTGGCTGGGTGTCTGCAGAGGTGGACTGATGCTGGCTCTATTTGGTGTGCGTGTTTGGCCGATAATTAGTGGATGATGGTAGATGATAATAATGTTTTTAGTTCGAATTTGCAGAAGATGTGTTAAAATTGTTGTTGGATGTTGTGAAGATTTTGTTTGTTTTTTCTTTATTTTTTAAGCAATAGAATGAGAAATTTATTTTGTAGAATATTGTTGAATTATATATTTTTATTTCTTAATTTATTATATGATATTTAGTAGAAAAATGGCGGTTGTGTAAAATTTGGATATTTTGATAAATAATTTTTATTTGTAATTATGTTTATAAAGAAGATATAAAAAAACTTATGTTAAATTTTTAAAATGTAATTTATTTTGCATTAAAAAATATTTTTAAATAATACTATTATATTATAATCTTATATTAATTAAGAAATAAAAGTAAAATATTACAAAATTAAATATTTACTTTATAATTGGATGGAGATAATATAATTTATTGATATTATTTTATTTTTTATATTGATTAAAAATATATATAAAATAAAAGAAAATCAATACGTTTGGCAACTAGCTAGCTTTTAGTACACTCCCTCGTGATTTTATTATTTATAAAAACACAAGGCTGAAGAGATCTAGTCTAGTCAAGAAAGGGGACTGACCGCTGACTCTCAATCATAACACGCCCCCCATCCCCACCCCCACAACCATCATCATCATATATAATTCATATTATGACCCACCCTCCGATCCTGATTCTCCATTCAAATTAACAAATTCTATATAATAATATATGCTCTTTTTTGTGTGAGGGTACTTAATTAACACAACTTGTTTGATGCTACTACTTTATCATTTAATGGTAATAAATAACTCCATCGTTTCAAAAAGTTCTCTACATCAATAAACTAATCAAATTTGCCTACATATATTTTGATATTTTTATGAATGTTAAATATTTTGTATTGAAATAATGATTAGATATGCCTATATTTAATGCAATATTTTATTAGAAAATAATTAATTAATTATTATTATTATTATTTTTTATATGTAAAAATATGTTTGTTGTAATTTCAAATTTTCAAGACTGATCAAACAATCTCTTTCCAACTATAGAATAAACATGCAAAGTTGGATCGATTGCATCCAACGAAGCTCCAAACCAGCGGATTCACAAACACAACACCAAACTCGAACCAAAAATGAATTGAAGACACAAATTAACTTTATGTGAAGAACATCTCACGAATCACTCAATTATCACGATAACTAATTTCTTTTTGCTATAAATAAAAATAATTTTTTTGTATGAATAAAGAGTAAAAAAAAAATATAAAAATACATAGATTTTGTGGACGAAATGAAAGGAGTATTATTTATATAGCAAGTAATAATGAATCATTTATTAATTCTTTGATCTTAATGAGCTATGCATAATCATTGAACTATGCATGGTGGGAAGGTTTCTTCATTATTATAAGAACAACCCAACTTTCAAAATCCAAGTTGCACAATTACTGCCAAGATTATTAGCAAAAGTTACGCACATAAGTATTTAATTACAATATTTCATCTAATAATAATAAAATAAATAAGTATTATTTTGCATCTTGAATAATTAAACGAATGTCTTAATATTGCAATATACTCGTGGTGATCATTTATCAAAAAAATTACTTATTAATTTGTGATCACATGTAATAATTTGATTCCTTCCATGGTCATAATGTACTCCACTCATTGATTATAAGTAGTTTGCAATTGGCCGTTGAGATAGATAGATAGATAGATAGATAGATAGATGCCTTTCGATTAGAGGCTCGACTACTACTCAAAGTAACTAAAAACAAACTATCATCATATAATATATATAAATTATTATTAAGATATCTCAACACATATATATATATCCAATAGATTTAAGCTATATATTATTTATTACAAGGATTTTGCATAATATAAATATTTCCTTACAATTGTAATTGGGTACGTGTACATATATTTTGGTCTTATTTTATTGTATGTGTGTGTGCTGAAATAGTTGTGTAGTAGATTCTCATCCTCTTTGATCCCTGGAACTTAATTTGTTTGTAAGGCCTTAGCTTGCTTCCAATTTATTGTGTTATATATATTACCTACATGTTATTTTTAGTTTGAGACATATCACAAGTTTAACAATTTTTCTTTATGTAGATACTTTTTTTGCTCTTTTATACTTTCAAATAACAATTTATAATTATTTCATTAAAAAAAAAAATTAATTAATTAAAAGAAACCTATACATGCAAAAAAAATTAGATGAAGGGAACATTAAATGATGCATTTGCTTTGGGTTTGAGATAAAAAAAATTTTTAATATTCTCAAAATATATTAGATTAAAATATTATTTAAATGATCAAAACACTAAATTCAAACAAAAAGAAAAAAGTCCTAGTACATGAATGAGTGAGATGAAGAATATATATATTGTATGATGTAAACAAAAGAAAGGAACAAAATGAATGAGCAAGAAAGGAAATTAATTAAAGGGGAGAGATGGTGAGAAGAATATAATGGCCATCATTGTGTCCGCCCAAACATATACACATATCATCCATATATCGGTTACACAACACAACATAACTGGAAAATCAAAAAAATTAGCAATTAATTTAAAACATATATATATATATATATATATAGTAGAAAGCCTTAAAAACCAAAAGGCATATATCCCCCCATCCATCAGAAATTACACACAGTAATGAGAATAGTATTTAAATTGGAAAAAGAAAAGGAGAGAATGATGATTATATATGGGACATGACATGAAAGCATGCATGGGTGTGGGTGTGCCTTTTTTTTTTTTTTTTTTTCTTTATTAGGATTGTTTTTCTTCCTTCTCTTTTATTTTTTTTATTTTTTTGAGAGAAAGAAAGAAGATGATCATACATTTTGCCCACTCTCTCATTATCATTATATGTATGTATGTATGTATGTACGTGTGTGTGTAAATCTATATAGTTGACCAGCAGCAACAGCATTAGTTTCCATCGGCATCGGCATTATTAATCAGGAGAGAGCAGAGGAGAGGACACGACAGCAGTGCAACAGTAGTAGTAGTGTGTGTGTTTGTGGTTGATTAGATATGGAAGATTGCTGCTGTGGCTGTGGCTGTGGCTGTCGTCAAACAGCAACAGTGCTGCTTCGAATCCTCTTTTCATTTGCAGCGACGCCTGCAGCACTTGCGCTAGTGCTCTTCCTCCACCTGCACCTGCACCTGCTCCTCATGCTTCCGCCTGCGGCCTTTGCTGATTCTTCAACTACAAAGACTTTTCGTTTCAATGTAAGTAATTAATAATTAACTAGTTGATTATAACTCAATTCTATTCTAATGTATGTATATGTAGATCGAGCGGACCAACATCACCCGCCTGTGCCACACGAAGGCGGTGGTGACGGTGAACGGGGAGTTCCCGGGCCCCACCATCGCCGTCCGAGAGGGCGACGCTGTCCGGGTCGTCGTCACCAACACCCTCTCCACCAACACCACCATCCACTGGTACCTACTGCTTCCTCTCCTCCCCATCGTCTCAATTTATGAACAAACTCCTCCTCCTCCTTCTTCTTCTTCTTCTTCTTCTTCTTCGTAGATATGCATGTCAATGTCATCACCAAATCATATATAATATAGGGACTTACTAACTTCTAATTACTAAACCCTAAACCCAACAAACTCTCTCCTCTCCTACCTCATAATTAATAATCATTATATTAAGAATTAATTAACTAATTACTATAACAATACTATTATATTATATATATATATATGCTCTTTAACGTTAATTTAATTTGTTGCCTATGAAAAAAATATAGCAATCATATATAATACATACAATATTATCAGCAGTGCCCCCACTTGCCTATTACATGTTGGCATCCTTTATAGAGAAAAATGTACTGCAAGGATTTTTTGTCAATGTTTAGATTTTTCCTTTTTTTTTTTTTTCCAAATATTTTAATTATTTAATACTACTTTTTTTCCGGTAAAAATTTATAAATTTGACTAGGCACGAACATAATATATATATATACATAAAACTTTTTTTAGTAACGGTAGTAGTAAATAAAGTGAAGACAAAAACAAATAGAAAAAGAGCAATATATTTCGAGGGTTGCTTGAAAATACCAAAAAGATGAATAAAAATAAACCTGCAGTGTAAATAAATTATATTGTAGTATTTTGAATAAAAAATTAGTTTGATATGATTTTGAATTAAAAACATAATTTTAAATATAATATGTCAAAAAAAAAAAGAAAGAATTAATTAAAATATAAGGTTTGGTTTTTTATTTGAATTTTAAAATTAATTTAGATGGAACCCTGCCGTTTCCAGGCATGGAGTGAGGCAAATGAGGAGCGGGTGGGCGGACGGGCCGGCTTACATAACACAGTGCCCCATTGGCGCCGGCGAGACCTACACTTACACCTTCACCGTGGTCGGCCAGCGGGGCACCCTCTGGTGGCACGCCCACTACGCCTGGCACCGCGCCTCCGTCTACGGCGCCTTCCTCATCCAACCCTCATCTCCGGTCATATACAAGTACGACGTCGACGCCCCCCCGATCATCCTCGGCGAGTGGTGGAACGCCGACGTCGACCTCGTCGAATCCCAAATGATGCTCTACGGCGGAGGCCCCAACACCTCCGACGCCTACACCATCAACGGCCTCCCCGGCCCCCTCTACCCCTGCAGCACCAGCCCCGACCACACCTTCGTGCAAACCGTCCAGCCAGGCGGCAAAACCTATCTCCTCAGGCTCATCAACGCCGCCCTCAACGACGAGCTCTTCTTCGCCGTCGCCGACCACAACCTCACCGTCGTCGAGGTCGACGCCGCCTACACCAAGCCCTTCACCACCCCCGCCGTCATGCTCGCCCCCGGCCAGACCACCAACGTCCTCCTCGTCACCGCCGCCGCCCGGTACTCATCCACCTTCGTCATCGCCGCCCGCCCCTACCTCACCGGCACCTCCCCCTTCGACAACTCCACTACCATCGGCTTCCTAAAATACCTAAACACCAATGATAATGACGACGACGATGATCTTATTCCTCCTCTTCCTCCTCCTCCTCATAACAATTATGATTATTACACGCTGCCTCCCAACCTCCCCGCCCTCAAGGACACCCCATTCGCCACCAGCTTCTCCGACAGCCTGAGGAGCCTGGGCTCCGCCGACAGCCCCTGCAGCGTGCCCAAGGAGATCGACAGGCGCGTGGTGACCACCATCGGCCTGAACCTTCAAGACTGCCCCGCCAACCACACCTGCCGGGGCCGCCTCGGCAAGCGCTTCCACGCCTCCATGAACAACCAGTCCTTCCTCCGCCCCACAACCACCTCCATCCTCAGCTCCCACTACTACAACAACCGCGGACTCAACCTCTCATCCGATTTCCCCGAAAACCCTCCCCACGTCTTCAACTACACGGGGGTGGACCCCATGGCGGAGAATATGAACACCGCGTTCGGCGCCAGGCTCCTGAGAGTCGCTTTCGGGACGAGGCTCGAGGTGGTGCTGCAGGGCACCAACTTCCTGAATTCGGAGAACCACCCCATCCACTTCCACGGGCATAACTTCTTCGTTGTGGGGACGGGGTTCGGGAACTATGATGTGAGGAGGGACCCGGGAAATTACAACCTGGTGGACCCGCCGGAGAGGAACACGGTGGCTGTGCCGACGGGGGGGTGGGCGGCGATCCGTCTGACGGCGGATAATCCGGGGGTGTGGTTCATACACTGTCATCTGGAGGCGCACACGTCGTGGGGGTTGGCTGTGGCAATGATAGTCGAGGATGGGAAGGAGCCATGGGAGCGCTTGCCGCCGCCGCCGAGTGACCTGCCTACCTGTTGACCTCGAGCCATTAATTACCAGTAGATACATAAATATATTAAAAGATACATACAAACTGGCATTGATGATGTACTCACTCTTGCAGGCGCTTTTCGTTTTAAATTAGTTCTGCTCATGTGTTGTGTTGTGCTGTGTTTCAACTTTGAATGGGCCTTGCGGTTTGGCTGGACATGTTTACGGACATGATATCTTGTAGTGTACAGAGATTTATTTCTGCCTCTATATCCCACACCTATGTTGATGTCATGGCATCTTTTTTTTACTTTTTATTTTTTTATTTTTTATTTTTCACTATTATTAAAAGTTTACAAATTTCTATGTAAACCGACTTGATTTTTTAAGCTTGATAATAAGCTTGAAATCTAGACATATAGTTAGGATTGTATTAACATGTGTCAGTCGAATACACATCTCATTAAAATGATACATTTGACTTGGAGTATAATATTTAACATATTACTCTCTCCCTCCTACTTAAAAAGTATTATTTTTATCATTTCGTATATTTTACTTCAAAATACATATTTTCTATTTTACAAAAAATAATCATACACTAATAATAAAATATCCTTAACATTTACTTTGATTATAAACATATCATTTGGTAAGAAGAATTATCATAGAACAATATTGTTAGTGATCCAGGGTTACGTAAACCGGTTGATAGCTATCATATTGACGTTAGAGATGAATTAAAAAGATCGTATTTGGCCAAAGGGCCGGGCCTTGTCAACCGCATGATCATAATTTTTCAAATATTTTATTTGGTAAGATTATAAGAAAATTTCAGCCAACATGGTTTGATCAATTTGAATAGCTTGAATATAGTGCACAAAACAATGTTGTTTTTTATTTATGTTAAGTATCCCACATTGGATGTAATGTTGGAATTCTCCTACCTTATAAGGGGTAAAGAGCTACTCCACTTACAACCAATTGATTTTAAGTGATTAACAGTTTCGAAAAGCAAGAGGTGTAAATTATATTGTATTTGAAGAAAAGAAAATATCTTTGTGTTGAATATAAAAGGTCATATAACTGAAAAGAACTTCTCTCGGGCATTGCATGTTTTAATCCTAGAGATTTATTTGCCAATTTTGATTTTAATAAACTACTTTGTTTTGCTAAGTTATATCCAAGTGATTTTGATGATGAGGTTATGCTAGATGTAGAATTTAAACAATAAATTTCAGTTGTTAAGAAAGTTAAGTTTGCATTTTTTTTTTTTTTTTTTTATCTTGAGAATATTGAAGATGTTTCTAAAAGGATGGTTGAAAAAAAGATGACATATTACTTAAGCTATTGTTGAAAAAAAAAATTCTACCGTGAAGATTATCAAAATTGATTTGTGCGGTAAGATGGATTATTGTATGTTATATTGAAAAAAAATATATTTGAAAATATTGAAACTGACAATTCAAAAAATACAGTTGTCCGGAAAATTAATTAGAATTTTTTTTTACATATATGATATATATAATATATGATTTTTTTTTCCAATATTTTACTTTTTATTTTTAAAGAAAATAATAGACTAAATAATAAGGATAGGATTTTAAGAAAATAATACTAACACTCAAATACACTAAATACTAGTAGTGCTTGTTTTCTTTTCTTATTTATTACTACGTGTGTGTAATCAATTTAAATTGAATAGAATAGAATAGGGTAACAGAGAAAATCTGGTTAAGAAGATTTGGCGCCTTGGTTATTAATTATGATTAGTAGTATTGGATCGATCTTCGATTGGTACTATAAAAACTCTCTCCAGTGCTAACCCTAACATCGATCGATCCTCTCCTCTCCTCTCATCTCTCTCGATTGATCAATCGATCCCACAAATAATTAACTAATTAGTAATATAATGGGAACTACGACGACGACGACGACATCCATCTGCCTCGTCCTCATCCTCATCATCTCCATCGTCGTCAACCATTCCGCCGCCCAGGAGCCGCCTCCAGTCCTCGACATCGCCGGGAAACCTGTCCGCACTGGCGGGAAGTACTACATACTGCCCGGCATACGCGGCCGGGGCGGGGGGCTGACCGTCTACCGCGCCCCCGGCAAAAACATCACATGCCCGGCCAGCGTGGTCCTGGCACAAAACGAGGTCGACAGCGGCCTCCCCGTGAGCTTCAGCCCGGTGAACGGCCCGGCCCAGCTGGTCCTCGAGTCCAGTAGCCAAATCCTCAAGTTTTCGAGCGCGGACGTGGCCTCGGCCTGCGGCGGCGCCGCCGTGACCGTGTTGAAGCTGGGCGTCTACGACAGGGCCACCGAGACGCTCTTCACGGAGAGCGGGAAGATGGAGGGCCCGGCGTCCACCAGCTTGTTCAGGATTCTGAAGTCCGAGACCGGGATCCCCTACAGCTACAAGCTGGCGAACTGCCTCAACAAAGTGACGTGCAGGGACTTGGGGATATTCACTCACACCCAGCCTCAAGACGGGACCAGGCGCCTGGCCCTCAGCCTCCTTCCCGCTGACGACACTCGCTTTCAGCCGTCTTTCCCCTTTTTCTTCAAAGAGGCCCCGGCCTGACCGGACCGGCGACAAATTAAAACCAGCTACGTATACCACCGTGGAATAGATGGAAGAATTTAAAATGCAACCACCCACCCACCTACCTCTCTATTTACAGACACCTAGCGTAGCTAGCCGTGTGATTTCTAATAATAATAAATAAATAAATGATGACAATGATGATCACACTATTGCATGCATGCAATTGTACTTGGATTAATTAATAAATTATGCACGCATATCTTATATATATATATATATAATTCAAATCAAGTGGATGAAAAAGTAATCTTCGATAATGGGGTAGAAAGAAAAGATGATGTGGAAAGTGTTAAACAGGGAATTCAGGTTTTAATTTAAAATTAATTGGTTATAAGTAGAATACTCGTTCACGCTATAAAGTAAGAGAATTTCAACATTACATTCAACGTGGATACTTAACAGAAAGAAAAGAAAGTAGGAGAATTAACCCAAAGATGATATCTCAATTGCGAATGACCTTATCGTCCTGTTCATTTAACACATGTTTCTTTAAGGCAATGATGGAGCCAGAGTTATTATGCTAAGGAGACTAAAAAGCTTTATTAAAGTAAAAAATTATATATTTTTTATTATTTTGAATAGAATTAATAATAAAAATAATATATTGTTATGTATTCAGTTAATGTGAAAATGTCAACTTGGTAAGAATGTTCGAATCCGGTTACACAATCAATACATATAACCAAACAATGTAATGGACGCATATGGCTAGGGATCTGCCTATTTGCAAATATCCGAACCGAATCGAACTGAACAAATACCCGAAATCGTGAATCGTATTCGAACCGAAAATTTCAGTTAACCAAAAATATTTGCAATATTTGCAAATAATTCGAACCGAACCAAAATTAAAAAATAATATATTAAAAAATAATTAAAATTCTAATTAAATCAAAATATTTGCAAATATTTGAACCGAAACCGAACCGTAACCGAACTGAAACCGAATCGAATATAATTATTAATATAAATTTTTTAAAATATAATAACATAAATATATAAATATATTCGGTTCGGTTAACTGAACAAAAAAAATATCAAAAATTGAAATCGAAATCAAACCGAACCAAACAAATATCAAATATGCAATATTTGTATTCGAACCGAATTTACTGAGTTAACCGAAAATTCGGTTCGATTAGGTTCGGTTCAACAGTTCGACGGTTCGATTAGATTATTTTGCCCATCCCTATGTATGGTTGGAATGACGGCTCAAGGGGACTTATGTGGCTCCTCCATTGCCTTAAAAGAGAACTTGAGTTATACATCTATAGCTAAACTCAACACACATTGGATTCAACATGCTCTTTTGGCATATTGCAATGAGAAATATTGAATTAATGAAAGTATTGTTGTACTTGTCTAACTTTTTATAAAAATATATATATATATATATATATTAATGCTCTTTTTTACTGATAAATTTTCAGATTAAACTTGGAGATTTTATTTCTTGAAATAAAATTAGAGAAATTCTTACAAATGCTTTTGAACAGAATGACAAAGTAGTAATGTTTGGCTTGGAGTGAAAAACAATAGAATTGTTCTAATAAAGTTATAAAGTGAGTAGAGTGGAGCGGTAAAATGAAGGGAGGCGAATGGTTTTGGATAATGAGTGAAGTAAGAGCGTAAATGAGCAGAGCAGGCGAATGGTTTTGGATAATGAGTGAAGTAAGAGCGTAAATGAGCAGAGCAGAGCAGAGGAGAGCGGTGGTTGAGAGTGAAAATGAAAGGTGAGTGATAATAATTCTAATGGTAGGATGAAGTGATGCATTCCGTGTATTTCTAAATGATTAGAGTTTCTTGAATGAAGTGAGCGGAATAATGATGTTGAAATAGTATAATATTGCACTAAATTTTGTTTATGTGTGGTAAATTTTCGAAGATAACGACAGAAAAAAGAAGAAAAAAAAAGAGCAAATGTTATATTTGGTTGGGTGGGTGATGATGAGAGGAACAATCACTCAACAATGTCTATATGGTAGGAGAAATTTAAAAATTTAAGGATAGCTGATGTTTTTCAATTTCATGTCTTGAAAGAGGAAATGACATAATTTTGTATGACCATGTTGATAGCTTGTGCTGACTTATTAAATTTCATAAGTTAATGTTGCAACAATGTATAATTGAAACAGCATAATGGTTGAGTTGCAGACACTGATTTTAGAATCCTACCACGATATATATGAATTAATGTTTCAATTAAAAATAATAATAATAATAATAATAATAATAATAATAATAATAAATCGGGTAAGCCTACAGATAGATAGTACAAAGGTGTCTATCAAAAAGAATAATGCAATGCACTGCACTGACTGGATCGGAGGTGAATAAGTCTATTGAATAAATTAGTTCGCCCGTCAGACTTGTATATTGCTCCGGCAGAGGCATCGTCAAAGCATCTTTAGCATTTACAGCGCAACACAACTAACATTCAACATCGCCTAAATTTTAATATTTAGATTTTGTATTTAATCAACTATTATTTTAATACACTCTAAATTACTATTATTATTATTATTCAGCAAAAGTGCAGTGCATACCGAACGGAATAAAGAAATCATACTCTGACCGCTGACCGAGGACTTTATTTATTAATTATGAGATCTTCGATTGTGTTGACTTTGACTTTATCTTCACGAATCAAATCACGTCACTACGTGTATTACTATAAAAACTCTGGTAACGTAATTGAGTTCTAACCCTAACATCGATCGATTCCTCTGATCGATCCCACAACTAATAATTAGTAATATAATGGCAACGGCGACGACAACCATCTCCATCTTCCCCATCCTCCTCATCTGCTGCATCGCCGTCCATCATTCCGGCGCCCAGGCCCAGCAGCCGCCCGCAGTCCTCGACATCGACGGAAAACCCGTCCGCACCGGCAGCAAGTACTACATACTGCCGTTGATACGGGGGCGCGGCGGGGGGCTGACCCTCTCCGCCTCCGGCAACGAAACGCAATGCCCCCTCAGCGTCGCCCAGGCACGAAACGAGGTCGACAGAGGCCTCCCCGTGACCTTCAGCTCGGTGGACGGCGCCGCCGTGGTCCGCGAGTCCACCGACCAGAACGTCCAATTTTCGGGTGCGGGTGCGGTCTGCGGGAGCGCCGTGTGGAAGCTGGGCAGCTACGACGAGTCGGTCAAGAAGTACTTTGTGGAGGGCGGCGGGGTGCGGGGGAACCCTGGCCCGCAGACCATCAGCAACTGGTTCAACATTCAGAAGTTTGGCAGTGGCAGCCGCGACTACAAGCTGGTGTTCTGCCCCACCGTCTGCAATTTCTGCAAAGTCATATGCCGGGACCTCGGGATCTTCATTCACCCCCAAGACGGGAGGAGGCGCTTGGCCCTCAGCCTCTCTGACGATCAGATTCAGTCCTTGCCCGTTTTCTTTAAGAAGGCCTGACCGCGACGACGACAAATTAGTTAAAAAATACCACCCGTTTGATTTATTATACTAATAATTAATAATAATAAAATAAATAAATGATGATTATGATGACAGTAGTGTATCTGTATGCATATGGAATTGTAAACTTGGATTAATAATTTATAACATATATATATAATATATGTGGATGCCGGCGGGTCTTCTTCTTTGCACTTTGACCAAATGGCTTACCATTAATTATTATGTACACTTATTGTTTTTTTGTTGATGGTGAGATGGGATTTGAGAGAGAGATTCAATTTTGACTTATTTCACTGATAGTAGTAGCAGTAGTATTAAATTGTGTAAATGCGATGTGCAGTCAAACAGTAGCAAATTTGTAGGATTGATGACAGTGCACACAAATATATATATATATATATATAGTAGTATTAAATAGTGAGGGTGAGGGTGAGGGTGAGGGTGAGGGTGAGGGTGAATTGATTGAGTATCAATCACGTCACGTGCTGCTGCACCGCCCACCACCTACACAGCACCGCCCGCCATTACTCCTCTAAGTCCTATCTATCTATCTATCTATCAACCATTCAATTAAATACACTAGTGACAAATGTCTCATCATTCATCAAGGCATGCAAGCAACAAATTAAAGCCCATCATCAACCAACCAACCACAACAATAATAATAATACTCCTCTGCTCCTGATTATAAGTATATTCCTAAACGAGACAATCATCATATCATGATGCTGCTGCAGCTTATGCTTAAAAATTAGCATAGGTAGTTGGTGCTAGCTGGCAGCCTGCATCAAAGTCATTGAAGATCTGTCCTGTCCTGTCCTGTACTAAACATGCACATTACACATGTAGATGGATAATAGATAGGGTTAGGCGAGTGGGCACTAACCTAAATACCAGTCCACTTTGGATTAGATATACATATGCGTACAATAGATTGCATTGCATATCTATATATCATCAATCATACCATATGGTAGGTATCCTCCTCCTCCTCCACTCCACTCCACTCCTCATTTGCTTTTCAAGATTGACTTTTTATTATTTATTAGCCCCCGAATAAATACTACTGCTACGCTCCATTCTCAACATTTTCTTCTCCGCTCTCTCCCTCTTGCTTAAATTGTTTAGACGACATCGTTTCGTGCTGCTGCTGCTTTCCTTCGCACGTCCGTACGCGATGAATATGAAGCACCTGAAAGCAATCCTCCTCCTCCTCCTCCTCCTCTCCGCACTCTTGTCCTCTCCTCCTGCCGCTTTTGCAGTGCCCTCCTCAAGTAATTACCTAATTAATCAATTAATTCCAGATTTATCTGTATGTATGTATGTATATATTTGTGGATTGATTCTAATTGCTTCTGCTGGCTCCGTGTATCTATCTATCTATCTATCTTATGATCTGCAGGAAGCCTCAAGTCAATCACCGGTGAGACTACTTCTTCCACCCACCATCTACACACTGCCTCCCACTTTCAGGTCTGTCTGTCTGTATTCATACAACTGATTCATTCATCGTGACTCCACTCCCTCCATGAATTTCCATCATTCAGCCACAAACAAACAAGAAAGAAAAAGAGTAGATTTGATTTACCCGGCCGGGGAGTGGGAAGTTGGTTGGTTCTTGAAATCAATGAAATAGTTTTGTCGGCCCCTTTTCAAATTTGTACATGAGTTTAATTGGGGAAAATTATTTATGTTTGGATGTGCGTGCGTGCAGGAGGAGGAGGAAGAGTTTGAGAACGTGGAGGCAGCCGATTACACAGGGGCAGGTGCCAATAATCACCACGATCCGAAAACCCCGCCTTCACTTCGCTGATCGAATCATCAATTATCTTTATATTTTCCCCTCCTCAAAGAATTCTTTGTACAGTGATCCATGAAAATAAGGAATACTGAGAATTTTCTTGACCATGACCATCGCCATGTATCTATTAGCTTCTTTCTTATTACATACAAGCTGTAGTTATTTCTCTTCCTTGACTCTCGTCTTAGTAGTCTGTCTGTAAGAGATTTCCAATAGTTGAACCACTTACTTGCATACCATTGCTATGGTTGCTTCTTTAATTTTCCTTCTGATTTGTAGTATATATAGTATTATCCAGTCAAAGTTAAATAATGGTTTAGCAGATCATATACATCATGCAAAACTTGTATCTTCAATGGAAGATGAGATGCAATCAATGTTAGAAATATTGTGGGAAGGGAGGGAGGGACACAAACAAACAAACAAACGAACATGGAAACATTGCTCATAAATTAATCTTGGATATGCAAATCTAACCGATCTTTGATCGTCGGTCAAAAAACCTATGCCCTCTGTTTCATCAAACTGTATCTCAACTGATCATATTTTACAATTACAATTAATTAAGAAGCAAAGCTAGAAAATAGAACATCCCAAGCCTGTATACATGTATGTACAAATTAATCAAGCACTGGATGGAGTTGAAATGGCCATTTCAAGACTCGTTAGAGCCTTCTCGAATCTTACAAATCCCATAAACCAAAACTCATAATCATCATCAGTCACTATCCGAATGAACTTCTGGGAGGGTTTGTCTGCATTTTCACTCTCCTTCCCCACTCTTATTTTCTTAACTGGAATGCAAACCTGTGCCACCAAAAACAAACGGGAAAATCATATATATATATATATATAGAGAGAGAGAGAGAGATAATCAATTAGAACTAAACTGCTAATCGCTAGTTGTTGTTCTTTCCCTGCCTTGTAAGGAGCTGTGACGACGCCATGGGAAGAGGAGTGGAGAGGGATGGATCTCTCACTGCAGAATGCAACCTTGTGTGTGGAGATGAACAGAGTCCCTGCAATCGGACCTGCTGTCGTCGACAGATAGCACTGAGATGCCTTCAGCAGCTTCTCGCCATCGCTCATCCCAAACATGTCCCGGAACATGTTCCCCCTCCCGCCTTTCTTGATGATTTTCGCACCGACGCTCAGCTTCCCCTTCACCGTCTCCGCGAAGTTAGGCCCCATTCTCACTGCGGACACAGCCCAATCAACCCATCCTAATCTAATCCATACTGTCCTCAATCCGATGCATTAGCTATCATTTTTAAATGTATGTAATGCGTACCGTGCTCTCGAATTCGATGTGCAAAACTGGTTCTCCTCCTGCTCAGGGGTTTCCTTGCTGCCAGTGCCGCGCCATTTTCTGCGTACAGTTTTCAAGAAATTAGCAAACTTGAATCTCAAGCAGAAAGAGAAGAGTGGGGGAAATGAAGTTGGGATACCAGGGGCAGGGGCAGGGAAATCTCCAGGCGAGTGATGATGATCTGAGAAAGGGCTGACGGGGGCAGACAAGGAGGAGGCTTTGCCCTGAGTTGCTTCGAATGGGCTCGTCGGAAAATGAACGTCTTCATACTGATTATTCTTCATTTTCTCCATGAATTCAGAAACGTTAGATTCTGGAGTTTGTTGAGCTTGTGGAAATAAACCCTTTAGCTAGCTAGCTAGCTGTCAATGGGTAGGGTGGGTGGGGTGGGGGCTCACGAACAAGAAGCAGCAGCAGCAGCAGCTAGGAAGAGAAGAAATTAAGGATGACAGGAAAATCTTGGGCAATATGTTAAATTTGATTTGACCCATAACAACATCTATGACATGCCATGATGCCATAGTCAGCGACTCGGAGGACAACCACGCAGTCCGAAAGATCAATGCAGCCCAAGAAGCTTCCTTTGTTCACTTTGACCACGCTATTTCTGGGAAAATTCCTCAAAAGCACAAGTCAACCCTGGTTGGCGTGTATGGAACTGGGGTGGGCGGGCCCAGTACTGTCTGAGATCTCAGGGAGCCAGCCGGAGTCTCTCCGGCTGGGCGATGCGATAGCAGTTCAGTTTTTTTTTTTTTTTTTGCATCAGATACCATCCAAACATGTCATATCCTTGTTGGGTTTGCGCTGTGAATGTATGTAATGGCGTCTAATGTTCCACTTTCTGGTTGGGATTGGCATCTGGGTGCTTCTTAATTAAGAACCAATCTTGTTGTTGTGCTTTACTGTTCTACTTCGCTAGTGTTCTTTGTTTATCTTTGATTCGCGAGTTGCAATGTATTGCCTATTCCCGTCTGCATCGCTTTGTGGAATTGCTTCCATGAGTTTTGAACAGGGACACGGCTTGCAGACTTCGTCGAAGCTCGTTTTAGGAGCTCAGGAGGCTGATTCTTTTCGTAATTTCAAATCCCCTTCAGAGCTGCAACAAGCGCACGCCCTTCTCATCAAGACTCGCACTTCTCTCCGTGTCCTCCCGCTGCTCCGTGTTGCTTCGGTTTGTGCTCTCACTCCAAGCTTCTCCTATGCGCAACAAATCTTCCATCATGTTGAGCAGCGAGAAATTTCCATGTGGAATCATTGCTTAAGAAATTTTGTGGAGAGTGATTCACCGTGGGATGCCATTTTGCTGTTCCACCAAATGCGGAGGCACAATGTATTCCCCGATTGTTTTACTTGTTCGTTTGTTCTCAATGCATGCGTGAAATTGCTGGATGTTTTCCATGGGAGAATCGTTCACGCATTTGTAGTAAAGCTCGGACTTCAGTTCAACTTGGTTCTGCAGAATGCGATTGTTCATTTATACGCATGCTGTGGGCAGATGAATGATGCAGCTCTCCTGTTTGATAAAATGCCGCAGAGAGATGTTGTTACTTGGAATACGATGATCACACAGCTGATGAAGAAAGGCGACACTGAATCCGCATACAAGATGTTTGTTGAAATGCCTGAAAGGAATTTGAGGTCTTGGACTGCTATGATATCTGGTTTTGCACAGTGTGGGAAGCCCAAGCAGGCTGTTGATCTCTTCATGAAGATGGAAGAAGTCGGGTTGAAGCCTAATGAGGTGACTCTGGTAGCTGTTTTAGCAGCCTGCGCCGATCTCGGTGCACTTGATCTCGGGATTAGAATACACAGCTATTCTGATAATAGAGGATTCGAAGGAAATATCCAAATCTGTAACACCCTGATCGATATGTATATCAAATGCGGATCTCTGAAAGCTGCATATGATATTTTCAGGGGCATGAAGAAACGAACAGTCATCTCATGGTCAGCCATGATTCAAGGACTAGCAATTCATGGAAAAGGTAACGAGGCCTTGGAACTCTTTCCTGAAATGATTCGTTCAGGAATGACCCCTAATGAAGTTACATTCGTTGGCATCTTAACTGCTTGTAGTCATATGGGATTGATAAGCGAGGGAAGAGCATTTTTTGCTAGCATGACTAGGGATTACGGTATTATTCCCTGTATAGAACACTATGGTTGCATGGTTGATTTGTTAAGCCGTTCTGGGCTGCTGCAGGAAGCCTATGAGTTTATCAAACAGATGCCCATAAAGCCGAATGCAGCTGTATGGGGTGCCATTCTTGGTGGATGCAAGGTCCACAAGAATGTTGAAATGGCGGAAGTGGCAATGTCACACTTGCAAGAATTGGATCCAAAAAACGATGGTTATTACATTGTTCTGGCAAACATATACTCAGAAGCTAAGCGATGGGATGATGCTGCGAAGATGAGGAAGTTTATGAGAAATTCGGGGTTGATGAAAACGCTTGGGTGTAGTTCAATTACTGTGAAAGGGACAGTGCATGAGTTTGTGGCAGGGGATGAGAGCCATCCGCAATCGGTGGAGATTTATAAGATGTGGAATCAATTACAAGTGCATATGAGGCTGAAAGGATATCAGCCAAACACGTCAGTTGTTTTGCTTGACATGGAGGAAAAAGAAAAGGAGAAGCTTTTGTCTCGCCATAGTGAGAAACTAGCGCTGGCTTTTAGCCTTATTAATACTCAGCATGGCGAAACTATCAGGATCTTCAAGAATCTTCGTATCTGTGAAGATTGCCATGCTGCTTTCAAGTTGATATCAGAGATTATGAGAAGGAAAATCGTTGTACGTGATAGGAACAGGTTCCATTGTTTCGAAGATGGCTCTTGTTCTTGTATGGATTATTGGTAGCCATTCTTTCTACGTTGCAACTAGATCTACTACTACTAAAGACATGACAGAATACTTGCCTTCAAGACTTTTAAAGCAGGCTCCTTGTGAACTTTGGTACAACTTGCTGACTCTCTTGCTTAAACTCTCCCTTTTGGAGTTAATAGAAAAGTATGGGCCACTCATGTTATTCCCTTGGTATTTAATGCACAAGGAATTTTTGTACATACTCTGGTAGGAGGCAGAACATACAACCATGATGAGTGCGTAGCTAGATAAATGTGAACAGATTATGATATATTTGTAATTAGTTTTAGTAAGTTGTGGAAATATTTCTCTACTGAAGAGAGAAAAGAAAGCCCTTGATGGATTTTCTTCATCGCCAGCATTAAAGAATACAGTTTTTGAGGTTGACATACAAGACACTACCAAGTTTTTCAACAAAACTCTTAAGTTATGGCAATTGGTTTTCCAATTTTAACCAGTCCAAATCGATGTAAATTCTGTCTGCCTTTCATTTTGATTGTGACTTAAACTAACGTAGACTGGCACGAAAATTTCTAGTTGAACATGCACTTTTATTGGCTGTATAGTGAAAATCTATGTCTTGTTCTGCTGATATTCCTATAAACCATAGTTGGCATTTCATTAAACAGTATCTCAGGAATAGGTTGATGGATATACTTTCATATAAACTGGTCCCTACTTTTACTTTTCTTTATTTTGACAACTGGCCAGAAGTCAGTCAAGTAGCTAATAATTTAAAATAATATTTTTAGATGGAAAAATATATCTTTACAATATATCGAATCATACGAAGAAGTGTTGAAAACACAGCTGAAAAGAAGTATGTGTTAGGTTACTTACATGTTATCCATCATCCTAACATGGTTGAAAGTTGAGGTATTTTACGTCGGTTGCAATTCAAGGATAAGTTGCTCGTCTTTTACTTAAAAGGGGTTTTTGGGAGTGCTTCATTCCAATAGTTGATATGATAAGGTAGCTCAAGCTGAGATAATCCATACCTGATAATGTAAGAAAATCCAGTGTGAAGACTAGATGATGCACGTTAAGTATAGAAAAGTCAACTCTTTTGAATTTGTCACGTAGTAGATAGTGGATGATTATTAATATTATGATATATGAATGCAACCCCGCACTTGTCGGTATATCTAATCAATGTGTCCCATCACATCCCATCTAATAGTGACAGCATTTTTGATATAAAGTTTTCTATTCCAGTTGGCTGGCTTTGCGTCTTTGCTGCTTTCATTCTTGTCATTACTTTAAATCATGCTTACTCCGTGTGTGGAACAGCTGACTGATGATTTGAATGCATGTGCAAGTTGCTCTATCTTTCCACACTCTTGACTCAGAAATGTGGTGCACATAATTTCATTTAGATTAATCAGTGGAGGGATATGACATCTCGGCCGGGTTTTCTTTATATACATACATACATGAAAATGCAGGTTGGGATTGGGATTGTCTGAGTTGCATTAGAACTCTTCATTTTTGGGAGATGGAGAATGAGAGGGTCAAACATGTGGAGGGAGGAAATGGATTGGGATTGGATGATGAAAGGGAAGAAATGATGATGAAGAAAGAAGAAGGGCTGTCTATAGAGAGGATGTTTGAGAACCAGACAGTGCCGTCGTGGAGGAAACAGCTGACATTCAGAGCCTTCGCCGTCAGCTTCGTGCTGTCGGTGGCCTTCTGTTTCATTGTCATGAAGCTCAATCTCACCACCGGCATCATACCATCACTCAATGTCTCGGCTGGCCTGCTTGGATTCCTTTTTGTCAAGATTTGGACTGAGGGGCTCGCCAAATCCGGCATGCTCAGGCAGCCCTTCACCCGTCAAGAAAACACTGTCATCCAGACCTGCGTCGTCGCCTCCTCCGGCATTGCCTTCAGCGGTAACAAACAATCATGACATCTATCCTTATCCCACCTTGTGCACTGCACTACAAATTAATTGCAATATGGTCTGAAAGCAGTCTTCCATTGCAGGAGGTTTTGGGAGTTATCTGTTTGGGATGAGCCAACGGATAGTTGAACAATCAGAACACAAAAAAGATGGCTTGGACTACATGAACCCGAGGCTGGGTTGGATGATTGGCTTTCTCTTTGTTGTTAGCTTCCTCGGCCTATTCTCTGTGGTTCCTCTCCGGAAGGTAACTAACTAGCAAACTCCATCTCTGCAGTTTCGAAGACTGTTAAATAGAATCCATCCATCACTTGATATATGCAATTAATTTCAATGTTAATTTTTATAGATCATGATCATAGACTTCAAGTTAACTTATCCCAGTGGAACAGCAACCGCTCATCTTATCAACAGCTTCCATACTCCGGAGGGGGCCAAACTAGCCAAGTAAGTAATCAATTATTCACATAATCAGCCTCCACTGTCGGATGTCGAAATTTCATGTCAGGTGTTTGTTTCTTGTAAATACAATCTCATCTCAGGAAGCAGGTCAGATCACTGGGCAAGTTTTTCTCCTTCAGCTTCTTATGGGGCTTCTTTCAATGGTTCTTCACTGCTGGCGAAGACTGTGGTTTCGCAAGCTTCCCGACTTTTGGATTGAAAGCATATAAATACAAGTAAGCATAGGCACAAGAATTCTCCATAATCCGTAGCACATATGCTTGCAACTGATCAAACAACTTGTATTGCAGGTTTTTCTTTGATTTCTCAGCAACATATGTTGGAGTGGGAATGATTTGCCCTCATATCATAAATATATCTCTACTGGTGGGAGGAATACTTTCTTGGGCTATTATGTGGCCACTCATTGAAACCAAAAAAGGAGATTGGTATCCTTCTGATTTACCTTCCAGCAACTTACATGGTCTTCAAGGTTACAAGGTGCTATGCTTATGCTTATGCTTATGATGTTTCCCCATTTATGGTCACAGACAATACTATCATGTTTGTTGTTGCCTGTTTCTAAAACATCCAATATTGGTTCCAGGTATTTATCGCCATCGCTTTGATACTTGGTGATGGCTTGTACAACTTCTTCAAGGTGCTGAGCCAGACGATAGCTGGTTTGTTTACCAAGCTTCAAGAAAGAAACAGAAATCAACAAATCCCAGTTACAGAGAATTCTTCTTCCCCTTCCAGCAAGTCTCAGAGTTATGATGACCAGCGCCGCACACAGCTCTTTCTCAAGGATCAAATACCGGCGTGGTTTGCGATTTCAGGATATGTCGCCATTGCTGCAGTCTCTACTGCAGTACTTCCCCACCTCTTCCACCAACTAAAATGGTACTACATAATCGTCATCTACATTTTCGCGCCAGCATTAGCCTTCTGCAATGCCTTTGGGTGTGGGCTCACAGATTGGTCGCTAGCATCAACATATGGAAAGCTTGCCATCTTCACAATAGGAGCGTGGGCCGGCGCCTCTAATGGAGGAATTCTTGGAGGGTTAGCAGCATGCGGTGTGATGATGAACATCGTTTCCACGGCCTCTGACCTCATGCAGGACTTCAAGACAGGCTACTTAACCTTGGCCTCTCCCCGCTCCATGTTTGTGAGCCAAGTGATAGGCACGGCAATGGGATGTGTGATTTCCCCGTGCGTGTTCTGGATATTCTACAATGCCTTTCCAGACCTCGGTCTACCCTCGAGCGAATATCCAGCTCCTTATGCCACCGTGTACTACAACATAGCTAAGTTGGGGGTCGAAGGCTTTTCTGCGCTGCCAAATAACTGCCTCAACTTATGCTACGGCTTCTTTGCAGCAGCCATTTTCATCAACCTGATCAGGGATGGCGTGGGAAAGAAAAGGGCCAGGTTTATCCCACTCCCAATGGCGATGGCAATTCCTTTTTATCTGGGATCCTACTTTGCCATTGACATGTGTTTTGGAAGTCTCATTCTGTTCATATGGCAGAAGATAAACAGGGCCAAGGCCGACGCCTTTGGACCAGCCGTAGCCTCGGGTTTGATATGTGGAGATGGGATATGGACGCTGCCGAGTTCTGTACTGGCCCTGGCAGGGGTGAAGCCACCCATCTGCATGAAGTTCATCTCCAGAGGAACTAACAACAGGATCGATCAATTTTTAGGATCCTAAAGTGTTGAAACAGATCAATGTAATTGTGCCTTTACAGCCAATACCATGTTTTTGTTTTGTTCTTCTGTAGGGGTTGTGTAAAGTAAACAAGTTATATTATGCACACAGATGCTAGTTGAATATAATCAAGAAAAGTGTGTTTGTATTGCAGGAAATGGAACATTAAATCGACCAAAGAGAATTTGTCACACTCCATTGCAGGCAGTTTAAGTAGTTCAATGGACATGTAGTAATCTAAGAAACAGATGATTCCACATAAGTTTTTTATCGTATCATTCGTACATACAGATAACAGTCAGTCGACAACACCGGGAAATTGAGCACTGGAGGGCATCAACTCAACTCAACTCAACTCAATTCTTGATGACACGAGAGACCCGCTCAAAGAAGATGCTACACATGCTCGAGCTGAACATCAGCGGCTCCTTCATCCACTCTGGTGCGACTCTTTCAAATGTCCCCATTGACACCACCCGATATAGCAATTCTACTTCCCCTTGCGTGTTAGTTACCCATGTCAGGCTGAACGAGTAACCTGCAAAGAAATAGGCAAAAGATTCAACACTTGTTTGCTACAGATAAGAGAAATCATTCTTGTTAACAGCCAAGGATTACCGACTTATATGCATGTATCCAATGTCTACAAAAAACAGTCACTAAATCATCTTTCTGCAGAATTATGGTGCGTTGAATAAGCAAACAGCGAGGTTTCTTGTATCCAATAGTCATCACCAATCCATCAACTCCATATTAGATATCGGAGGCACAACATGAAATAAGGCCAGAAGGGGATATATCTACATGGGAGCATAGAACTTCGAGCAAAACATGAATAATGAATGAACTTAAGTTGTAATTATCAGCAACAATTACCACTTGATTGATGATGCACCAATACACAGAGTTCATTGTTTTGTGCACGGACAGATACTTTCATCCCGACTACAAACTCAACAAGAAGTTGAAACACACAGTTGACAGAACAACCGCCTGATGTATCACCACCTACAATGAAACCATCAAATCAAACCCATGGAGTGAAGTGAAGCACATTAAGGCATGAACATCGAAACTTCTTTTGAGGCATACCTGAGCTAGAAATCCTTTTTTGACAGCAGACTGGCTGAACCATAACACCAAATGTCAGACAAGTGAAAATCAAACCACAATACTTCACTCAAATGCCCATGATTAAAATACCTGCTGGATACTTGGAGCACCAGCATCTAGGTCCACACAAGCACGCTTAGGAGTAGCATTCCCTTCAGTAGTATGAATATATTTCCGTTTTTTTGACATTTCTCCGACTGGAGCATCTTCATGTGAATGTTCCTGCTGTCGATCAATTTCCTCACCAGTAACATGGAGTGATAATGTATGATTCCCAAGATTTTGCAGCCTTGCAATTTCTTCTGAGAGCTCTTTATCTACATTATTGTGAGGCATCAAGATAATCCAAATTAAACTATAGCCAGTTAGCCACACAAGTTCTGGTGAAAGAATGCTACAGACATGCAATGATTTCCTATGAAGGCATTTGGTAAAACAATTTTGGAATGGGATAACAATAAAGATCATAATGCTCTTATTAGAATTACAGATACCAGAATTTGAGGTTTTGAAGACATCTAATTTAAACATCCCCCAAGGTTCTAGAAAGTCACAACCTGAAAATTATTCCAAATACATTTTCTATTGAAGAGGCTACAAATTGAAATCCAATACCAAGGTGTAAACCTCACACTTATGGTGATAATCATTCTAAAGTAACAGATTAATATTATCCAGAAAGAATCATTTAACATTGACAATTTGACAAGTCCTCTTTCTTTGGCTCAAGCTGATCAGCTAATAAATGCAAGGTCAACACTGATACGACTGGCCATTAGAAGATATCCTAAGTCCTAATATTTATCATAAGAGATTTTGTTTCCTTACTTTTCTGGTTCTCTTCCATCAAACGCTTTTGGAGCTGACTATGCTGTTCATCATTTGAAGTTCTGCAGCCAAACAAGTTGCGTCACTTACAATTTACAAGTAAAATACACACGGATCATAACAGATTATGCTAATCGTAAAGATTCATGCCTGATAGCAGCTAATTCGCTTTTCAAATCATCAACTTGACCATTTAGTCTCTCATTCTCACTTTTTAAGTATTGTATCATAGCATCCGCAGCTGTATTGAGAGATACAACAATAAGCAGCATTCATTATATGCAAAAACAAATGTCAATCAAAGTAACATCGCAAAAACACACGTTCATGTACTTCCCCTAAAGGATAACTAACTGAGCACATCGATTCATGTATTTCTGTGTATATCTTGATTTACAAAAGCAATACTGTTTGTGCCATACATGCATCCTCTTAAGGCAGTTATAGAGAAAATACCGGTTACAAAATTCAAGAATTTGGCTTCTTGATCCCGATTCAATTCATCAAGCTGAGTCTCTTTCTCTTTCTGTAAAACAACAGAAAAGACAGTAAAACTGTGTCCCAGAACTTTGCACACATACTAACATTTTAACAAGAACCTTGAGCTTGGTGTACTTGTTATACAGCTTCTTGTAAAGTGCTTCCATCTATACCAACATCCAGCAAAGACATAGAAAGTTAGTAACCCAACTGCATAAAACCGTACCAAGATCCAAGCAGGATTATGCAAACAAAGCACGGTAGAAGCACTGAATTGACATGATTCATACTCACAAAGGCACAAAAAACTTATCTATTTACTTCACAAGCTTGTACAAGAAAAACAAATCGCAGATGCTCAGTTTGAGGGTTCTCACTCCCATTAATCGAAAACTATTAATCATTTTGTTTTTTCAAAAAAAAAAAAAAACTGGAACAACTACAGAAAGAACAAGACTTGAATCAGGCAATTTCCTGCGCATCGGTGAATCGGGCGTCTCGCCCAAACGCATACGCATACGAGAAAAGTGGGCAGAGAAAAAAGTGCAAGAACTAACCTGAAAGAGCAGAGAAAGATTGAACCTTGAAATCTTGTGTGGCGAGAGGGTTTTAGCGGGCGTGGTTTCGGAATCGAAAATTTGAATTCTTTGCCAACAGCAAAATTTTATCTCTCTCTCTCTCTTTTTTTCTCTCTCTCTCTCTCTCTATATATATTTATAAATATATTCGGCGGTCAAAATTCTAATTTATTCTAATTTGCAAGTACTACTCCATATTTGAAATCGAACCATTGTGTAATAAGTAATCAATCAACAGTGGACGACGGATCAGGATTGTCCTAAGTTTAAGGAAAACCAAAGCTGAAACACACCCTGGCCGTTTGCCCCATCGCCATCGCCATCGCCATTCTTGGAAACTGTATTTCATGGATAGAGACGGGGAATAAGCCCTCCTTCTTTCTCTTTCTCTGCGCGCGTTCCTTTGATTATTGCTTTCATCTGTGGGTACTGGAAGAAGAAAGAGAGAGTAAGAGCGAGAGAGAGCTATGAACGAGAAGGCCTCCGTTTCCAAGGAGCTCAATGAGAAGCATGCAAAGGTGTGCTGCCTGCCTCCTATTGCCATCAACAATCCGTTCTTTGTTCCTTCTCCATTTTTGTCTTTAGATGCGATTATCGTCCAGACGAGGATTGCATTATTAATATTCATCGAATCGAATCGAATGACAAAACGAATATATTATACATGCTTCAGTTTCTTACAAAGACGTCTCTTTTCCCTTTTCTGGAGAAGGAATTAAGAAACCCGATTGTTGGCCATGGAGATTGAGTCTGGGAATAAATAATACATCAATCCAATGAAAGGGATCAACATATTTATCTTGCATCACGAGGGGATTTATTTAATTTTGCCATAGATAGGTTCAACAAATTCGAATCTGAATGAATTATTTTTCTTACCAGTACTGTCTGAAAATTAAATTTTTGATAGATATTGGAGGGCCTTCTTAAGCTTCCTGAGAACAAAGAATGTGCAGATTGCCGCAGCAAGTATGTTACTTTTCCGGCCATGTTTTTGATTGATTATCTATCAATTATCAATTATGATCGATGATTTCTAATCTAATCTATTATATATATTTCAGGGCCCCGCGATGGGCGAGTGTAAACCTGGGCATATTCATATGCCTGCGCTGTTCTGGCATCCATCGGAGCCTCGGAGTACACATCTCAAAGGTCTGCAACTCATCATCTCCATTGAAGCTGCTGCACCAGTTCATGATGGATACTAGCTACTTTCTTTTATCTATTTCCTTCAATACAACGCTACTACAATCTTATTATCATCATATTACAGGTAAGGTCCACAACTTTGGATACATGGCTGCCCGAGCAGATCACCTTCATGAAGAGTAAGTCCTCTACATTAATTCATTCATATCGATGCAATATCTTTTATGACATTACATATTCTGATCTATTCATGTACTTACTTACAGCAATTGGAAACAACAAGTCCAATGAGTATTGGGAAGCCCAACTCCCACCTGCATACGACAGAAATTCAATCGAAACATTTATTCGAGACAAGTAACTCTTTTTTCATTCTTTCAAATAAAAGTTCAGACACTAGTATAATTTCTTAGTAAACTACGTATGTCTGATCCCGGCAGGTATGTGTCGCGAAAATGGGCTTCTAAAACAGCAATCGAGCCAGCAGCTTCAGTCGGCGAATGTAAAGCCGCGACGACAGTCACCTCCACAAGAGATATTCCAAGGAAAGCTCGAAAGTATTCTTTGGATGAAGGCTTTTTCACTAATGAAATCACCAAAACTGCTCCTCCTCCGACCAAAAACCGCGGGGTATTTACATACATACATACATATCTATACATGGATCAATTAACAAAATTAACAACCAAAACACACATCTATTATTACCAAGGTCTTTAATTACTCGTAAATATTGCAGGCTTCTTTCGACTTGAAGAACGACTTCATTCCACCTCCGCCGAGCAGCACTGCAGGTGAAGGCACAGCCAGTAAAACTTCTGATGCTGGCACAGATCTTTTCAGTTTGCTCTACGTGCCCGAAGAAAAACCGGACCGTGCTGTTGTCCCCCCGTCGCGCTGGGCTACCTTTGACGACTGACTGTAATAAGTCATCATAATCAGCTCATGCCATTGTTGCAGCTGGTTTGATGGATAGGATACTGAAATTTAATTGATTAACGTCGTCCTCAACCTAACCATTGTAATTAACTCACTACATTTCCTGGCAACTTTTGCTTATTTTTGTTGTGCTGTACATTATTAGTTACTTCCAATCGATTGTTTGTATCATATCATATTAATCTCACTGATCACTAACAGTATTATTTAGAATAACACTGCATCAAATTGAATTTATCATGCACCTTGTTCTATCCTTAATCTAAAGGTACCAATACCATCCTTCCCTAAGCTATATATAAATTAGGACATAATATCCAAACAACTTTGATGTAATCTATCTATAGCTTTTCCATGAGAATTTTTGACCAAATTGATATAGTAGGTGAGTTTGTAATTTTTGTTTATCGTTTAATCTAATCTGACACTTAGCTAAGTTTTTTCGGGAGGCCTCACTGCCTGGTCAGCGAGTCGGGGGTCAAGGAGGCGAAGACTTTGGAGTTGATATTGAGTTGAATTCAGCCGGATGTATTCTCCTAATTTATTTAAATAGATTTAGAGATACTAGATCCTAACATTTTCATTGTAAATAAATTTGTTCTCCGTTTCTAACAAGTGCAAGCAACCAACAACAACTAATCCGTCACAACACTTTTTTATCACAAAAAAAAAAAAACAAAATTGTAAAATTATCATTTTAAAGTAGTACATGAGTTCAATCAATTTTGCTATTTTTTAATATATGTATAGTTTTTCCGCCTAAACTAAAAGTATATTTTTTATCAAATCATTTGTTCTAATTAATTTATACATAAATTACAAAAAACACAAATATTAAAATATTTTATACACTTGTATTAATTAATAAAATATTACTATTGTTTAATTTATTACAAATACCCAAAAAATACTTTGGATCGAGACAAAAGAGTATATATTTCCATACTTTTCAATTTTTTAATAAAAATATATTACTCCCTCACAAAGTATTAATTTTTTTATTTCAGTCTGTTCGAAAGTATTCATTAACTGTACTATCTACCTAACATTACAAATACTCTTACAACTTACATTATATTACACAAATGTCATCTTTATATCACAAATACTAATAAGGTTATTTTAGTTATTTCTACTTTATTCATACTATATCCCAATATAATATTAATATTTTTAAAATTACGTGCAAAAAACAAATGAATATTTATTTGTGGGACGGAGAGAGTATATTTTTTTACATTATCAAACATTTATTTTATTTAAAACAATACCTACAACCACAACCACAATAACTTTAACCTTTTTATTTTAATTAATACAATATGAATATGTGTTATATAAATTGTTAGTATGTATTGTATGTTCTATTTTTATATAGATATTGTGTTAACGGATCTTGTATATTAAAATTAATTGTAGTATATGTTATATGAACTATTGTCATATATTTTTAGTTTACAGAGTATATTATAATTGCATTATGTGTATGTATATATGTTCCTTTTGTTCCTTTCTAAATGAGTCATTTGGAATTTTATAGTAGATTTATTGGTTAGTAGAAATATATAAGAGGTTTTGACATTTGTAATTTAGGTAAAAGTTAAAAGGTATTTTTGTATTGTTGGAATATGAAATTGAAATTTTTCATTTCAATACGTATATATTTATGGTGATATACAAATCGTATTCTACGAATTTCTTAAATACGACCACTACCATAAATATAATATATTACTTTTACTAAAAAAATATATTTTATCCCTAAAAGATGATCCGGTGATGTGGGGTGAGGTCATGAATTTAAATTCTGTCGCCTTCGGATCCACACATTGTTATTTTGAATTGAAAGGAAAAAGTATATTTTATAATGTTGGTGTATAGTTAATTAATATGATATTGATATATTGTAGGATATCATAATAATCGTGTCTCGTATATATATAAACACGCACGCTTGAACTAGTCTTAGCAGGCCGCCGTACTATAAACATGTATCATGTTGTATGTTGTGGTAGAAAGGAAGAAATAGTATTGGTTTGATTTTGATTAAATTATTACCAAGTCTTTGTCGTCCAACTTTGCACGCATGTCGTTTTCTTACCTATTCAAGTTTTCTCTTATTAATTAATTATTCCATATTTTACAAGTTGGGTTAGGTATATACTTATTAGATAATATTAACTTTTTCTGATATAAGCTAGTATGCTAGTCGAAAATATACAAAAAGAGCTTGATGAAAATAAATTTTCAATTACATGAAAAAACAAAAACAAATTTTGATGTAATAGTTACAATAGAAATGGAGTATATATTTAATTAATATGATTTATTATAGAAAAAACTCTATCCCGGCCTTACTTAAATATTAATTTCACTTTTCATATAGATTTAGTTGTCCCACTTAAAATCGTAATTGTATTGGATTAGTTTATTTAGTGTTTTAATTTGAATTTTTTTTATATAATATTTTGATAAACACACCTTACATTTTTATCACTATTTATTAAATTAAATATTATAACACTATGCATAAATTTAAGGGTGTTAAGTATAAAAATATTGAGCTTAATAAGGCCAACAACCCCCTCATTATATTCTCTTATTGTATGCATAACGTCCGTATCGGCTCTCAAAATTTATTACTCTACATAGGTACTGCCGATCATCGATCCATCCGACATGGGCGGCGGTCAGCGCCCCGACAATCTGCCATTAATTCTCAGGCTCAAGCTCTCCGTCGGCTCATTTCTCCTTCGCCTCCTCGTCCGCCCCGACGGCACCGTCCGCCGCCGTCTCCTCACCTTTATCGACACCAAAATCCCCCCCAACTCCACCGCCGTCGACAATGGCGTCAACGTTTCCGCCGCCGACATCTCCGTCGACCCCTCCCGCAACCTCTGGTTCCGCCTCTTCGCCGTCCCCGCCGCCAGGGCCACCGAACCCCTCCCCCTCATCATCTACTTCCACGGCGGCGGCTTCGCCATTATGAGCCCGGACTCCAGGGCCTGCGACGGGCTCTGCCGCACCCTGGCGGCGGAGCTCCCCGCCGTCGTTGCTTCCGTCAACTACCGCCTGACGCCGGACCACAAGTATCCCTGTCAGTACGACGACGGATTCGACGCCTTACAGTTCATCGCCGAGAGAGCGTCGGAAATCCTGCCGGCGAACACCGACACCTCCCGGTGCTTCCTGGCCGGCGACAGCGCCGGCGGAAACATCGCCCACCACGTGGCCCTGCGCGCGTCGGAAAACCCCGGGAAACTGGCGGTGGCCGGGATCGTGGCGGTGCAGCCGTTCTTCGGCGGAGAAGAGCGGACGGAGTCGGAGCTGAGGTTGAGCAAGGCGCTGCTGTTGACGGCGGAGGGCACGGACTTAATGTGGCGGATGTTCCTGCCGGCGGGAGCGGACAGGGACCATCCGGCGGCGAATGTGCTCGGCGGGAGGGAGGCGGCGGAGCAGATGGCGGCGCTGGGGCGGTTTCCGAGGAGCATGGTGGTGGTGGGAGGGTACGACCCGCTGCAGGACCGGCAGAGGAAGTACGCCGAGAGGCTGAAGGAGTGCGGGAAGGAGGTGGAGCTGGTGGAGTTTCCCGACGCCTTCCATGGCTTCTATTCCTTCCCGGAGCTCCCGGAGTTCCCTAGATTGGTTCAACATTTCAGGGATTTCTTGCACCACCAATAATTAATTAACTACGTTATGTTGTCATTATTGTTAAGGTATAAAATTAATCAAACAAAATATCTTGGACGAAATGTGTACTTGTTCACGATTTTCACAATTGATTGGGCTTGGGAATTTTACAATTTCTACAAAGCCCACATTCGATGCCATTATATTAAGATATAGACAAAAATAAAAATTAAAATTAAAAATCAGTTGCACGGTTACCTTTGCTATAAATGTTGGAGATTTTCCATTTGGTTTGATTTGGGGAGAATTTCTTAGGATCTGATCTGTTTGTGGGTTTTGGATTTTTGAATTTGAATAAAAAATTGAATTTGAATAATTATTGGATGATATAATATTAAAGACTAGTGAGTCCATCTGGATCGAAAGAGAGAGTGAGTGACAGATTGAGGATCCTGTTGAATGTTCAAACTAGACAAGAACAACATTCAAGCCGGCCAGAGATGAGGGAGGTTGGTCGGTTGGGTTAGACAATCTCGTCTATTTTTGAATAGGGTGAGTGAATAAAGTGCATTTTCTTGGAATCAATTTTGGACTGCTTTCCAAATTTGTTCACCATCTCCATCCAACCATGAATGTTGAATATCGATCCTATAGGATTGTTGTATACAATTGACAAAATCATACGATTCAAAAAAAATATTGGACGAGCAATTAAAATCATACGATTAAATTATTACCTTCAATTTGTTATTTACATATCATTTAATATCGTGTAGGTGTCCCTGAAGTCAGTCATGTCCCATGGCAGTAGGCCTTACCCTCAAGTGCGGGGACCCCCCCACCCCAATTGTATTGCAGGTGTATCCATTTTCTGTCAAAATTCAATTATCATGGATCCATTCATGTGCAGCAGCAGCAGCAGCAGGAAGAGGAAGAGGAAGGAATGGCTATGGCTTCCAACCCCACCCCACCATCTCTCTCCCTATCCCTGCCCTTCATCACAACCTTCAAGCTCTGCGTCCTCAAGCTCGCCGCCTATCTCACCATCCGCCGCGACGGCACCGTCAATCGCCGCCTCCTCCACCTCTTCGACCTCAAAGCATCGCGTTCCGCCACCAGGCGCATCGGCAAAACTAATTGCGTCTCCGTCGCGGACGTCACCGTCGACGCCTCCCGCAACCTCTGGTTCCGCCTCTTCACCCCGACCGCCGCCGCCGCCCGACGCCCGGTTCCCTTGATCGTCTACTTTCACGGCGGCGGATTCACCAATTTCGCGCCGGATTCAATCCCCTATGATTTTCTGTGCACTCGGATCGCAGCAAATGTCCCCGCCATTGTTGCCTCTGTAAACTACCGCCTAGCTCCGGAGCACCGCTGCCCCGCTCAATACGACGACGGATTCGATGTCCTGAAATTCATCGACTCCCAAAACTACGCCGTTTTACCCGCTGCAGCCGATCTGAACAACTGCTTTCTCGCCGGAAGCAGCGCCGGCGGCAACATAGCTCACCACGTCATGGTCAGAGCCTCCCGGAATATTCGCGAATTCAGTGAATTGAAGATCCAGGGACTTGTGCTGCTGCAGCCATTTTTCGGAGGAGAAGAGAGGACTGAATCGGAGCTGAGGCTTCGGAACAGAGCGCCTGTGCTGAAGTTGGAGATGGCGGATTGGATGTGGAGGTGCTTTCTGCCGGAGGGCGCCGACCGGGACCATCCGGTGGCGCATGTTTTCCGGGGCAGGGATGATCTGAAAAGCGTCGAATTTCCGAGGGTGCTGGTGGTGCGAGGAGGCTATGATCCTCTGCTGGATTGGCAGAGACGATACGTTGAGTGGTTGCAGAGCTGTGGGAAACAGGTGGAGGTGATTGAATATCCGATGGCATTTCATGGCTTCACCAGCTTCCCGGAACTGCCCGAATTCGATTTCTTGATTAGGGACCTCTGCAATTTCATCCGAAGACAAAAATCTCTGTAACTGAATTTGTCTGTTGTTGGTTTTTTAAGGTGCAAATACATCTAAGTATCAACGAAATACACTCAACATGGCAACTAAAAGCCTTATATTAGACATATAGTGCACTATATATATATATATATGCAGTGAAATGTAAAGTACTAAGGATGTGTATCTTTAGGGTGGTTTTGGAGAATTTTAGTTTTGATTTGATTTGATTTGAATTTTAAAATGAGTTTGAGTTTTTATGTTTCTTTTTGTATGAAAGTTTGGTTTGAGTTTGAGTAATTTTGATATGGTGTAAAGTAATATTGAAGGAGTGTTAAGGATCCTTGATTAAGGACGACACCTACTAGCGAAGGTAATTAATTCGCGCGAAAAACCTCTTGTATATGTTAAGTTTAAATATTGGAAGACCGATGTGTCGGATGTTACAACAAGACAACAAGGCGTGGCTATGATATGATATGCATGGTACAATCATCTAAACTTTGAAGCTTGTAAGAAGCTAACAAATGACACGGTATGCGGGCTACTGGTGATCACTGATTCTTGCAAAATGTGTAATTGTTGTCTCATTGAAAAACAAAGACGTACTTGTTTCTTGGAAGCTACATACCATCGGGCAAATGGACTAGCTGATATGGTATATGGTGATCTGTGTGGACCAATCATACTGGCAACACACAAAGGTTTCCTACTATTTGTGGATGATGTTAGTTGCTACATGTGGTTGTATCTCCGGGAAAGCAATGATCAAGCATTGGTTTTTATTAAGAAGTTCAAGGTTGGTTTCAAGGTGGAATTAATTGCACAACAACTCACAACACCACATGAGATGTGGCATTCGATGAGATTGGCCAAATCATGACACAAAAATATAGTTCATTATTGAGCAAGAGGTTATTGTTTACACCTCCCAGCCAAGCCCCGGCACTGCAGCATCAAGAATCACCATACCATATGCTTACTAGGATGTAACCTACACATGGCAACAACAGAAGAGCTAACCAATTTTTATGCTGCAGAGCCTGGCCTGGAAGAAATGGATTTCAATGAAGAAAATAATACTTTGAAGTTGGTTGTTGGACATCATACAATCGGATTGCCATTTTTTTTTAAAAAAAAAGCATTGTATGAATTGGGTCAAACCCAATGTGCTTGGGATGCCAAGTTGGATTCTTTCAATTTTTATGCTGTATTTCTTTAAATTTGGTATCATATTTGGATCCAATCCTATCCGACCACATGCAACTCTACTTCAATTTTTAAATTTTGGTGTTAAGAGCGAGGACCCCCTCACATGTAGCTCTGCCCATTTTCTTGCTCATTAAATAACCAATAAATTCACTTATGTAAATCGGCTATGGATATGGATATAGCTTCCAATTCCATCCCATCACCACCGCTCTCGCTGCCCTTCCTAACAACCCTCAAACTCCTCGGACTCGAGCTCTACCGGTATCTCATCACCCACCGCGATGGCACCGTCAACCGCCGCCTCCTCCGCCTCTTCGACCTCAAAGCATCACTTTCCGCCACCAGGCGCATTGGCAAAACTGATTGCGTCTCCGTTGCCGACGTCACCGTCGACGCCTCCCGCAACCTCTGGTTCCGCCTATTCACCCCGACTGCCACTGCAGCCAAATCGCTTCCCTTGATCGTCTACTATCACGGTGGCGGATTCACCACTTACGGTCCGGACTCATTCACTTTCGACAACCTGTGCACTCATATCGCAGCAAACGTCCCCGCCGTCGTCGTCTCCGTAAACTACCGCCTGGCTCCGGAGCATCGCTTCCCCGCTCAATACGACGACGGATTCGACGCCTTGAAATTCATCGACTCAGAAAACGACGCCGTTTTGCCCGCTGCAGCAGATCTGAAGAGCTGCTTCCTCGCCGGAGACAGCGCCGGAGGCAACATAGCCCATCATGTCATGGTTAGAGCCTCCCAGAATTCGCGCGAATTCAAGGAATTAAAGATCCAGGGACTTGTGCTGCTGCAGCCATTTTTCGGCGGAGAAGAGAGGACTGAATCGGAGCTGAGGATGAATAGAGCGCCGGTGCTGAAATTGGAGCAGACGGATTGGATGTGGAGGTGCTTTCTGCCGGAGGGCGCCGATCGGGACCATCCGGCGGCGCATGTTTTCCGGGGCGGGGATGATCTGAAAAGCGTCGAATTTCCGAGGGTGCTGGTGGTGCGAGGAGGGTATGATCCTCTGCTGGATTGGCAGAGACGATACGTTGAGTGGTTGCAGAGCTGTGGGAAACAGGTGGAGGTGATCGAATATCCCATGGCGTTTCATGCTTTCTACAGCTTCCCTGAAGTGCCAGAATTCAAGCTGTTGATTAGGGACGTGTCCAGTTTCATCAGGAAACAAAATCACTGCGACTGAATTGAAAACATAATAAAGAATACCTTTGGTTGTTGTCTGGTTCAGGCATATCGTCGAACACGCATTGCTATCATAAGTTGAATCAAAGAAATAATCATTGGGAGGAGAGGTTGCTTGCTGGATTTGCTTTGATTTCAATGTAATAGCGGCATCTAATCTATTGATGATTTTACTGCCATCTAATCATAATTAGGCCGTCTGGAAAGTTTATGCAATCATGCATCTCTGATTGTACAATATTTTTGGGACCTAACACACATTTTTAGATCCTAAACCCTGATCATATCCGAATTCATTCGCCTATACTTGGACCCGCTATACTCAAATCCACCCCAACCTATAAACTCGATAAGACTGGACAGACCATGTAATACTTCCTCCCATCTATTTTCTATCGTCTTTTTCACGATATTTTTAGGTAATTGTCTTTCGGTATGAATTTACAAATTTATCTATAATAAGGTGGAGATTAAAAGTAATGAATGAATTAAAGATAAAAAAAAATAAAATTTGTGTTTTTTTTAAAAAATAAGATAATAGTTATCGAACATCCCAAATAAAAAAATAGGATAATAATTTATAGACATAGAGTATTTAAAAATTTAATTTAAAGTTAGACTAACTCCGATCATACTTGGAGTTGACATATCAAAATTTATGTAATTTATTAAAAAATATTATAATAAATTAAATTAGATAATATATTTTAAATATAATTATATTGTTAAAAATAATTATTTTAAAATATCATTAATATATTATTTAAATATTAATCGAATTTAATATGGATTCGAATAGAGTAGAGTCCACCTTTCATTTCAAAATAAATTTTTACATAATACAATTAATTTTAAAAATATTTTTATTTATATATAATTAATATAAATTAATTTTTTTAAGAATAGAAAAACTTTTAAATATGAATAAAAATATTTATTTATCAATAAGATAGAAATAAAATACTTTTGATTGGTCTCTAAGTATAAGAACCTAAAAATTAAATTAAATTAAATTAATTGAAGCAAAAAATAGAAATAATTTTTTTTATGCGAATGGTATTTAAATTTTAATTAAATTGATAATATTTGTTAAATATTTTTTCTATATATATTTATTAAAAATAGAAAATGTCAAATAAAATAATATATATATATAATTATTACATTTAATATTAATTTTTTATTATTCTAAAATTCCAAAAAGTTTATTTGTAAAGCCTTCTACCACATTTTTCTTCCTTACATAAGATTTGGACCGAATTTTCTATTTCATTAATATTCTATTCCCATGCATAGTATCGTATGTTGAGACATTATCTATGTGTAGATAGACGGACAAGGTTTATATTTTCGGGACAAGATCCACGGGCATAGAATTCAAAATTATTTCACACCACTCCACGGCTGTGCTGCTGCTGCACCATTTCCGTGTCTTCCACGCGCTCCTGCTCCTCCTCCATCGTCTCCATCAACGGCGAATCCCTCGTCTCCGGCAGCCACAGGCTGAGCATTCCGCTCGCCACCGCCAGCACCCCCAGCGCCAGAAACGCCGCCCACGCCCTCACCCTCCCCACCGCCACCATCACCGGACACACCGACGCCCCCAGCGTCAGCATCTGCATCACCATCGCCACCGCGAAGTTCCTCACGCTCGTCGGAAACATCTCCACGCACTGGATGTACAGCACGTCGAACCCCCCCGACGCCGCCATGAACCCCACCGCCTCCGCCGTCATCTGCGCCGCGCCCCCCCGCACCACAGCGCACAGCAGGCACGCGCCCCCCGCCACAAACACCGCCGCCGCGAACAGCACCCGCCGTGGCACCAGTCTCAGCAGCACGCCGCCGACCACCACCGCCGGAATCTCCATCACCGCGTTCACCCCCACCGTCAGATACAGATTGTCGAGCTCCAGATTCTCCGCATTCAGCTGGATCCCGTAGTACACGAACCCCACTCCCAATCCCGCCGCCATCACCACCGCCATTCTCCTCGCCGCCCATTTCGTCCTCCACAGCTTCCCCGCCGGCGACCCCGCCGTGCCGCCGTCCGGCTTCATCCGAAGCTTCAAATTCTCCGGCAGCTCCCTCCCATTAATCCTCGCGTATCGCCTCAGCACCCGCAGAGCCTCATCCCCTCGTCCCTGCACAAGAAGCCATCTCGGCGACTCCGACACGAACGGAATCAGCACGAGCACCGAGTAGGCGAGCGGGACGCCGGAGATGATCCGGTAGAGGCACCGCCAGCAACCCCTCGTCGGATAAGCAATCAACGGCGTCGACAAGAACCCCGCCGTGAAGAAGAGGAACCCGACTTGGCCGACCTGGCCGCGCCATTTCCGGCCGACCATCTCCGTGCAGAGCACCAGAGAGCATATTCCGATGCCCGCCCGGGATATTCCGTTTAAAAAACGGAGAAGAGAGTAAATCCAAATGCTGGGGGATAATGACGTCAGAAAATTGGTGGCCGACGTCAGCAGACACGACAGCACCATCGATCTTTTCCTTCCCAACAGCACGTCGGCGACCCAGCCGAACACCGCCGAACCTGCACCGGAAAAAATATGAATAATTTCCGATGGCGATCAGGACATGGAATGAAGCTGTAATTAATCAATTCACCTATTACAGAACCGAGAAAGTAGAGCGACGCCGGGAGGGCGGCGAGGAATCTCCGGTGGCAAATGAGCCCCCATTCGGCGACGGTGGAGGTCGTATTGCCGGCGCCGCCGCAATGTTGGCGGCACCGCGGCTGAGCGTCGGCGAAGATGGTGACGAGCGTGGTCTGAGAATCGAACATCCAAGCCAGGGAGGCGAACAGCACCTGCAGCAGCTGGGAGCACCCGAACGATCCCACGTATTTCTCCACCGCATCATCCACCGTCAGCTGCTGCAGCTTTCCGTCGTCATCATTGACCTTCCGATCATCGGCGACGGCACGGCCGTTTCTTTCCTCGATCTCCATATACAATGTTGTCGAATGCTGCTGTTCTTGATCGATGAGCTGTATTTATGGCTGCCTGCCACCGATTGCAGAGACAGCGGAGGAAGGAGGTGGTTTTGAATTTTAAAATTGTGGGGAAAGTAATGTACAGCTGCCATGGATTGGTGAAGCTGAGGTCGACGTGTAACGCCATTGATGAATCCAGCTGAGGTGAGGCTTAGAATTAGAATTCTGAGAGCAGGACAGATGACAACGTACAGACCTAGAAATCAGGGACATTATATATTTACTAGTACCATAATTCATTCATTGAATGCGAGCAATCTAATCTAATCAAACCAATATTCATAAATAACACAAGAAATGGATCAAGAAATGTGGTCTGGTCTGGTCTGGTGTAAGGGTGGCTAAGTTGGGCGTGGCGGGCAAATTGTGATTGTAAGATTATAAGTTCAAAAACTTACCTTACTAGCTACCACAGTTTGCAAATTATTTAACATCCCATCTTTAATTGTTTTCTCTATTTTCTATATATATAAAAAAGGTTGCTTATCCACGACTTCATTGGAAATGAAATGGATCGGGGATTGGTTCCTTTGGGACTATTATTTCATGATTTGGTTCTGGGCCAAGACAAATTTCATTACCAAATGTGTAGAATCGGCTCAAATCGACCCAATCCCAATCCTCAAAAACCTGTCCATAATGTTCAAACTATGGGGATAGAACCACAAAAGGTATCGAAACTATAATTCAATACGCTCCAAAGACACCATGAGCCATCTCAATTCACAGCATTGCACAATTTTCCATTTTGTAAATGACACATGATTAAACTTCAAACATATGCTCCACTGGGATCAAAATTGAAAGAGTAGTTCTCAAACATAGGATCAATTCCAAGCCCATACTTAAAAACATTAATGTAGAATCATTCAGAAAGCTTAACCTGTACCAGATTGCTGCACGGAAGCCCTCCCCAAAAAATACTGATTCCAAAACCATAAGCATCAGAATAAAACAATCCAAAAGTGGAAACTATTTCTTGCCTTTCTACTAATATCTTTAAACTCAATGTATAAGAGCAGCAGGTACCCTACAACACAGATCACACTGTTTCTTCCTCATGACAACTTTCTCTTCAAAAGCACAGAACAAAATTTCAAATCATGTCCCCATCAGAAATGGCTCTACTAGATGCATCCAAGTAACACAAGAACCAAATCATGCGATCAAGACACTAAGTCACATAGAAATCCAAGAAAAGCTGTAATTTGCGTACAAGGAGCTCGTGGCTTCCATACCAAGGTTTATCACTGACGATCCAATCCTTCTCGAGATGCCCTGCTTTGGAACTATACATCATCTCATTGTGAAATGCGGAGATGATGCTGTAGATCGAAGTTTTCAGGGTATCTGCCAAGAAATACGCTTTGGAGTAAACTGGGCTCCCACGTATCTTTACCATGGCACCAGTTGTAGACTCTCTTCTCCCTGTGTTCACAGTCGCCCATTTGATTCCAGCAGGACCCATCAGATTTGCCGACTGTATGTTGGTCTTCTTCCCCATGAGAGTTTCAACAGCTAATAAACTGGATAGCAGTATCGACAGTACTGCAACATTACTACCAGAGAGCTGAGCAACACCAAATCTGTCCTCTTTATGTGACCTTGCTGTCAATGAAGCAACAATCCGAGCGCACCATGCACACAACTGCACGTAATAGCCACAATCACAAGATTTGACACATCACTTCAAAAAGGGATTGAATAAATAGATAACACAACACATTGAGCTACTTGAGACAAGTTTAAGACAGTATTAAGAATTTCCATGTACCTAAACATGAAATTCTGAAAATGAATAGATAAATAAATGAGTGGAAAATGAAAAACCATCATCAAACTAGTCCACAACTTTAAGCATGAGCAAAATGGATAACAATCAATACACCAAATAAAACAAACCAATATATCATGGCAATTGGTATTAATGCCGCAAAGTGGTTCTGGGTTCGCCTACCAAATATGGTGTGACATTGAAAGTTCTAGATTAGGTGTTTAGCAGATGTAATAGCCAAAATCTACAGCCAAAACTATAGCAGTGTTTAGATTAGCCAGAGTTGTTATATCCTTGGCACCGGATGGCTAGGCCAAAGAAAGAAATAACTTAAATAGTGCATTTTAATTTTGAATCAGTTCCATTAAAGATTTCTAAAAAGAAAAAAATAAAAAATAAAAATCCCATTTTAGCGATCAACACCCAAACGATGAAAACATCTAAAGAAAGTCGCTGATTGGCTGTAGAACAAATAAATCAGAAATTTCCACCATCAAAAACTGAATATTCCATGCATTTCAGCAGCAGTACATGATCATTGGAAGGATAGAACACATATGTACCTGAGAATCATAGAATGATTCTTGCAGCTTCAAAACAGCTAGCCGATCTGTTGGCAAACTCAGTTGAACTGATAATTGCAATGATTTTTCAGTTGAAGAACTCTCCAGACCTTCAGCAAGCTTTCGAGTGAACTCTTCTAGAGGTCTCAGGCAAGAAGCTATAACTCTTTTATATGTCTCACCAGTCTCCTCAAAAAATGCAGCTCGGCGCCATGTGTCAACATTGTTCTCGCTTACCATACACAGATCAAGATACGCAAGGTACTGCAGAAGTGACTTTGGTGTGCTCTCCTCTAGTGTAGCCAGGAGTGGCTCGCTTGGATTTGTTTCGGCTGCTGCTGATCCTTTTGGTAGTGCAAATGCATACCTCTTGGTCTGTAGTACCTGCAGAGTCAATGAGGAGGTGTCCTTAGCATTCAAAACCAATAGGAATCCTCTATACAAGATGATCAGACATGTGTGTATATATATATAATGACCAGTAGCAGAAAAGGTTATGAAGGGAAAACCTGGTGTAAATGATGATTCAGCTCCCAACAGAGAAGTACTACAAAACTCCCAGCATAGAATATAAAGTTTTCAACAATATACTGTCCCATGGAACCTCCAATTCTGTACTCATTAGGAAGAAACAAAACCAGTAGTCCAGACAAGAAGCAACCAACAGCAGAAAACTTGAAGGCCGAGCCAATAGATGAGAGAATCCCCATTTTGAAGCTGAAGAATGGAGCTCTCTGTTGGACAAAGTAACTGGGTCAGTTCATTACATAAAACTAAAGAACAGAATGCACACAAATAACACAACATGGAATCCTAAATCAGAATAACCACATTTATAGTGGACAATAATTTGATCTAATAAATTCAGAGCTGAGTATGACATTAGAATGAATAAACATTGGAACTTGCTAGCAGCGCAACCTTTAGATAAGTAAAAAGATAATGGAGTTCCATCACTGAACTGTGTTCTAGCACTAACATGAGCACTAATGTTTATTCCTTAGAATTCTTAGAAGCCTAAGTAAAAGGAATAATACACCCATTATATCAAATATCCTTAACATCGATACAACTAATAACTATGAATCAATCATATGCAGACACGTTAAGAAAGATTTAATCAAACAAATCATCATTTGCAGGTGAATACATACAAGTAAAAAGAGTTAAATCTCTACATATTACCTGAATAATCGGAAATCGCAAGACCCAGCGCTTCCTATACACATAATGCAACCCATACAGCAGACCAATCACGGAAGCCCTAAATCCCAAATTCAAAACAACTGAATTCGATCCGCCAAAATAGTAAACATCACAACCCCAGCACAGACAAACGACAGATATCGCCCCTGCCACGGCACAAAGGATCACGAACAGCACGAAGCTCAACGAAACTTCCACCTTCCTCCTCAACAAACTCCGGTCGCCTCCTGAAACGAAGATAACTCGGAGAAAGGAAAGGGAGACTTCGAATGGGGAGGCGTACGGTAAGGGGTGGGGAGAGGAGATGAAGAAGATGGAAATGGAGAAGAGAAGGAAAGAGAAGTGGAAGGCGAGGAAGGAGAGGAGGGAAAGGAGAACCGGCGAGAAGGGGCGGTGAGTGAAGAGGGGGAAGAAGAGGGTTTTGGAGAGGAAGAGAAGGAAGGTCGATTGGAGGAATTGCCAGATTAAGAAACTGAAGAAGCGGTTCTTGATGATGGCGGTATGGGGTGCTCCGCTTCCGCCGTCCTTGTCTTGGAACAGACACCGTTGTAGGGCGGCGGAGACGGACATTCTCGGGCGGACGGCGGCAGGGCGGGAAGATTGGCCAATTTGGGCTTTCTGAGTCTGGGAATGTATTTGTACATTCATTTATTACCGTATTGAAAACAGGAGCCTTCTTCGAATCCTCAATATTTTTAAAAAATCAATAAACAAAGATAAAAGATTTTTAGAATTTTATAATTTTTAAAATAAAATAAAATTAGGATTTGATATAATATTTATAAAAAAAAGTAGAGTTTTTAAAAAATTAAAATAGTACCCAAAAGTGTGATCTAAACAATATTTAATATTATTTTCATTCAAAAATAAAAATTTATATTTTGTTCATATTATATTGTAATAATAATATGTGATACTTGGCATACAAAAATTATTCTATAATATTTAAAATTGATATAAATATATTAATATAAATAAATAAAAATACGAAAAATATTTGTAATGAGGAAGTACAATATATATTGACCGTAGCCCTATTTGATCTGTGCCATCCATTCAATCGATTATTGAGGTTGTACTTGTGATCATTAAGGTAATCAGTTATATTTTTATTTAATTCTATATAAATTTGTTTATATTTTTATAATTTTTTTTTTAAAATTATATTTAAATTCATAAATCGGCCAGCTCGATTTTGATGGGTCCGGGTACGATCTGGTTCTTATTGGTGTCGGACTAGACTCACCCGATTCTTTTGACGTGTTTTTTTTAGCTCTAAACACATTTTTTTTTATTGAATTTGAATTGATTTTCAATCCATGTCTTATTTTTGTGGGGCACACGATATTTCTTTAGGAACGCTGGGACAGACAGCCAATTGGCATGACAACCTTGGGCATAGAAAGATTCAGTCAGGTGTGTTGTTTCTTATTCAATTTTTTCATTCCAGAAAAAAGAAGAGGAATTTGATAGACATTATTCCAACCTAACAGCAAGGGATTATTGAATAACGACCTTGACTGGTTGAGGATGGACCAAATATGTCATCATGATTATGATTATGATTATTGCTCAATACGCAATAAACACCACCAAAATTGAGGATTAACCAATAGCTCATTGCTTCATGCATTTACCAAAATTTTAACCCAATCTGTTTAACTATCTATTTCTGGAGTAACGAAGTGGAAGGGAAATTTAATTAGGATGTGTTTGATTGGCTTTAATTGAATTAAATTTAAATAATTAACCATGTGACTCCAAGCTGAACATTCATATTTTAATATTAGTTGTCCAATCAAAAATGATGCGATATTTAAATAAGTTTCATCAGCTATAAATAGCAACACACGCCACACACCAATCCAATCCATCCTCTCTTATCAACGTAACAATTAACAACAACAACAACAATAATAATCTTCCGCTCCATTAATCCATCTCACGTTTTTTTTATTAATTACTGGTAACAAGTAACAACATATAATTAACAGTGATAATGGAGTCCACGAGCAGCAGCTTCTTCCTCATCGCCATTCTCCTCTGTACTTCCTCCTCCTCCGGTGCTGCCACGGACTCCGATCCGTCGGATGCAGTGCACGACACCTTCGGAATGCCGATACAGGCCGGAAAATGCTACCTTATATACACCGCCTACGACAATCACGGCATCGGATTAAGCACCTTGGGCCCGGAGGCCTGCCCGGTTAACGTCGTCGTAGACAATTCTTGCGACAGCGCCGACGCAGTCGTCTTTCACCCGGCAGATCCACACGAACCCGTGGTTCGTATCTCCGTCCCGCTCACCATCCGCTTTTCCGACTTCAATCCCTGTGCCAATTCTTCCGTCTGGCAGGTGGTTCAGGCCGACAAAATGGACGGCGCCGGCCGGCAGAGGAAGCAATTAGTGAAAATCAATGGAGAAGAAGGGAAGCCCGGGTGCGACACCTATCGAAGCTGGTTCAAGATCAGAAAGGCCACCCGACATGGGAAGCAGAGCCCAAATATATATTTCATTGAATATAACCCGACCGACATCTGCGAGTTCCCGGTGCGTCCCTGCGCCGTCGGCCCCGGCAGCATCTATGCACCTGATGACGAGGACCTGCGGGCTTTGGAGCTCGTCGAGGGCTACCCTCCTTTCTTTGTTTTCCGGCAGGCTTAGTTCATGCTTATATCTATCTATGTATCTATCTATCTATCTATCCTGTGTGTGCATGAGAGAGAGAGAGCTCTGTATGTCAAACCAAGTTGTTAGCTGCACCGAATATGGAACAAGTTATGGTTATTAGAATAATAATTGTGAGTTTATATCTGATGTATGGGTTGTTGGTTTGTATTTTGTGTGCTGCAGGACTAATTAGAGTTAGTAAAGTACCTGCAACCCTTTGATACGATATAATTACAGTGGTGAATGAATAGTATAACATATGCTATTGGACATAACTCGGTACGAGTTAATATAATTAAAATATAACAAATGAACTAACAACATATGATATAGTATTGGACAATATATACAACAGTTAATATTAACATATGAGATATTCTTGTTATTATAAATAAATAATACTTTCTCCGTCCCGAACATCGTGCAAAATTTGTGTTTGACACAGGAATTTAGGTGGAGAGTATTAAATATGATAATTTGAGATATTAAGTAATGCAATTAGAGACAGAAATGATTATTTGTTTTTTTTATTTGAGTGATATGATAAGATAAAGTGAAATGTATATGAATATATGTATATAAATATTATTAATTATTTCTAAATTTAGAAATATTGCAATGAGTTTGAGACAAACAAAAAATTGAAAGATTGCAGGGTGTTTGGGACGGAGGGAGTATATATTTTTATTACAAACAACAATAAACAACACATGCTGTGTTTAATAAAAGCATGCATTGTTTCTGTATTGTAGGTGTGCTGATTTTTAAATTCAGCACCATAACCTAGTGTACAATGCATTGATGGAATTGATGGGCTGATTGCCCTCGACAGTGTACACGCAGTGACTTCCTCCTGCCTGGAGCATCTTGCAGTCCGCAGATATTCTTGCGCGGCCGGGAAAGGAGGTGATGATAGTGAGGAGAATCAAAGAGATAGAGATGGAGAGAGTATCAAGGGAAGGGAAGAGAGGGTCTTCTCCATCCCAATTAGTGTTCATGTTAAGAGAAATGGAAGATTGATTGATGTTGGTAATGGAAGATGATACACCAATCTATGGCAATCTGGTTGGCAATGGTGTGGTGTGTTTTTATAAGCCTTTACTTGTTGAGTTTAGAGATCAAATGAATTTGTACACTATACTAAAAATCTCGAAGCATACCATATACATATAAAAAATTTTTGCATCCATGAACTCATAGTGATACCATACCAAATTTTGTTGTATGACAACCATACAATGCCAATGTTTTGGTATATAAATTCGATTTTTACCAAATTTTCGAAGTTTTTGTCATTCAATTCCTACCAGATAGATTCCTGTACTCCCCTGTGTAGTGTAGTGTAGTGTATCAAACCAATTACTATATATGAAAGCAAAGCAATACTCCGATCCAAACTCCAAGCTTTACCCACTTTGCTAGGTACAAAATTAAATCGACTAGGTTGGAAATTGATAAATGCATGCATGAAACAATAAGCTATTGGTTAATCCTCAATTTTAGTAGTGTTTGTTTCGTATAATTATTGAATAACAATCATAATATTTATGAGTTATATATATATATATATAGCTGAAATGTACCCCACATCTCAGCACATTAAATCATCTCAAAGTTACTGAATAAATATTATTCCTAGTTTGTATATTTCTTAAAAAATTGTCATCGTGCACCCCTCCTTTGTAAATACATTGTCCACATACAAGATTCGTCTCTTGTTTAAATTCATATCACATGTGAACAAGTGTGTTGAAAGACTATAATATGTAATTAATGCATATTTCTATGTACTAACGCCGAATCTTTTAGATGAGATAATTATTTAATACTTTCTCCCCCCAAATCAAAATATCATTTTTATTATTTTCGTCTGTCTCATTCTAAAGTATTCATTTTATATTTTAATAAAAATAATCATACACCAATACTGAGATACCTCTAATTTTTACCTATAATATAAATATAACATTACACATACAATGATTTTTTACATAACATCAAAGGAAAAAAAATGTTAAAACCTCTTCTACACTTCTATTAACTAATAAAATACTATATTTTTTAATCTACTACAAACTCAAAATGACCCTTTTGGACCGGGACGGAGGGAGTAGAAATTAAACGAATTGAATGTCACACTTAGAGCTGACAAAAACTTATTCGATACAATTAGGGTTGATGCCCCCAACTATGACAACTCGATTATAATATACTAGTATTAATTAATTAATTTATCATATAAGTAGAATTAATTATAATTTAATAATTAACTCACATATTAATTTAAATTATATTCAATCTTAAATAATCCAACCTAATTTATTATATATATTACAATAAAAATAACAAAAACTAATATGACATGACAATCCTATACAAACCTGACATTTGATTTTAGGTCAAAGATTTCAAACCAATTATGTATATAAGTTAACACGAACCCGATACGATGATAAATGAGTAGGTTATAGTTGAATGATTTCACATGTTTAAAACATTCAACCCAACCCGAATAATTGAGTTTAGATTAAAATTTTCGATCCAATTATGTATATAGATCAACACGAACTCGACACGATAATAAAATATTGGATAATGGTTGAATGATTTCACTAATTTAAATATTTCAACCCGACATGAATCGATCAATTGTTGGATTAAAAATTCATGGGTTAAATGTAACTATTTGAATTATTAGTCAGATTAAATCTATATTAAGTGATCTATAACTTTATTAAGTTTAAATGTATTTAGTAAGTGTTGGGCTAAATTTATTTGTTTTATTATCTTATCTCAATTATTTCAACATGATATCTTGGACCTAGAGTGTAATTCATGATAAAGTTCCAACATCAATTGCCAGATCTAGTGACACATAATACTTAATTGGTGTTCATGTTTATTAAGAAAAGAATAAAATCCAGTGAAGGTCATGCTATCTATCTGTATACACCTTGTTCATTTAAAAAAATCAGTGCATCGTAATATACAGATACAACAAATGCATTTATTACACACATTTGTTGTTTGCAATAATAGCATATGCTGTTTATTCTTAATTATTGTGGTGTATAAAAGTATGTCATGTGCTAAATCAACCGTTGTATGTGCTGTATGAGACTATATCATGTGTTGTTAGTTTATGTACTGTATTTATATTATATTAACGTATATTGCGTGTTGTTTATGATAATACCGTGTGTTGATCAACACAATGTTGAATTTTTTATTTTCAGCAATGTAGCCGCCACCGTATATTGGTTTATCTTAACCCAAAATAGATGTTATTGTGTATTAATTAATAATAGTTTTCAGACTTTGGGAAATCAGTTGTACATACTTTTCTCCTTCACTTTTGCCTACACTAATTTAACTTTATACTCCTTTCAAATATTTGGTGCTTCAGATCATATGTTTAAAAGAAAAAATGTTATGTTGTAGCATAGCAACAGTTCAAAATAGATGTCAACTTACGACGAACTTCACGAACCACCAATTATCCCATGTAACTGTCAATTGTGGAAGGTCACAAAATGAAGAATAATGGTAATTGATTAAATATCAACACGACTACATTTATTAAACAGTAAATTTATCTAAGCGGTAAAATCTTCCAATTAATTATAGATGATGATCATTGATCAATGTAGCTTGTTAAGAGCAAGAAATTTATGCTACTTGACAAAAAAATAGATAAAGGGTCTGTCATCTATGGAGAAGGTTAATTTGGATGCATAAAAAGTTAAATCACCAAATGAATATAAGCTTACATAGCAGAATCACACACCACAATACATATATATATATATATATATATATAGCATTCTTTATTCAAATAGTTAGATACTCTTTAATTTGCTCCATGCATATCAATCGGAGCTCACACCCATGCATATATATATATATGTAAGTAATCGTCTCAATAGACCGGCACGAACACCAGGGCTGTAGGAGTCGATACGACGGCTGCCAAAACCTGCGCTTCATTTATATTTGTGCCGGCCGGGGCGATGTTATAGGGCTGCACGGGGATGTCGCAGACACCGCGAGGGTCGGATATAAGGGAGTAGACGTTTTGATCCTGATACAAGAAGGGCTTTCCGATCCTGAACCAGGTTCGGGCACTATCGCACCCGGGCCTCCCTTCTTTCCCGCCAAGTGTTACTATTTGCTGCCCGTTGTAGTTCTTGTCCGGCCGGGCAAGCTGCCACACAGAGCTATTGACGCAGGGAAATTCGAAATTAAACTTGAACCTGACTGGATAGCCTTGACGAATTAAAGATTCCTGACCGTTGGCTGGTTCGATGATCACTGAAATGGCTCGACGACCATATGTGTCTACGGCCACCAAATTCCGGCATCTATTGTTGCTTGTGTAGATGGCAATGATGGGGTAATTTCCGATAAAAGTGCGAAAATCGTAAGGTCGTCCTGATTCGAGCGGCTGGCCAGTTATGTCAAGTACTGCATCCGTCAGACTCTGCGTTGCAGCGCGGCCGGGAAAAGAGGTGACGACGAGGAGGAGAAGCCAGGAGAGAGATATGGAGAGTGAGAGAGCCTTAATGGAGAAAAGGGTTTTCTCCATAGCCATAAGTGTTGTTGTTAAGAGAAATGGAAGATTGATTGATGATGATAATAGACGATGGTGTGGTGTGCTTTTATAAGCACTGCCTGCGCTGTCTTCCCTTGTGATTAGTGTAGTGAAAGCAATCAAATTTAGAGCATTTTGAATTTGGGGTGTACTGTTTATGGAAAATGAAATCGGCATCGCCATCGATAATAATAGGGAATGAAATTCCAGGAAAAAGAGAAATGAAAAAATTAAGAATTGATAATTTTCTTTGATAAACTATTTGAAAAATTTATAAGAGACAAATGTCATATAAGACGAAATAACATTGATAACAAATTTGTGAATCCAATAAGAGATGTTTTAGTAAATAAATATTGATATGTTTAATTAGTAATTTTTTATTTATTTTATTTTATTTTTA